TTAACGCGAATTCTCAGAAGCCAGCCTCACCGTCCATTAGCTCTTCCTTGAGGTAAGAAACGTTCTGCTTGTATTTCCGACGTTAAATTACGAAAAGATACTCTAAGAGGTGAAGGCATTAGTTCCAACTATCGTTTTAACTGCGCCGCTAAGTTTATCGACTTCATTATCCGTGATGGCTTGACTACATCATTATATAAATACCGCCGTTGTCGCCTCACTCGGGGATAAAATCGTTATTTATATGTTTGTTAAGGGCTTTATGACAATGCTTACAGCGAGCTGGATAGAAAACGGGCGTTTCTTGGGAAATTAGATGCCGAAATTTCCTTTCGCCTGAGGACTATATGATAAATACTCGCATAATTTTGTGACTTGATCAGGTTCGATGGTAGCGTCTAATTAATTCACATATCATGTTATCATAACATTTCGCCACCTGCACTCAAACATAAAAGACTGTCAGTATTATTTATAGCGCATTATACCCTGGAAGATAGCGTTTCTTTCTTTGGAAATCCTTTCGCAATTATAATCATATACAAGTACAAAGGATTCTGCAGAAAACAATAATTCACTTTCTCTGCTGGACAAAAAGGCAAACAATAACTTAACTATGTAGGCAGAAATGTGTGGCAGTTCTAAGGCTTGTTAAAAATCATTCGCGCTTAGTAAATTCTTGTCTTTTTTGTAAAGATTTATCTGTGAGGTCGACAGCATTTCACAAGATTTTGAACATCTTCATTTTTAAGGAGTGAAGAGAACTTGTTTGTGCATGGTCATCTTAGTCTTTTTCAAGTAGCACTGTTGTGCGGAGGTCACAACTTGTTTAACCGGAAACATCAAATTCGTTAAGTCCAAAAACCCTGCAAGCGTTAGTTCTTCCTCGTAAAAATACAGTCCGTCAGGTGGGATTACATTTGCACAAAAATAGACTTGCTTGTTGACGGGTGCTTTCCCGACTTCGTCAATTTTACATGCAACACTTGTCATGTTTGTTTGCGTTGGAAAGTAAAATTCAAATTAATGTTGGGTAATCGTACTGGAGAGTCTCAAATCCACCCAGACCTTTCCACGATCAAGCTTCATAAAAAGCCACATTAAAATTTTTCCTATGCATGACTCATTTTAAGACCGAGAGCGGGAAATAATGGAGCTTTCTGAGGCATCGAAAGGGTACCGAGACCGGTTCTGGGCACATTTAGATGACTGTAACATGAAATAACTAACAGCGACACGCATTACTTCATTAGACTATAGACAGATAACAGGTGACCGGTAAATCACATAGAAACAGTCCCTTTCTGCAGATATAACCCTGAAAAACTAGTGAAATCATCCTTGATCGCCATGTTTGCGATGAAACGCAAGATAAGCCATCAATACGTGACGTGTTCGCCAACAACTGTGACCTTGACGCCAACTTTGGCTTCTGAAATGCCGATTTTTAAATGAGAATCTGGGATTATAGTTAATTTGTCTCATGTTATATACGCTCCCGACCCGAAAGCTCTAATCCTCTTATTAACTTCGAGGTAGTTACAAATGAGTTCGTTATCTTAAATTTAATCGGATCCTTGGCAGGTCAAACATAAACGCTTTATAGGCGAGGGTTTAATACAACTTAACCCTTCCACTCCCACGAGTGACCAATAATGAACTTCTCCTCACAATATAAAAACATTTTCGAGCAGAAAGGTAATGAGAAGAAACCGATCATCAAGTGAGATATTATTTGAATAAACTTCAAAATTTTAGAGAGAAAATTAGATGAAATGTATCATCAATCATGACCGAGCGGATAATTGATACTTAGATTTAAAAGTGAAAGGATTAACCAGGACTTGTGAACTGCATATTATAAGCCGAGATTTCTATCATGTGACGGATTTATGATAGTCAATTAGTAAGGGAAGACCGAATCAACTTTCACGCGTAAATATCGATGGCGAATCTTACTTTGTTAGTGTAAAAGCACTGATCTTCTTAAACTGAACAACAAGATCAGCCCGTGTTTTCTCTTTTTTTTTTTTTAGAATTACACACTTATTAGGCTCCTAGCTCGACTATCTGTCATTAACCCTTTAACTCCCATGAGTGACCAAGACAGAATTTCTCCTTACAATATCAATACAATATCGAGCAGACAAGTGATGAGAATAAAGAAGTATATCAATTTGGGGATAATCAGTTGATCCAATACTAAATTCTCTGAACTAACATTATAAGAATTGTATGGTTGACAGTAGGGAGAATTACAAATTTGATCTGGGAGTTAAAGGGTTAAAAGATAAGCTGAGCTTATACACGCATTTTGATTGGTTCCTACTTATGATTTATTTGAGGACAGACGCATAGATGACGTCACCATGACAACAACATTTTGCTTTTTCATCGCACAAAATAAATAGTACGAGTAGCCTAGCCAATCAGCTCGCTGCGTTAGTGATAGGGCGCTGGTTTATTCATTCTAGAACTAAATAGATGGCGGAATTTTGAATTTAACGCCTTTGAACCAGTTGTGGTTTCCGATGGCCACAAAGAATCTTCCGGGCTATTTTTTTCTCCTTTTCAAATTATTCAAGACATTCTAGAAACGAATAAAGGCGGTAAGTTTCTAGAGAAACTGTTGTGTTGCGTCGGTGGAAGAGTATAACAGGGTAATTTAGTGTTATCAACAGAGTTGAAAACGTAAATTGGCCACCGTAGAGTTATAAGGCTAACGCTCGAAACGTCAGCCTTTAAACTCTTAACGGTGGCCAATTGACGTTTTCAACTCAGTTGATAACAGTAAATTACCCAGTTACATTCTAGAAACGTTCAGTAATAGACCACAGATGACGTCAAAATATGGTAAGAACAAAAAAGTGGGACACAGGGAGCAGCCAAGTGTGTCACTGATGTTCTCAGGTACCACATTTTGATGTCTTCTTTGATCTATTACTGTACAGACCCACGGCAACATGGAATTTATTTGTTCCGTATGATAAAAAAGCAAAATGTGCGAAGATATCTATGCGTCTGTCCTCCAATAGATCATCATGGTATAAGAACGAATTAAAATGCGTTTATAATAGAGTAGCCTGGTATTACAACAGAGAAAAAGATTACACCTCAGTAAAGTTGGAACTTAGTTAAGACTGACAAATTAGTTTCCTCGAGCGCTAATTGGTCATCAACAATGAGGAAGTTTATAAAAAAGGTAAACCCAGAAAGGATAATACAGGAGACAAACTCGAACTGATGTTGTCATTGCATGATGGCAAATTTCTCCAGTGAAATCGTAGAAGTACAGAATCTTTAATAAGTTGTTGCTAGTTTACATTCGCTTTGTGGAACCGAGAAGAATCAAAATGATTCTATACATTCGCGGGTCAAAACTGTAGAGTATACGAGGGTAATTTAATACCATCAACTGAGTTGATAACGTCGTTAATCGGCCACCGTAAAGAGTTTCAAAGCTTTGAAGCTCTTTACGGTGGCCAATTTACGTTATCAACTCAGCTGTTATACTCTCCCACCGACGCAGCACTACTGTTTCTTTAGAAACTCATCCCCTTTATTCATTTTAGAGTATATGGCCAGTGTTGGAATGTAGTTGTTTAGTTGATTTTATCAGTTGGCGTAAAATTGACGTACTTTGATCGATAATCGGCATTATCTGTATTTTCTTGAATGTAAACCGTTTTCTACCAGTTTAACTTTCCGAATTATAATTAGCATAAATGTACCGCCGGGTATTTTCAATGAGCTCCTTTTTTAAATTGACCGATATTATTAAAATACTACTTGGAAATGAAAGACTACGTCGGTCTTTATACAAGGTTCATTCTTAAAATTGACCTAAAAGGGCTCAATGGCTCACCCTCTTCAAATTTAATGGGGCCTTTTTTTAAGAAAGGGGCTCAGAGAGGGCCTTCGGAAAGGTGTTCTAGCTGTGAACTTTAATATATTTTGTGTTCGAGCTTATTTGTACAGTGTAGTCACTGAGAAAACGAGGAAGAGAAAATAAATTGAAACAGTGAGAGACTATAAAGTTCAAAGTGAGTTTTAAAGCGCAACTGTCATATCAATTTTGTTTTCAGTTATGTTTTTTAATACTTTATTTAGAAAATAGTACTAAGAACGGGCATAAGCAAAATGTATTGCACCGCGTTGACGCTTAGATGTACACTTAAGAGCGGCTTTTTTTTCCGAAGTGCCGAAATCCCGTTAAAGCGCCCACTTAATACAAATTTAGTACAGATTTGAACGGTATCAGCATGAATCCTTCATCAGCACGAAACATTTTGATTTCATCACTTCTCGGCTTGAAGTAAATCTTTAATTGTTAAGGGCACCCTTAAATTAAAAATAGATTCAATTGTCGCTTTTAAATTCATTGAAATCAATGTAAACGAGTATTAAAATTTGACTCTTTAAGGAACAGATAATTTTCCTTTTTGACGAGCGTTGGAATTGTTTTTCAACGATAATAGAAGCGGCAAGTCGAGAATAGCCTCGTTGAAAGAAGAGATCCGTCAAAAATCTCTTTCTTGAGATTATCATGAGTTTAACTTTATCTAAGCGTAACCGTTTTAAATTTAAAGAGAACAGAATGGTTATTTCGAGAATTTTCAAGTTCAGGAGAAGAATGTAAGCGTCATAGTTTACGAGGGTGAAGTTTCTTTCTATTCCAAGTAGGTCAGAGAAACTGGGACAGAAATGTCATAACACGGGGAGAAATCGGAGACGAGAGCCTTAAAAGTTGAGAGAACTTGTGTACGACACGCAATGTTAAAGACAATTTACCACCCCTTATGTGATTGTGAAGGTGGTGAACAAACATTATTTTTAGCCAATGAAATCAGTTTCCGCATCAAACCATCGCTTCCATTGAAATGGATATAATTAGAGTTTGCGGAAAGAAAGATTGTGGTATAGTTTATATTCTGTTCTCTGCACGCATAAATTAGCTGGGCTTTGCATATGATTTGTAAGCGATGTGTCACCGACATACGACGGTCTTCCATGTAAACACAGATTATTCAGCAAAGTTTGCACAAATTGTATGGCTGGCTGGTACACTGCTGCGATTAATGATCGTAAAATGAGATCGTTTTGACGACTACGAACTCGGTTTTTAATTAATAGCAACGTGTATACTCGGTGGTAAGCTTCTCACTCAAAGAATTCTGTGTATGTATCATAAGTATTATGGCGACGACAGAGTTACATGTTAGAATCAGCTCGACACCTTCTACAAACGGAGAACCTAGTTTCACGATTTGCACGTTCTGTAACAACTCAACAAATGGGTTCGAGAAGCGTTTATTTGCGACAACACAACCAAAGGGACCTTTTTTCCCTGTCTTAGCCGAGCTACAGGGAAAGAAAACAAAGTTAGACGACCTCGGTCGAGCGGTTGTTTGTGTGGCATGTTTTCATCATCTTTTGCGACAATGGAGCAGTTTTGAACGAAGGGGTATTCCTGTTCGTAAACGGGAATATAATATTATTACAGGTATGCGATTCATATGATTATTCATTTACAAAATTGTTATCTAGAAACATCGGGGCTTTCGCTTGAAATACTTTTGTTACCAGTTTACTAGGGCAGCCTGATCACTACTGGAGACCTTTGTTTGAATTGGATCACCGAGACTAGGTCGGTAGAAATGTTGTTAACCACAATTTTATTACCTTAAGCGCCATTCCGTACGCTACCGTATTTACAGACCGCCTCGGTTGCAAGAAAGGTTTATTTATGATGGCTCCCAAGATATCACTTATTAGTTAATTTATTTACGTCTACCGAGAAAAGCTTTCGAAAGGTGATTTAATTTTCGAAAGTATCTGTTATTCAAGCATATAAACAAAAGGAACTAATTTGTCTGAAATCAAGCGTTGAAACACATCAATGAGTTTATTCTCGTGGGAAAAAAGCTTAGGCTCTTGTTAATTTGAATTTGTTTCCATTCATTTTCAAATGTATTTGTGTCTGTCAGGTCGTCCTATTCCATTAACTTATGATTTACTTTTTAAACAAACTTGTAAAGAACCTTTTAAGCACTGTCTTCTAAAGTAACAGACAAGACATGGTATTAAATGCAACAACTAAGATGTTTTTATTTACTCTTTGTGAAACATATCAGCATTAATACGACCTCGGGAAGACAATGTGAGGTACATTTTGTATTTTCAACCTCTCCAAATTGATGTTTTTACATATTTGTGTCCGTTTAACTTTGTGCATAAGCAGACAATGTTTTAACTCTGTATCACATGAAATATAGAGAACTCGAACATTGCATAATTTGCATATTTCCTGATGGGAAATTGGGTATGTGAATTTAATTAAACGTAAATTGTGTGCACTTAAAATAACTGTTTACCTAGATTTGCAGAGGCGGGTTCCATCCCTTATCAAAGAAATGCCTCAAGAACGAGCTATGGCTACCCTATATGCAAAGACACTTGCACCAGCAGACACCCTTAAATAGCTCGAGATTGTTCTTTTCCTTCTATCAGTCAGTAACGTTCAAATGCCAATGCTCTCCATTTAAAAGAGCTCTTCCATTGAGTGTCGTAAAACAAAAACCTAAATAAACTAAACGACCATTCATTACAATGGGAAATTGTCTCAACCCTTTAAGTCCTTGGAGTGACGAGCATTTAATTTTTTCCTTGCAATACCACCCCTGAATGAAACATTAAGGTCACAAGAATAAAGGAAATGATCACAAACTAAAGAAGCTCTTGATTATTAAACAAACTTTTCTTGTCAGCATCTGTACAGAGAGCAGTATGGAGAGTATGCATACTGATGCACGCTGATGCCAGGGTATAATTGGTTCAAGAGTAAGCTAGAACTTAAAGTGGAAAATATTGACTGCCTTAAGCACGGAAAAAACAGCAGTGTACGAGTCACGATTGTTTTCTGATTGGTTGAGAGAGTGACGCGAGTTTTCTTGACCGATTAAAGAGCAAAGTAAAATAAGCCAATGCCACCCTGGGTTGCTTTGCTTTCTCAGTTGTAAATTACTTTATCATAAATTTCTTGAGATCTTAGCGTTGAGAAATGTGGTGTATATCTATTCCTGATGATAACATTCAGGGAAGCCACACACCAGGCTCAGGTTACATTAATCTCTGGAAAGAACCAGACAACTTTAGACTAAAGATAACCTCAAAGAGAATTCCTTAAGGCCTTCAGGGGGAGATTAACCTCGTAGCTACAACCTGAATCACCGGGGATGGAAAACTGAATCGGTCAACATTTCACCATTGTGACATAATGTTTTTTTTAAGTAATTTCTAACTTTGAAAGGGTGAATCGGGACGAATCTGTTTGGTAGATAAATCTGATAATTGGAGAATTTTTCTTATTTCTTAAACAAACTTTGTCCAAGATTAAAAATTCTTCCATAGCTAAGAAGTGAATTGAACACAATTAATATGTATACTATTTTCGAACAATTTTTCTATTGCCTTCATTCTGGCGAGACAATTCAAAAGCGAAACTATCAAAATGATACCCAAATACGCACACGGTAACTGAATGGAAAGAATATTTCTTGAGGTATACGCTCTGAAACTTTCTTTTTCGAGGTTGATAATTTGATTAACTGATAGGGCTCGTGAGGTGAGTTTCCTTTCTTATTCAATTAACTTACTTTACCAAGAAAGAGTAAATTGACAAACCAAGCTATCAAGCTACGACATCGCTTGAAACTTCTCTGTTATGGTAATTTTTTTAACAACCTTCAAGGTCAAAAATTACTTTTGAACTTCGGGACGCAACTTACCTGTTGTTTTTGTAATCCCTCATTACAAATTATCTGAGTAGCTCTGTAAGTTCTTTATTTTTCTTTATCAACCTATTTTCTTTCTTTATTGAATGTTGGGTGTACTTCAATCATGCATGTATCATTGGAAAATTACTTGATTTTCTTACACTGTTTCAGTTACAAGTGCAATTGCTAGTCTAAAACATTTGTTAAGGATGGCCTTAAATGCAAAATTTTAGTCTTAGCATCATGACGGGGTAATTTCTGCAAAAGATTCTTCAATTAAGGCTCATTGTTTTCAGTTTTGGAATAGACACAAGGAATTCAAAGTCAATACATTTTTGAGAACCAGTTTGCTTCAGTTTCTTCAAACGATGTATTCTCGTTTTATCCTAAAATTGATATTGTCTTGCAGCCCAACTTACAGCTTTTCCTGATGGATTTTTAGAGAATTATGAATTATTCAGTCGTTAAATTATACTACCCATTAGTATCATGGACCACTGTTACACAATTATGGACGATATTGACTTTTATCTTGCGAAATGCAAATAACTTGCGGTATTTTCTTTCCCGTGCTGCGCGATACAATAATGTTTTGGCTTCTATTATCTTTTCAAGTTTTCGTATTCGTCCGATTTAGTGTCGCTTCAAAATTGATTCTTAGTCAGGCAGCTGTTAAAATGTTTTGGAGTTATTAAAGACTTACTCAGTGCAGTCTTGTCCTGATAACTCTTTCTAATTTTGGAAATGGTTTCGAGATTCAGTAATCAAGATTTTCCTAAAACATCAGAAGTTAGGTCTTGAAGGTAAGAAAGCCTAACACGCTTAAGGTGCTAGGTCATGTATCGAAAAATTTAAGAGAAAACAAGCTTTTCTTGAACATTGTTTAATAATTCACATAAAGTTTGGTCTTGCTCCCTCTCAAGTCTAGCTGAGAGCTTTCCGAAACGAAAACGTACATCTAGTGTATCTTTATCTCAGCCGGAATATTAACAGGTATTCTTTTGCAAGCAGAGCGTATTCATCTTTTTAGCTAGTTAAAAGCTGTACAAGAGCTTAACAGCTGCAAAGGCAGTAGATTTTTCAAAAATAACCTCGTTTGAAGACTTATCTATAACGGAACACTGAACTGTTTCGCGCGAGTAAACGAACCTCGAACCAGATTTGAATACTGGGGAAGGAAATACGTGCGACAAGATATGAGCGAAATAGAGGTCTCAGTGAATGTTTTAAAACTTCATCGACGCTTATTCATGCTAGAAACTTACTGCATGGCTCCCTCAATTTTAGTAGCCAATAGGGACGTTTTCTTTAAATTAATTTTGAAGGTTTGAAATTTATTCAAGGATGTGACTGACAACCATGTCAAATTTTAGGATTTTTGTCTCCAAAACGCTATAAGCACTTACCATACTATTTCGTTACGGGTCAAAACACGTAATATATAATTCATTTGGTTTATTTTGGGCGTTCACAATGCTAAGTAGTATGAATTCATCATGTTGGCGACAAATCATAATTATTTTTATCGAGAGTTAATGGGCGAAGTTTTCAACGTGAAAATAATTTGTTGGTAAACATAGACGCGTGAACAGAGCATAACCACAGGAATCAAGGACTCTTAGAAGAGACTTCATTGAAGGTGTCAGTAAGTCCAGAAAAACACACACTTGACTCTGATGATGACTTCCGCTCAGTTTTTCGAAACGTCAGTCACTACAATCAACACTCACTTGAACGATCAGACTACACAGTCTGTATTCCATCACCAGCGTCTACGAGAGATTTTCATCGTGAAAGTAGCATGTGAGGGAACAGCAAATATTTCACTATTTTTGCGTGCCCTGTGGCCCTATTATTTGGCACATATTTAACAACTTTTAAACAACTGTTTACAAAGCTTAGTAATGAAGAATCGAGAAGTATTTTAGTGAGTTCAAACGAGTTTATAGTGATTTTAATAAAATAAAACAGGCAGGCATACAAGTCCAACTCAAGAAGTTTGCAGTCTTGTTCTTACCTGTGTTTATTTGTTTTTTGTTTTTGTTTTTTTCATTTCAGAGGAGCGTGTGAACCACTACCAGGTCAGACGTGAAGAGGAGATACGACAAGAGGCCGAACATAAGATAAAAGAAATTCAGGATCGCGAGGAAAGAATCCGACGAGAAGCCGAAGACAGGTTCGAAAAGTATCGACAGCGTCAAGCAGAGATCCGACGGGAGGCCGAACAAAGGCTACTCGAGGAACAAGCCAAAGCTGAGGAGTTCAAAAAGCAAGCAACATTTCAGCTCAAAGAGGAGCAACAGCGAGAAGAAGAGTTACGACGACAAGCCGAAGATCGAATTCAGGAAGAAAAAGAGAAACGAGAGTACATACGGCAAGAAGCAGAAAGACTCCTTCGCGAAGAGAAGCTATTGGACGCACAAAGGCTGAAGCAGGGTTCCATATCACCAAGCCTTGAGAAAGTAACAACATACCGGACTGAAGTTATCATTCCTTCCACCGTCAAGGAAACTGCACCTTTGAGGGAAATTACAGATAAAGGGGAATCCGAAGAGATGGCAGGTGTAATTAGTGAGCAGGAGCTAGACGCAAGACGCCAGAGGCGCAAAACGATGGAGTACGATCCAGAAACGGGTTGTTACAGAAAAATAACAGCAGATGACGATAAAGAAAATACCTTGGTTGAGACCAGAACAGAGAGAGTGGAATATCGTTTTCGTCTCCGCTCAGACGAGAATGCAAAGGAAACCTCAGAGAAGAAAGATACCTCCTCTAATCCTGACAAAGCATCAGAGGACATCACAGTGTCAATGGAGCCAGTAAAATCCTTTAGTACTGAACAAACTATTGTATTGAACGGTGACGATAAATCGAAGAGGAAAAGTAGTGAAGGCGACACTAGAGGTGAAGAGGACCTAAAAAAAGCTGATGACATAATGAAAACCAAGTTTGAAGAGGGTCGGAAGAGATTCGAGCAAGAATCAGTTGGGAAAAAGAGGAGTGACTCTTCTAAACAGAGAACGACGAGGACAACATCCGACGACTCTCTAGAGGAGAAGATCAGAGAAATGGAAAAGAGGAGAGAACGACTGCTTCTCAGAGGGCCATCGACAGAATCGAAAGACACCTTGGGTCGAAGACCGTCGGAAGAAGGAAAGGACTCCTCTGTTGTCAGTCCCGGTGAAGATTCAAAGAGTCTGGTTGATGATGGTACTAAGAAGCAGAGAAGTCGCAGTGAACGAAACAAACGGCGCTTAACAGCCGAGGAGATGACTTTTAAAAAGTCTCCTGGTAGCGAAGAGGATTCAACGGGGACAGATGCCGCAAAAGTACCAAAAAAAGATGTCAAAAGCGAAGAACGCGAAATAGAAACGAAGAAAGAAAGTTACAAGATTCAATTGAAAAAGGTCGAGAAACCAGAAAGACCAGTAGAAGAAGACATTGTCATGACTCAGGTGAAAAAGGTTGAGGCCTCAGTTGACCTCATGAGCTGGGACGACTCCACCGATGGACCTACCTACGGTAGTGAGGGGGATCCAGCTCCAGTTGCCCAAACAGAGTTAACGAAGAGGGCTGACAGCACTGAAGGAGAACTGTTTTCCAGACCGTCGAAGCTGGTTGACATGGAAGCCCCTATCAATGTGGTTAAAAAAGGAGATGTTGAGACCGTGCCCAACTCTAAAAATCTTCTAGACCTTGAAGAGGTGAGTAACTTTCGGAGGTAACAGATCCATAGGGCATTAGAAAATATTTAATTTTTTCGCCCTATACCTGTTCAGGGTACCCTGTTATACTCTCCCACCGAAGCAGCACCACAGTTTCTTTAGAAACTTACCCCCTTTATCCCTGTTCATCTCGAAATGTCAATGGTTTTATTCCCTTTAAAACTGTTGGGGAGAATGGAAAGGGGGTGGGTGGAGTCCAGAAAGTTAAAATGGATCCCACCAATCAAAGCTAATTGAATAGAAAAGATACAGGAAACATATATATACCAAAACATACAAGTAGAAAAAAAACACATCTCTTTTGATGATAGGACATTATGAGGACAGCCTTTTAGCGAACTTTACCAATGCTGATCCAGCATTCGCTGACGCACAACTTCGATTTAAAGTAAAAACCAAAGGGACGAAGGTGGTTAACATTAGGGACTTTAAGGGATGAAAATTCGAACATTCCAATTTTAAGAAACCAGGAGAAAACCCTACTTAATGACTACTAGCGGTACTGAGGGGATTAGGAACTTTGGCGGTGAGTTTGGTGCGGGACCGAGCTTGTTGTCACATTAACAATGGCTATTCTTAATTTACACTTTGCATTTGGAGGGTTAAGTTTTGTCCAATAAAAGGCAATTTCAATTAACGATGGTTAGTTTAAAACAATAACATAATTTGATGCTTGTTTAATCCCTCGGCTGGTATTATTTAATCTACATAACCATTAGGCGAATAAGTATCGTAACCGTAAATCGTTCAAATCTGTGGTGTTCTCGACTCCTTATTGAAGTGTTTCTCATGTCGGTAATCTCTCTTAACCAGGCATCGGGTCTGTCATCAGCACCCATCGAGCCCATCTCGACATGGGACAACAGAGGTCGCACAAGCAATTCCGCCGAAGAAGACCGAAGACGTCGCGAGAGAGAATACGAAGAAAGGAAGCGAAGAATCGAGGAAAACCAACGGCGAGCGGCGAAAGAGCTCAAAGTGAAAAAACTCTACGAAAACGACGTGAAGCCCTGGAGAGGAGAAGAGATCCACGAAGGAAAGCACGATGATGTATCCATAAAGGAAAAGAGACGTTCGTTGGTGGATATGTGGGAGTCATTTTCTGAGCCCCACACCAATGTGTTGTCTTTTGAAGAATACGAAGATGAAGAAATGCCTGAAGAGAGGAACAAAGTCGTGACTCTCGAGAAAAGAGCTGTGTCGGTGAGTAAAAGTAAATTTTTTGATTGATAAACGTCACAAAGTTGAACTGAGGGGTAGAAAAATTGCAGCGGTTTGCAGAGAAACTTGTCTGAGGGATTAGGCCAATTTTGGATCTTAAACTTAGCTTAGATTTGCCTCAACTTGTTTAAAATAAACAAACTTTTCAAGGAGGTAAGAATGCTACTAGTCGTCGATTATCTTTCTATCAGTCTTCTCGATCATTATCAAACGGTTCGGAACACACAGTATTGTTGCGTTGATTAATGCAGTTAATTGTTGCTGGAAACTTGTAGTGCGTTGATTATACGAGTCAAAGTAGAATAAGACACTAGACAGATCAACAGCTCATGAAAATACAACGTCGATAATTTTGTTCAAATTACACAGGTGGGATTTTGACAGCGAAAACTAAGGAAGGTCCATGTACTTATCAAAATTCGATTTCTCTCTTTACACAAAAGATTGACTCGCAGCAACAGAATTTGAATTTCACACCTTGTATCAACCAAAGAGGCTGATGTGTTCCGACTATACAAGTGTTTTACAGTACAAAATGTTCGATAACCGAAACAACAAAAAAAATCCAACTTTGTTGCCAATATTTCAAAGACAAAAAAATAATATCAATATATTTCTAGTGCTGACTGTGGAAGCTTAACAAAACGGATTGTAATGATATCAGACCCGAATTCTGGTAGAAGTCCAGTTTTCCCCAGAGACTCCATCAGCGCTATTATTCATACAAATTATTATTCAAAGTTGGGAAAGGTTTACTTTTGATAGTACTTATAATTTCGAGAATACTTAGCTATATATCGAACGTCACGTGAAAGGTAACGATAACGATCTGTTTATGTGTGGTATAAAAGTCTCTGTTCGAATTTTCCACCAAATTGACCTAGATATAGTCTTTTTTTTAAGAATAAGGTTTACCATTACTGAGGTACGCTAAATCTGTTTGACCCGATCTTTTGTTTTTGCTTTGCCGAATGACTACCAGGTATACTTTGAGTGATTTTTTCACATTCATACAAATACTCCCCAAGTTTATTTTCATTTGTTTGTAAGAAAATCTAAAAAAATAAACGAGAAATAGTTATTTGATCTCCTCTCTGACAGTTTCACGGTCTAAAGACTTCATTAGCAGTCTCTCTATTGTCTGTTAAGATAAATGACAAGTTTAGATGAATTAAGAGAAAGATTATGCAGTGCGTTAAGACAGGTTGAAATTTTAGCAGTGCTCGTCCCACGTATAACTGATCTCACCTTAGTTATTCCCACTTGGATTTCTTAAGTGCCCCTTGAGATATTTGCATAACACGCATGTCTGTACAGGTCCGTTTGATAAAAAATCGCAAGGTTTCTCAAGCTTGGGAGTAGCGGCGAGCTAAATTATACCAGAGTTAACGGTTAAGATGGTTTCAATTTAATTTGGCGAGTAGTTTGATCCGTTGAAAGAGAAAGACGACGAAGGAGACATGGAGGTCGAAGTTATCACCACAACACGACCATCTGCGGACACGGACATCAACCCAAATTTGACTGCGGAGGAACAACGATGGGAGAGCGCTGGACAATTCCAGCCAGGCCGGCTACAAAAAACTGTGTTCCACAGCTTGTCTGAAGCGACCCCTGTCGACGAAAAACCGACACCAAAGCCTCGTAAGAGTCGATACGACTGGATGAAGGGGGAGACAGAAGATGACCAAGCGGCGCTTGTGCCAACGAAGTTAAAAATTGACCGGCAGAGTAATCAACTTGAAGATGGGACATTCAGGTGAGAAAATTTTAATAGTCTCTCTACCAATCTTTGGCAATTTTGCCGACCGTTGCACTGAAAATACAACCGACTGCAGTCGAAACAAGCAGACGAGCACGTATCTTAATCACGTTCAAGGACCGTTCCACTTGCCTGACCTCCATTGCAGTTAGATTATCAAAATGCCTGGATTTTTCTTTTAACGTTAAAGTAATGCATAAAACGCTATATTTTTTTTTACATTTGTACCGCAATATTCATGGCCAATACTCGAGGGAGAGCTCTCGCTTAATCCAAACGGCACGTAGTGTTGGTTTAAGGATTTAAAACCTGAATTCCTGAATCGACTTGTGGTTTTGAGTTTCACAGCTGCGTTAAAATCAATTATTGCTAAATTGTGTTTTTTGAACGACTTTTTCACCGACAAAGTAGACTTGCGGTCGCATACGTTTGACTCTTGATTGTTTTAATGGCTGTGCGTGGGTCTAAAGGGCCTGAAAATACTGATGAAAAATTCCTGTCAAGTATTAACGAAATGTTATTTTTGATATTCGTTGTAGAATTTTGTAAATATGTTGTTTTTGTAAATATGTTGTTTGTGGTATGGATGACTAATTCAAACACAATGCTTTTATTTACATGTTCACCTCATTCATTGTTATCATAAATACTGATTTAGTATTTTTAAGCAAACTACAGTGGTAATTATTTCAAGGAGATTTGTGAAATGATGTGTAGTTTTGAATTAGCATTTAACTCGGTAGATCGTCACGCCACCTGTCACGCGGTATGTCACGCATTCTTTTTACTAAAATCAAAGACCAAATTCATGTTAACCTTTTAACTTCCACATTAAATTTGTAATTCTCCTTACTGTCAACCATACAATTCTTATAATGTTGGTTCAGAGAATTGAGTATTGGACCAACTAATAATCTCCAGCTGATAGTTCTCTTTATTCTCATCACTTATCTGGTTGATATTGTATTGATATTGTAAGGAGAAATTCTGTCTTGGTCACTCATGAGAGTTAAAGGGTTAAATTAAAAGCAACTGGAGAATATAACAAGACTCTTGAAACAACTCATACTTTGCCTCTTCCGTCGAGATTGAAATTTCTTTTAATTAATTTTCTTTTCCAAATGTTTACAAACGTTTCCTGTTATTTTCCTTTTTCAGCAACGGTCAAGACAGAACAAGTCCACCCGAGGTAGCTTGAATATTTATTTAAGATTCTTTAAATGATACAATTTTATCTCATAAAGCAGTGGTATCGTTGTGTAACTGTTCCATTTCCTTAACCTGTTTGAATCTTTCGGTAAAGTGCAGGAATAAGGAACGTTTACGTACAAGTTAAGTAACGTATACTCTGGAATGGACTGGACTGGACTGGACTGGACTTACCGTACTAATACCCCATTCACACTGGCAAAAAAATGTGTAGTTAAACCGGATTTAACTGAATGAAAACAAGAAACAGAGAAACGAGGAACCGAATTTTCCATGGGATTCAAGTAGTCCCTTACTTGTATGTTCAATGTGCTGCATTTGAAGTCGACAAACATCGGTTCAAGTAGCTTCTATGAAGAAAAAAAACTCAATCGTATTAAACAAAACGCCTTCAAAAAATGTTTAAGCTTTGGTGTGAATGGGGTATATGTTTAAATGAGACAATGAAATAAGGAAAGGCAATTGAAAGTCTATTTTGATTTTTTTAGACCAAGAAGTTAGATTCTACGCGATATGTACCGTTTAAAGAATTAGAAGCGACAACTTTGTCTTGTTTAGTATTAGTTTTTACATTTTATGTTAGAGCTTTGAATATCAATTTCACTGCATTTCCCACAGTGAATCGAGACTAGAGAAGAGCAGGCTGACAGAAGACGCGCGAAAAAGGACTCACGTGAGAAACGAGACGCGCAGAGGACAGGATGCGTGTAGCAAGACTGCTAAAATATCTCCTTCTGACATATAACGCAAGTCTGCTTCTCGTGAAAATACGCTCTAAAATTTCCACTTTGTTTTACTCCTTAGCCAGTCCCAAGGAAGGTCAAGACGGAAAGCCATGATTTAAAAAGCAGCAGCGAGAGCGAAAGCGAAAGCGAGAGTAATGAAGGAAGTGACAGCGAAAGTGATAATGAAGAAGAGAGGGTTCCTCGAGTGGATACCGTTGAAGTTCTCAACTCACAACTCACAGAGGAGGAGAAACAGTGGGAGCAAGCGGGAAATTTCCAACCCAAAAAGCTAAATCTTTCTCTATTTGCTGGGTTTCAACAAGCACCTGCGAATGCAGCAGACAGACCGGCACCAAAGAAGACACAAGGAGCATCCCATCCCTCGCAGTATAAAAAGCCACTTGTGAACAATGAAGAAGAGATTCCCGCTCCGGCTGAAGTGAAAGTTCAGGAAACTGAGCCAGAAATGGAGGACATCAGGTAAATTATTTAAGGTTTTGGGAACAACTCTTGGCGCAAAATCACTTCATTACATTTGCTTACCGTCACGTTTGGTTTGGTTATTTTCTGGTACGAAGTAGTCAGCGGACACTTGAACCCCTTAGAATGACTTGGATAAAATTTCTCCTTACAACAGCACCCCCAAATAGCATATTAAGGCCACAAGAATATAGGAATGATCCCCAACTAAATTCTCCTCATCAGCACCTTAAGAAATGTATACAGAAAAGTATAGAGAATATGCAAACTGATTTTAGGGTGTGAAGGGTTCACTTCAAACACGTGTTTCGTATTTCTCCTTTTCAACTGTGATACGTTTTCTTGTTGATCAGTTAACCCTTTAACCTCCAAGATCTCATTAGTAATTCTCCTTACTGTCTGCCATATAGTTCTTGTGATGTTAATTTGGAGAATTTGTTATTGGATCGACTAATAATCCCCTAGTTAATATTTTTCTTTATTCTCATCACTTTCTGCTTGATATTGTATTGATATTGTAGGGAGAAATTATGTCTTGGTCACTCATGGGAGTTAAAGGGTTAAGGAAACTTGCTACCAACTTATGATTCCCCTTGTAGCTCTTTCTCATTTCCTACGTGCTAAATAATGTATTGAGTTTTCAAGAAGACGTTGCATGTTAACCCCTCTACCCTAGAAAGTGTCTAGCACTTGATTTCTCTTTACAGTATCACTAATGAATTAAACATTAAGCAAGACTAACAGATGTGATCGCCAACTAAACTATCTCACGATTGTTGGACAAATTTCTCCTTGTCACTACCCAAAGAAATCCTTTACGTCAAACTTGCAACTAATCCATGAAATCTGAAAGACATCGATTGCTGTACTTTTCATCCCAGAAATGGAAATATTTTAGAGATATTTTCATGCAATCAATCCTTCACGCCGATCATCATCTGTTCAGAATTCAATAGTGTCTCATGATGATGATATGATCTCTGAGTTTTAAATCTATCGACCATACTTCATTTAATTTTCAAATTTTTTTTTTTTCAAAGAGAAAAACAGCTCATTTAATTTAAGATTTTTTTTTCTTTGCAGTCCGGTTCTTGAAGTAAAAACAGAGACAGAGGTAAGGTTTCAATGTTATCTTGTGATTATTTTTTCTACACCTTAGAATTCAATCGCCTTAGGATGCTCTGCTGTAGGAAAACGAGTTGAAAGATTTTTTTACCGCACTGGTAAAGTTGGGGGCGAACTTTTTTCACTGCAGGGGGCGAACTCGCAAAGGGGGCGAACTGGTATCGAGAGACACTTTTTCACACAATATCCCAGACAAATCGAAGTTATTAGAGAGTGAGGATTCGAGAGGGTAATTTAACAGTAATGCATTTAAACTCGTAATGAGAGCCTTGCTAATGCTGCAATCATTAACCTTTTGACGAGATGTACTGGTGAAGGTGAATAGTATGTTTATGAGAGTAAAATATTATTTAATAAAAGCGCAAGATGCTGCATACAACACAACTATTAGCTTATAATCTGCGCAACAGCACCGGCTAAATCACATTAATAAACAAATGCAAAACTGACTACAAATTGTTCTTACTGCTTTTAACGCATTTAGGAAATATATTCTTTTGTTTTCTTCGTAATGGCAACGAATTATTTAGACGACTGCAACTAATAAACGAGCTTTCTAACACACAGTTTACTTGTTTTGTTTTTAAATGTGAGCTTTTTGTTTATTTTAAACACCAGACTGTTAAAAGTAACTTAAGCCTACACATGCGCTGCTGCTGCTTATTGCGTTGTTGTATACCTGGCTTAATTTCTCTTGAGAAAGAAGACAACCATAGCTCTTGGAGAGGAGGGCATTGAGAGCTATCACTTTGACTCCAAATACCGGACAAAATATCCAATAAAATTCAAACACCAAATCGAAATAACTCAACCCAAAGGTTCGAAGATTTTAATCTAATTTTATAGTTTGGGCTATTTTAAAAACGATCAAAAAACCATTTTAGATTTAAGAAAAAAAAAAAAAAACCACGGAAACCGCTGCGGATGTCAAAGCCACGAAAGAAGCCACTTTGAATAGAAAAGATCGAAAAACCGATTTCGAAAATTACCAATATTGAAAACAAAAAAACCAAATGCCCTCCTCTCAGTTCGATAGCTAAACCTCATTTAGCGGCTAAACTGTATTAATCACTTGTAGCCTCTCTCATCTTCGCTTTACACCTACACGTATGAGGAGGAAAGTGATGACGACGATGACGTTCCCGGGTGGAGAAAGGTAGAAGAGCAACGAAGACAACAAGAACGAGAGGAAATCGAAAGAGCGAAAGAGGAGGAAAAAAGACGACGGGAACAAGAGGCCATGGAAGAGGAGTCACAAAAGCAACCTGATTCAAGTGACGATGAGTTTGAAACCAAAGTGCGCACAAAGGAAGTCAGAAAGATTAATCCAAATCTGTTGTTTCAGTTCATGAAAGAGGCAGACAAAGAACCAGAGAGACCCCTGAAATCGTCGAAACCCAAACAGCAACAAATAGATGTATCCAGTGTCTCGTTGTCAGAATCTACACCCGTTGTCGACAACCCCTCCGAAGACGGCTATGCAGGAGACCAAGAAAGAGAGGTGGAAGATGAGTACGAAGAGAAAGTACGGAGCGGACAAGTAAGAAAGTTGAAGCTAGTTAACAGTCCTTTTCTTCAATCGAAGGAAACGGAGATTGCTCCTGACTACCGTCGGGATGAGCCCCGTAGCTCTCGAATTATCAAAGACGAGATCTACGTAGAGAAAGTTGAACACTCGACTGTCGAGTCTGCGCCAAGAAGAGACTGGGAAGAGGGGGCAGATGAGGTATTCAAGCATGCCGCTGTCCTTAGCGATCCACATGAACGCGATCATACGTGTTTTGTTAGTACCAAGTAGTTGACAAATTTTTGGCAAGCGACTTATCAACGCGAACCATACACTAAATTCGTAAGGTGGCCTTTAGATTACGTATTGCAATCGAAATCACACTGTTCTTTAGTTTAAAAAAATGTACACCTGTGGAGTGATCCGGCTTGCTAATAACAAACACAAGACAGTGTAATATTGCTGTTCCGCAATTGCACCATTGAAAATAGTCACGTTTTGTTTGTTCGTTGTTTTCTGTTTCACACTAAAGACCAAACGGCGGCACCCATGTAACGCCCTATCACCTAACACCTACTGGTGGTTTATAATTTAAGTTCAAAGTGCTATGGTCCTTCGTGGGAATTGTTTCAATGATGACGCAACTCCCTTATCTGGTATCAATAAATTTAAGTATTGCGTGAAAAATCATTGCAACAGCTGTAAAGTAGACTAACATTAAACCACCGTTGTATAGACCACTACTATGAAATATGCGCGCAAAAATATTCCGTACGGAATAGAAGTCGAGTTGGTGTCGGTGAACAAGTTTTGCACATTTTCTTAGACGTGATTCGTTTTTTTTTTGTCATTAGCCTGAAGTCGACAACGTTGCTGGCGCAACTTTGGAGAGTTACGAAGAGGAAAGTGAAGATGATGGTGTTCCTGAATGGCGCAAAATGGAAGAAAAACGAAGACAACAAGAGCTGGAGGAAATTGAAAGGGCCAGATTAGAAGAGCAAAGGAGACGAGAACGGGAAGCGCTTGAATCCAATGAACAGGAGGATGAAGATTCAATCGATGATGAATTCGAAGCAAAAGTTCGAACCAAGGAGATTCGAAGAATCAATCCTAATTTGCTTGTTCAGTTTATGAACGAGTCAAAAGAAGAACCCGCAAGTGATAGAAGACCCAAACAGGAAATCGTAAAAACTCAACACGTGTTGGTGACGGAAACCACGTCCAAGGATGACAGCGATCATGAAGATGCTCTGGAAAAAGATGACGAGTTTGTCGAGGATGAATACGATCTCAAAGTGAAAAAAGGGCAAGTGAACAAGCTTGTCCTTGACAACAGTCCTTTCTTGCAAAAGCAAACCAGAAACGAGACACCTGTTTTGCAAACGAAATCAGAACCAAAGACTATTAAAGTACCTAAACAAGCCTTGCAGGATTCTTTTGTGCGGGAAGAAGAGCTTGTTCAAGTAATTGATGAGAAAGTTGTGGAGTGTCAACCTGACTTGGGTTTCCGTGAAGGAAACGAACACGATGAGTACGAGGTAAAAGTTAAATCCAAACTTGTTAAGAGGTTAAGTCATGACCAGTTCCATTTTCTCCGCAAGCAAGAAGAAGAGGAGCGTAAAAGGCTTCAAGAAGAGGAGCGACGTCGAATAGAACGCGAGGAACGCGAATTACTTAAAAAAGAGGAAGAGCGTAGAAGAAGGCTAGAGGCTGAAGCCCGTGCTAGAGAAGAAGAGAGGATTCGCAAAGAAGAGGAAATCAGAAGGCAGGAAGAAGAAGCGAAAGCTCGTAAAGAGGAAGAAAACAGGCGTCGGCGTGAAGAGGCTGAACGAGTTAGAAAGGAGGAGGAAGAACGGTTACGAAGAGAAGAAGAAGAGGAGCAGATGCGCATGGAGGAAATGCGGAGGCAAAAGGAAGCAGCTAAAAAGAAATTTCAGACCGGAATTTTTGATGATGTTCCTGTGACTCGTTCTGAGAAGGATATATACAGCGTGGGGCGTCTTGATGCGAATAAGTTCTTGCAATTCCAGCAAAGTCCTACGGAAGAACCAAAACTGAAGTCAAAAGCGCGGTACGACCAGAAGGTAACAAAAGAACCCAAGGTACCAGAAGCTGTTGTAGAAACTGTTCAAGTGGCATCTGTTGATTTGATTGAAAGCAGTCCTTATGAGGAAGATGGAGGATCTTTGCTATCCGAAGACGCAGAATACGAAGAAAAACGAAAGAGTGTGGGAAAACTGGACAAGGAGTGGTACATTTTACAGCAACGAAAGCAAGCGGAAGAAAATGAGCGGCGAGCCAAAGAATTAGAAGAGCAAAGGCTAAGAGAAGAACGTAATGAAATATTCCGGTTTCAGGACGACGAGTCCACTCCAGAAGTTGTTGGCACTTTGGAAAAAAGAAGAAGCAAGCTTAGCGCCGACAAGTTTAGTGTTTTTGAACAGGATGCTGTGGGAGGGAACAGTGGACCCGGAAAAACCCAAAAAGAAGGTTCAAGTATGGTTAAAAAGAGGGAAGAAGTTCAATCTGCACCTGCAGAAATAAAAGAGTATGAAAGTAATGGAAAGATTAATCGAATGAATTATGACGATGACAATGTTATCATTCTCGGAATGGATGATTCCGAAACAGTCCAACGGAAAATGCGTCTCCAGCGAGAAAGAGACGAAAAACAACTGCTTCGCCAAGAGGAGGAAAGGAGAAGATTGCTTGCCGAGGAAAGTTTGGACTACCGTGACAGTGAAACAGAGAGTGATAAACCCAAGAGTGTTGGAAAACTGAATTACCAACAATTCTCTGTGTTCCAGCAGGAAGGACCAGTCGCTCCGATAGCAAAACCGCGCAAGCAGGACCCGCAAGTGATCCAAGAAGTGGTCAGTGTCAAAAGTCAGGAGGTTGTTGAAAGCTCTCCAGTCGATATGAACGAAGCTTATGCCTGCCACGGGGGTCCTGCTGAGACGCAAGAAGATGTTGAGTATGAGAAAAAGATCAACGCAGGCCAGAGACTTGATGTGGAAAAGTTCTTGAATGCCAGGTCTCAGGAGTCAGTAGAGAGAACACAACGTGCTAAACGAATGGCAGAGGAGAGAATGCGTCAGGAGCAGGAAGAGCTGGCTAAGTTAAGATTAGAGGAACAAAGGCGGATGCAAGCGGAACTAGACGGGGGCTATGAGAAAGAAAGTGATCTTATTCAGCCGCTGGAAACCGAAAGTAGGAAATCTATAACCGGTTCCGATTCTGAAAGGTCACGAAAAGTGTCCATTGAAAGAAAAACGTCGACACCCATGGAACATGAGCCAGAGAGTACCGAAAAAGGTGTTGGTGTTGGTGTTGGTCGTTTACCAGAGGAACTTCGTTTACAATTTGAGAGTGATAGCAAAAATACAAGTTCTCGACGACAGTCCACTAAAATAAAAGGCTCAAGATCACTAACAGACGAAGAATCGACAAGGACAAACTCGATTGAGAGTCTTCGCAGTATTTCTGGTGAAAGTATGTCTTCTGGGGCGCGAGAAAAAGACATGAATGGAACCGCTAGTATCACTGAAAAATTGTCGTCCTTAGACAGGTAAGTACAATTTAATTTCAAACCTTGTAGTAATATACTGATTTTATTCTTAGTGCTAGACTCACGGTCCATTAAGAGCTCATTTGGAAACTTCTGGCGTAACATACCTGTGTGAGATACCGATAAAAATCGCTTAGTTGATTCGTAATCAGGTTTTTCCAATGCAGAATACGCTTGAAACTTTCAGCTTTTACAGAAAATCGTAAACCAAAACTGCTATGATTTGGAGGACATGTTTACCTTCACGACCTACATTTATATACCACGAATGCTTTCTTTCAGGAGGGAGTCCAATCAGGAAGTTCAAGTGGAAGACAGAACAACAGAGGTGTGTTTTATAAACTTTTTCCACACATTATTTTTATACATTACTTTTGGATCTGTCCTCTCGCCAAAAGAAGTAAACTATCTATGAATGAACAGACAACCTAGCTAATTTCCAACCAAGATGACCGGAACGAATGAAAGCCTTTTATTAGGATACATAGACGTTTACTTTGTGACATTTTCAAACATGTAAATAGAATATATCACATATTTCAACAACCACACAGTAATCTTTTTTTAAGTAAAAAATTCAAAAAAAATTCCAATCGGAACCGTTCCACTGCTATCAGTAGAAGACGTAGTAGAACGGCGCCCAAGCAAAACTACATTTTGTGAGCAACTCATGGGCCAGTTCCAAAAGAAAAAGAACAGATCAGCATTAGTTTCACGAGAAATAAGTTCAGATGTCGGATTTCACAAGATTTCGCTACTTTTTGGATGATTCATGTTTGCTTATGCCTGGATATAGTTTTGGTTTCGAGTTCCAGTGACACAGTTGTTGAACTATACACCTGCTATGATAAATAATCTTAAGGTTTCCTGGTTATAGTCTTACTCTCCAGAGGAAAAACCAATTCCTAAGAAACTCAACACGAGTATGTTTGCTGCCTTTGAGAAGAGCGACCGCGAACCAGTACAGCTTCGGCGTGCAAAGAGCGAGAAGCGTGCCAGACCCAAGAGCATTGGAAACGTGGACTTATTGATATGGCAAGATGACGCTAATCTTTCCCATCCTCCCACCGACGTTTCAAGAGGGGGATCTGGGCGCCAGCCACGACCAAAAAGCATTGCATTTTGAGCAACGAATGTTGGCCAATAATCGATGAAACATATCATGATGTAGTAATTATACGTTTAATTGTATAGCTATAATAATTGCGATAAACTTTGTGCGAAATTTGAACAATTCGGTTGGTCCGAATGGCGAACGATCCACGTTTGATTAAATTTCGTTATGAGAGCTCTTAATATTATGATACAAAAGGTGTAGGGGGGGGGGGAAGGAGGCACATCTCGCTTTAACATGTTCAGTATACTCCAAGACAATTCAATACAACACTTACCCAAGTGCTATTAAAAGCATCTTTTTCACGTGATTAGATGTATGAAACGTCATTTTTCAACAAAAACAGTTTTCATATCGTTAAGCCAGGGTATGATCGCTGAAAAAAAAGAAAAGAAAACGACAAAAAAAAATAGTTGACATCATAGCAAAACTTCGGCAAAGGTTAAATATGTTTCCAGTGTTAAGTTAGTTCCTAATTTTTTACTTAAATTTGTAAGTCAATTTGATTAACCTTTTGTTAATGACCAAGTCGACAAGAAAGGGTTAGAATTTTATAGAATGGAACTTTACGATGGGTTGTTGGCTGTCGACATCTTGCGTTACGCATAACTCCAAGTTTACAGAAATGTCGAAGATGTAAAAAATTCGTGGAGGTTTTTTCATAAGTTTGTAACCAGATAAAACATTAGCACCGAAAAATCACTTTAAATCTTTACTCTTAATATCTGATTGTTAATTCTCCCCTCTAGCTGCTTCACATTTTGTTGTAAATTAGTTACGAGAATTTGGTGTTAGATCAAGGTAACAACTTCTACCTGTTTGCTGAATAATGCATGTTTTTTTAATAGTGGGGAGAAGTTTCATATCAGTCACTCGTGGAAGTTGAAGGGAAGGGTTAATATCCTTTATGAAATCATTATCGTCTTTGTCGGCGTATGTATCAGTAATGAAAAATGATAAGATATCGTAGATAGTTATACGTGTATAAGCTCTGAAGAAATTTGGAACATTTTCAAAATCACTCTTTGAGGGCCCATGATTCTAAATAACCCACTGAGGGCCCCATACTTAAACGAACCCTTCTAATATCACCCGCTAAGAGCCCCATACTTAAGCGAACCTTTTTAGTATCACCCGCAAAGGGTCCACTACTTAGCTTTACTCAAAATCCCCGGTTTTCGCCCAGTCAATATCAAGATCAGAATTCGTAATGGTAGATTTTGGTTCAAACAGGAAGACCTATAATATAACAAGGTCGTCAATTGAAAGATCATTTTAAGAGAAAATTTCAGCTTTACAACAGGCGAACAATATACCCAGAGAAAACAGAGGTAGAAAATCAAAGCTGACCGATTCATATTGTTAAATTTTCGCCCGCTAAACAATTCTACAAATTACAGAAACTGTCATTGGTGTTTTCTTTGTAGGACTTGACTTATTTTAAGTCAATCATTTGGAATAAATAATTTAAATTAAGTCTGAGTACTTGTCTTGATTGCAGTGTTATTTGCGGAGTTTTTATTTCTACTTTCAGTCGCTCTAGCCTTTCTTTTCTGCGAGATACAATTTTCGACGACACAAAGATATGTAAGAATGAACCTTCGAGGTAACTGATGGTTTCACTAACGACCAGTTCGCTAATGTCTCAGGTCGTTTCGCCAACGTCTTATAGGTCGTTTTGCTAGCGTAGTACAAAACGTTCAGTGAATTCATTGGTAGAACTTGATCGACTTCTAATCGACCGAAAAGTTGTAGGGGAAGTCAAATAGTTTCAATACAAATTGAAAGTTGATTCCATACATGTAATCACTGTGACTTCAACCAGTCGATCTCAGTCCATTTTCGGCCAAAAGTACACGTATATTTACGGTACATTTCATTTGTCGCGACTTCGAAGAAAAAAAAAACTTTAAAGAGACATTAGCGCAGTAACCTAGAACGTTAGCGACACGATCCACGAAGTTAACGAAAGCAATTCACCTTTGGATGGTCTGCATTAACGATCCTTTATTGTTTTAGTAAAGCATGTTTGGTTCACTCCGCGGTCTCCTTGAACGTCCCGGAAAATTTAGCACTACTACAAAACGATGTTGTGGTACCCTTTAAATTGGCTTATTCCCGCTCCCCGGTAAAAAGTGGATGCGTGTGATCTCTGCTTTAACCATCACGCATGAAATAATTTTCTGGAGGCTACTCAAAGGAATTCTAAACATCCGACCGTAGTCCTCAAATTAATATAATAAAGTACTACAATTCTAAGAGACGATATCTTTGTTGCTAAGAAGCAGACGCTTCCAATACTAAAAACTTGACATGCCATTTGCGGTGAAGTCGTCAGTCGAAGATAATGAAAACTTAAATGTCATCTGAAAGTCTTCCGGTGTTCTTTTAAACTATTTACTTTGTGCTCGTTATTTGAATTTACTGGAATTATCGATATCTCCCAAAAGTGCAAATGATATCACTTGTGTTAACTAAGCATAGGTAGTTCGCAATACGTCTTTGTACTCCCGGGGTGACATCTGCGTCACGAAAGTTATAATTATCATGATATCACTAAAAACTCGGCGGGGACCCATTGCACGGAAGCCATTAGTTCCAGTTCATCCACTTTGTTTTATAGTGACCCCAGTTGCTTACGTCTCGGATTTCAATGATGGTAGTTGCTAGGGATAAAATCGAAGACCTTGAAGGCAAGATCAATATCAAAATGTTGTGTAAAACCGTGGGAAAAGTATACAATAAGAATGTAAAATGCTATGAGAGAAGAGAGTACTTTCTTTTACTTATTCACCTGTTTTTCGCTCACCAGTCATGCAGATAATTCTTGAAAGTTCCATAAAGATGGACGAGTGAATGGATTAAAAAATTCAATAATTAGTTGTTAAAAAGCGGTATAGCTGTGTTTCCCACTGATTTAAAAGTAAGGGGTAATTATATAAGAAGTATGACGATTATGATGCAGAATCATCGATCCACATTAAATTTTTCTGGAGTCATATAAATCCAAATTTACTACCACCTGGAGGTCTTTAGAAAACTAACTGGCAAATGATTAAATATATCAAAAATTTCCAGCTTGTGCGTGCAAAGGATTAACAAATTGGTAATGTTCGTGCTACGAATTCTGTCGGTTTTCCTTTGCCTGGGAATAACCTCAACGAAAGAAAGCAACTTCAAAGGAAGCGTGGGAAATTGGCCGAGTTAGTTATGGTCGAATGAAGATGTCATTATCCTCAACAAAGAAAGTGATTAGTGCATTTTTTATTAACAATTCCTAAAAACAGTTCAGGAGAATTCAAACTTTTATCAGCAAAAATAATCGAAAATCGACAGAACAAACGGACAGCAAACGGGTCCATACTGTTTTTAGTTTCTGCGTTGCGAATCAATTAGCAATAGTGGTACCGTTTTTGACCTGGAAAGTGAAAATTCGGCCATAGAGGAAAGTGGGATGTGTTTAAACAACACTGGCTTCACGCATGAGGCAGAACCTTCTAGTTGCGATAATTATCTTTGGATCAGTCACACTCCAATAACCCTGTCCACTGTTCGTCCTGTTGTTTCAGGTCGTTGCTATATTACGGTCAGTCTCTTAGACTCGCTCAGATGAGTTGGCAATGTTACTGGGTACAGTTTGTGTCACGAATCAACATATTATAATCAAGTTGAGCAGTGCGGTTCGTTCGGTCCATTTTCAAGTCCTCTCCACGGAAGAAGGTAATATTTTACTTTCCTTTATCTAAAGATCAAGAGCACACTGCATGTCAATAAAGTTAGCGTAAGGAGTGAGGGGCGAATAAACCTCTTTTAGAGGAGCATACGAAGTTAGACAAGACCCTACCTTAATCGTAACACTTGCTATAAAATAAAATGATTAATGTTCTCTACTACAAAAACATAAGAAGCTGCAGTTATTACATCTTCATATGAGTGCAGTTTGATAATCACAGAACGTATTTGGAAAAATCTGATAATCTTTGCGTGTTTACTTTCCCAGATTAATGTTCAGATTACGGCTTGATCTCTATCAGTTTATTACAAAACCCTAGAAAGACTCCGAACTTAGTTAACTCAGTCGGTTGTCCAACTTGTATTTACTTCTTAACGCTTGAGGAACTCAGGCACTCCATCGAATTCAATCGTGTCTCTAGATTGTTCCAGACACGAATGCCTAATGTATATTGCAAAATTGTCGAGGATATGTGGCAGGGTGAGGGGGGATATCTATCATCAATTTCAAGCACCTTTTTCCGTTATTGTCTTACGGAACTTTCCAGCAAACAAACCCCAACCTTTCTTTGTCTATTAAATGGGAGTACGTAAGAGTTTACACTGATAAAACAAATGATACGACTGTCTAATTTAAATACAATACACAGTTAATTGAAAATAAAATATTTTCAGCTCTTGGAAACGCCACAGATTAGAGAGAATCGGCTTAACATTTTTGTGTACGTTTCAGTATTTTTGATTGAGCATGCTTGAGTTGAACAGTTTGCTTGTGGCAACTCAACTAAACAAAAACATGTAGATAAATCTATTGTCGGCAATCTCGTTCTTTCGTAAGGAGTCGAGAAAAGTCAAATAACTACAAACTGTTTTTTTCGGCGTTTGAGACAATAAAACTGTTAGAGTAAAGGCTAATGAGAATCGATATTTCGATAAAAATAATCCTAGGGAACGAAGTCTCGGACCAAAATCCAATATACCGATCATTAAGACTTTGGTATTCCTGAACCTTTTCAGAAGACAAGTAGATATATCAAGGGAGTTGCTTGGAACTTAAAAATAAGACTTGTGGCAAACGGTAAACGACACATGTAAAATTCTTTCATCCGCTTTTTTTGTACCAAGTTTACTACCTTGAAAGTATTAGAATTAATAATATATGTTGTTTCCGATGTTTTTTTTTTTTTTTTGGGGGGGGGGGTTTAATTTATGTTTCAAGGGAAAAAAAACAAAAAAGGAAATCGCAGGGGTTTTTGCCGTATTCCGTTACTGTGAATGTCATTATTAATAACTCTTATCTTAAAATCGCCAGTTTATGCTAAAAGTTGAGTTGTAGCAGGTTGTGACGCACGATATCTTACGCATCACCTAAGATAGTAAGTTAAGGTGAACAATCGCTCGTTAAACACGTACTACTGGGCGTAACGCCGAAGAAACACTTTTCTTATTATGGATAACACTAAATAGAAGCAGAGGCAATAAATGCTACCTTATCCACCGTAAAGAGTTCCTACAGCTGACGTTTTGAGCGTTAGCCCTTTGTGGGAGCGAATGATTTAGTTTTACCAAAGAAAACTTGATGAGTGGTTATAAGCTCACAACTTTCTTACACTTTTCCCTCATGGTTTTTCTACCTCACATTGCCTCAGTTCTAAAGAAGGACCTTTAACAAGATGGCTAGGAATACTACAGTCAAACCTGTATTAAGTTGTCACCCGAGAGGAATGGCGGATGACCGCTTAATACAGGTGGACTACTTAATGCAGCTTGACCGGCAAATGACTTGTCTGATGTTCGTGCGTAATATTTTTCCAAACAGTCCAAAGAAGAAAGATAAAATACAGTGCGTTGACGACAGTTGAACTGAAAGTTACTAACATTGATTCCGGGAGATAAACATGGAATAAATTTGACTTAAGAGAATTCTTAATGCTATATGAGAGGTTCGGCTTTAAGTGATCATTCAATTCAGGTGGAAGACAATACAAACAGGTCGTTAGGACTCAGTCAAGGGTGACCACGAACACTCAATAAAGGTGACTGCTAAATAGAGGTGAAAATTACCGGCGTTAAGTGGAACAAAATTACGGGACTTTGACAACCGACCGCTTAATACATGGTGACCGCTTAATACAGATTCGACTGTAGTATGTCACAATTGTTTCCGTATCAATTAAAAATATAATTAACCTATTGGCCCGGCAGGCTAGAAACCACTATATATCAATTGATTTAAGTATTCATAGATCAAACTCAGATCAGATCAAACAAGAATTAATTCCTCCAATCCCCGCACGAGATTTCGCAAAGTCCTCTGGGAAATAATCCCACACTCAATCGCTATATTCTTCACTTTTTACGCAGCACAACAACGAAAAAATCTCCGAATTCATCCCATGACGCCGCTTGGTTAGATAACACGAAGGAAACTCTTCCTTCCACTTCAAATTGAGAAAAAATGTCACAAATTATCACGAGAAAGGTGTTCACGTATTCCAGCGCTTCGACACAGCACCCGATCGAAATAACAGGCGAGGAGGGCACCATCCTAAAACCAGAAACGTTTCCTTCGAGTTACGAAGCAGCAGTTGCAGAAAGTCCACACAGTGAAATAGACCAAGGAGGTGGAATTGCCTTCAAAATTCGTGGCAGTAAAGATGCTAATCCAGCATATACAAAACAAAGTTCAACAAAGATCGTTCGGACATTTGTTACGAATGAAGAAGAGAAGAAACAGCTCGCCAACGAGGCAGCACTGCCTAATACTGAACAAAGTCTTGCGATATTACAAGAAAATATTCAAACAACGAATAGACACTCAACCACTGCAGCCAACGAAGACCCTGGAAAACACACCAACGTGGACTCTACTAATATAACAGCTACCAGCAGACGAAGGTCAAAAACGAGTTACACATACAGAGTTCATGATGGCATAGCAGTGTTGGAAAATGTAACAAGATACCAGCCTGAAACGCAAACAATCACAAACTTTGCGCGCGAAAAACCAAAACATACAGAGATATCCAATGTATCCTTTGAAATAAATACAGAAGACCTGGCAACAAACCAAGACCATGACGTTCAAAAACAAAACACTTTCAGAACAAATCTGGCCTTTCAATCCAAGCCCAAGACGATATTTACGCAAATGGATATGGTCTCTAAATCAGAAAATAGAGCCGTAAGAGAAATATCTGGTAATCGTCATACTGAGGGCATTGGCCAACCATCAACAGACGCAGAAAAAAGGAGACAACTAAAATTAACCACCCGAACTACGGCATACCATGCCACAGCACAAAATTCATCCCAAGGAGAAAGGCAACTTATTGACACCCCCCAAGACACCCAGAAATCACCAACATACTCTTACTCAGTCACAAGCCCAGGCCCTTCTCACAAGATTTTTGGATCAGAGGTGTACGGAGAAAAATCAATAACACAACCGCAGCACCAAAAAGAGCGTCTCCCATCAACCAATACAAAACAAATAACGACACAGCACCAAACAACAAATATATCTGACTCTGGAAAACTTATAATTCCCAATTTTACTCAATACACTTCAACCAATCAGGTAAAACTATGTGAGCCAACACCAAAGGACAACAATGTCAAAAGTGACGAAAAAGTAAAAGACCCCAACACTGAGGAGTGGGTCACACAGGTAGTTACTCAGAAAGATGTCCGTTCAGAAAAATCGCTGCCAACAAATAAGCTCTCAGCATATAAAATGCAACTTCTTCACAACCAAGATACACAGCCCAAGAAAAACCTCGACAAATCCAGCCCTGGAAGACTTGTCATTCCCGACTTTAATCAAAGTACTTTCACAGCAGAAGTCAAAGAGACCAAGCCATCGCCCAAAGTCGACAAACTCAAAACTGAAGAGTGGAGAACACAGGTAGTTACCAACGAAGAATTCAGATCAGAACCAACTCTCCAGGCAAACAGGCTCTCAGAAGATAAAATGAAATTTCTTCACAACCAAAATACACAGCCCGAGAAATACCTCGACAAATCCAGCCCTGGCAGACTTGTCATTCCCGACTTTAATCAAAGCTCTTTCACCACAGAAGTCAAAGACATTAAGCCATTGCCCAAAGTCAACAAACTCAAAACTGAAAGGTGGGCAACACAGGTAGTTACTCAGGAAGATGTCAGATCAGAACAACCTCCACAGGCAAATAGACTGTCAGCAGATAAAATGAAATTTCTTCACAACCAAGATACACAGCCCGAGAAAAACCTCGACAAATCCAGCCCTAGCAGACTTCTCATTCCCGACTTTAATCAAAGCACCTTCACCACAGAGGTCAAGGAGACTAAGCCATCGCCCAAAGTCGACAAACTCAAAACTGAAGAGTGGGTAACACAGGTAGTTACTCAAGAAGAGATCAGACCAGAACCACCCCTCCAGGCAAACAGACTGTCAGCAGATAAAATGCAATTTCTTTACAACCAAGATACACAGCCCGAGAAAAACCTCGACAAATCCAGCCCTGGAAGACTTGTCATTCCCGACTTTAAACAAAGTACTGTCACCACAGAGGTCAAAGACACTAAACCATCGCCCAAAGTCGAAAAACTCAAAGCCGAGGAGTGGGTAACACAAGTACTTACTCAGAAAGAGGTCAAATCAGAGCCGCCTCTGCAGGCAAAAAGGCTGTCAGCAAATAAAATGCAATTTCTTCACAACCGAGATACAGAGCCCGAGAAAATTCTCGACAAATCTGATCCTGGCAGACTTGTCATTCCCGACTTTAAACAAAGTACTTTCACCACAGAGGTCAAAGAGACTGAGCCATCGCCTAAAGTCAACAAATTTAAAATTGAAAAGTGGGTAACACAGGTAATTACTCAGGAAGAAGTCAGATCAGAGCCACCTCTCCAGGCAAACAGGCTGTCAGCAGATAAAATAGAATTTCTTCACAATCAAGATACACAGCCTGAGAAAAAGCTCGACAAATCTAGTCCTGGAAGACTTGTCATTCCCGACTTTAATCAAAGCACCTTTACCTCAGAGGTCAAACAGACTAAGCCATCACCCAAAGTCGACAAATTCAAAACTGAGGAGTGGCTAACACAGGTAGTAACTCAGGAAGAGGTCAGATCAGAGCCACCTCTACAGGCAAACAGGCTGTCAGCAGATAAAATGCAATTTCTTCACAACCAAGATACACAGCCCGAGAAATACCTCGACAAATCCAGTCCTGGTAGACTTGTTATTCCCGAATTTAGCCAAAGCACTTTCACCACAGAGGGCAAAGAGACTAAGCCATCACCCAAAGTCAACAAACTCAAAACTGAAGAGTGGGTAACACAGGTAGTAACTCAGGAAGAGGTCAGATCAGAACCACCTCTACATGCAAACAGGCTGTCAGCAGATAAAATGCAATTTCTTCACAACCAAGATACACAGCCCGAGAAAAAGCTCGACAAATCCAGTCCTGGTAGACTTGTTATTCCCGAATTTAGCCAAAGCACTTTCACCACAGAGGGCAAAGAGACTAAGCCATCGCCCAAAGTCAACAAACTCAAAACTGAAGAGTGGGTAACACAGGTAGTTACTCAGGAAGAAGTCAGATCAGAACCACCCCTTCTGGCAAACAGGCTGTCCGGAGATAAAATGCAATTTCTTCACAGCCAAGATACACAAGCCGAGGAAAAGGTCAAGAAATCTAGCCCTGGCAGACTTGTCATTCCCGACTTTAATGAAAGCACTTCCACCACAGAAGCCAAAGACACTAAGCCATCGCTTAAAGTCGACGAACTAAAAAGTGAAGACTGGGTAACAGAGGTTGTTATTCAGGAAGAAGTCAGATCAGAGCCACCTCTGCAGGCAAACAAGCTGTCAGCAGATAAAATGCAATTTCTTCACAACCAAGATACGCACCCCGAGAAAACGTTCGATAAATTAACCCCTGGGAAACTTGTCATTCCCGACTTTAATCAAAGCACTTTCACCTCAGAGGTCAAAGAGACTAAGCCATCACCCAAAGTCGACAAACTCAAAACTGAAGAGTGGCTAACACAGGTAGTAACTCAGGAAGAGGTCAGATCAGAACCACCCCTACAGGCAAACAGGCTGTCAGCAGATAAAATGCAATTTCTTCACAACCAAGATACACAGCCCGAGAAATACCTCGACAAATCCAGTCCTGGTAGACTTGTTATTCCCGAATTTAGCCAAAGCACTTTCACCACAGAGGGCAAAGAGACTAAGCCATCACCCAAAGTCTACAAACTCAAAACTGAAGAGTGGGTAACACAGGTAGTAACTCAGGAAGAGGTCAGATCAGAACCACCTCTACATGCAAACAGGCTGTCAGCAGATAAAATGCAATTTCTTCACAACCAAGATACACAGCCCGAGAAAACATTCGAAAAAGCTCGACAAATCCAGGTCAAAGAGACTTGTTATTCCCGAATTTAGCCAAAGCACTTTCAGTGGGCAGAGGTTACTCAAAGAGACTAAGCCATCACTTCCAAAGTCAACAAACTCAAAACTGACGCACTTTCACCACAGTGGGTAACACAGGTAGTTACTCAGGAGGAAGTCAGATCAGAACCACCCCTTCTGGCAAACAGGCTGTCCGGAGATAAAGTGCAATTTCTTCACAACCAAGATACACAAGCCGAGAAAACGTTCGACAAATCGACCCCTGGGAAACTTGTCATTCCAGACTTTAATCAAAGCACTTTCACCTCAGAGGACAAAGAGACTAAGCCATCGCCCAAAGTCGACAAACTCAAAGCTGAAGAGTGGGTAACACAGGTAGTAACTCACGAAGAGGTCAGATCAGAGCCACCTCTCCAAGCAAACAGGCTGTCAGCAGATAAAATGCAATTTCTTCACAACCAAGATACGCACCCCGAGAAAACGTTCGACAAATCGAACCCTGGGAAACTTGTCATTCCCGACTTTAATCAAAGCACTTTCACCTCAGAGGTCAAAGAGACTAAGCCATCGCCCAAAGTCAACAAACTCAAAACTGAAGAGTGGGTAACACAGGTAGTTACTCAGGAAGAAGTCAGATCAGAACCACCCCTTCTGGCAAACAGGCTGTCCGGAGATAAAATGCAATTTCTTCACAACCAAGATACACAAGCCGAGAAAAAGTTCAAGAAATCTAGCCCTGGCAGACTTGTCATTCCCGACTTTAATCAAAGCACTTCCACCACAGAAGCCAAAGACACTAAGCCATCGCTCAAAGTCGACGAACTAAAAAGTGAAGACTGGGTAACAGACGTTGTTATTCAGGAAGAAGTCAGATCAGAACCACCTCTGCAGTCCAACAAGCTGTCAGCAGATAAAATGCAATTTCTTCACAACCAAGATACGCACCCCGAGAAAACGTTCGACAAATCGAACCCTGGGAAACTTGTCATTCCCGACTTTAATCAAAGCACTTTCACCTCAGAGGTCAAAGAGACTAAGCCATCGCCCAAAGTCGACAAACTCAAAACTGAAGAGTGGATAACACAGGTAGTAACTCAGGAAGAGGTCAGATCAGAACCACCTCTACATGCAAACAGGCTGTCAGCAGATAAAATGCAATTTCTTCACAACCAAGATACACAGCCCGAGAAAAAGCTCGACAAATCCAGTCCTGGTAGACTTGTTATTCCCGAATTTAGCCAAAGCACTTTCACCACAGAGGGCAAAGAGGCTAAGCCATCACCCAAAGTCAACAAACTCAAAACTGAAGAGTGGGTAACACAGGTAGTTACTCAGGAAGATGTCAGATCAGAACCACCCCTTCTGGCGAACAGGCTGCCCGGAGATAAAATGCAATTTCTTCACAACCAAGATACACAAGCCGAGAAAAAGTTCAGGAAATCTAGCCCTGGCAGACTTGTCATTCCCGACTTTAATCAAAGCACTTCCACCACGGAAGGCCAAGACACTAAGCCATCGCTCAAAGTCGACGACCTAAAAAGTGAAGACTGGGTAACAGACGTTGTTATTCAGGAAGAAGTCAGATCAGAACCACCTCTGAAGGCAAACAGGCTGTCAGCAGATAAAATGCAATTTCTTCACAACCAAGATACGCACCCCGAGAAAACGTTCGACAAATTGAACCCTGGGAAACTTGTCATTCCCGACTTTAATCAAAGCACTTTCACCTCAGAGGTCAAAGAGACTAAGCCATCGCCCAAAGTTGACAAACTCAAAACTGAAGAGTGGATAACACAGGTAGTAACTCAGGAAGAGGTCAGATCAGAACCACCTCCACATGCAAACAGGCTGTCAGCAGATAAAATGCAATTTCTTCACAACCAAGATACACAAGCCGAGAAAAAGCTCGACAAATCCAGTCCTGGTAGACTTGTTATTCCCGAATTTTGCCAAGGCTCCTTCACCACAGAGGGCAAAGACACTAAGCCAACACCCAAAGTCAACAAACTCAAAACTGACGAGTGGGTAACACAGGTAGTTACTCAGGAAGAAGTCAGATCAGAACCACCCCTTCTGGCAAACAGGCTGTCCGCAGATAAAGGGCAATTTCTTCACAACCAAGATACACAAGCCGAGAAAACGTTCGACAAATCAACCCCTGGGAAACTTGTCATTCCAGACTTTAATCAAAGCACTTTCACCTCAGAGGTCAAAGAGACTAAGCCATCGCCCAAAGTCGACAAACACAAAGCTGAAGAGTGGGTAACACAGGTAGTAACTCAGGAAGAGGTCAAATCAGAACCACCTCTACATGCAAACAGGCTGTCAGCAGATAAAATGCAATTTCTTCACAACCAAGATACACAGCCCGAGAAAAACCTCGACAAATCCAGTCCTGGTAGACTTGTTATTCCCGAGTTTAGCCAAAGCACTTTCACCACAGAGGGCAAAGAGACTAAGCCATCACCCAAAGTCAACAAACTCAAAACTGAAGAGTGGGTAACACAGGTAGTTACTCAGGAAGAAGTCAGATCAGAACCACCCCTTCTGGCAAACAGGCTGTCCGGAGATAAAATGCAATTTCTTCACAACCAAGATACACAAGTCGAGAAAAAGTTCAAGAAATCTAGCCCTGGCAGACTTGTCATTCCCGACTTTAATCAAAGCACTTCCACCACGGAAGCCCAAGACACTAAGCCATCGCTCAAAGTCGACGAACTAAAAAGTGAAGACTGGGTAACAGAGGTTGTTATTCAGGAAGAAGTCAGATCAGAACCACCTCTGCAGTCCAACAAGCTGTCAGCAGATAAAATGCAATTTCTTCACAACCAAGATACGCACTCCGAGAAAATGTTCGACAAATCGACCCCTGGGAAACTTGTCATTCCAGACTTTAATCAAAGCACTTTCACCTCAGAGGTCAAAGAGACTAAGCCATCGCCCAAAGTCGACAAACTCAAAGCTGAAGAGTGGGTAACACAGGTAGTAACTCAGGAAGAGGTCAGATCAGAACCACCTCTCCAAGCAAACAGGCTGTCAGCAGATAAAATGCAATTTCTTCACAACCAAGATACGCACCCCGAGAAAACGTTCGACAAATCAAACCCTGGGAAACTTGTCATTCCCGACTTTAATCAAAGCACTTTCACCTCAGAGGTCAAAGAGACTAAGCCATCGCCCAAAGTCAACAAACTCAAAACTGAAGAGTGGGTAACACAGGTAGTTACTCAGGAAGAAGTCAGATCAGAACCACCCCTTCTGGCAAACAGGCTGTCCGGAGATAAAGTGCAATTTCTTCACAACCAAGATACACAAGCCGAGAAAAAGTTCAAAAAATCTAGCCCTGGCAGACTTGTCATTCCCGACTTTAATCAAAGCACTTCCACCACAGAAGCCAAAGACACTAAGCCATCGCTCAAAGTCGACGAACTAAAAAGTGAAGACTGGGTAACAGAGGTTGTTATTCAGGAAGAAGTCAGATCAGAACCACCTCTGCAGGCAAACAAGCTGTCAGCAGATAAAATGCAATTTCTTCACAACCAAGATACGCACCCCGAGAAAACGTTCGACAAATCGACCCCTGGGAAACTTGTCATTCCAGACTTTAATCAAAGCACTTTCACCTCAGAGGTCAAAGAGACTAAGCCATCGCCCAAAGTCGACAAACTCAAAACTGAAGAGTGGCTAACACAGGTAGTAACTCAGGAAGAGGTCAGATCAGAACCACCTCTACATGCAAACAGGCTGTCAGCAGATAAAATGCAATTTCTTCACAACCAAGATACACAGCCCGAGACAAAGCTCGACAAATCCAGTCCTGGTAGACTTGTTATTCCCGAGTTTAGCCAAAGCACTTTCACCACAGAGGGCAAAGAGACTAAGCCATCACCCAAAGTCAACAAACTCAAAACTGAAGAGTGGGTAACACAGGTAGTTACTCAGGAAGAAGTCAGATCAGAACCACCCCTTCTGGCAAACAGGCTGTCCGGAGATAAAAAGCAATTTCTTCACAACCAAGATACACAAGCCGAGAAAAAGTTCAAGAAATCTAGCCCTGGCAGACTTGTCATTCCCGACTTTAATCAAAGCACTTCCACCACAGAAGCCAAAGACACTAAGCCATCGCTCAAAGTCGACGAACTAAAAAGTGAAGACTGGGTAACAGAGGTTGTTATTCAGGAAGAAGTCAGATCAGAACCACCTCTGCAGGCAAACAAGCTGTCAGCAGATAAAATGCAATTTCTTCACAACCAAGATACGCACCCCGAGAAAACGTTCGACAAATCGACCCCTGGGAAACTTGTCATTCCAGACTTTAATCAAAGCACTTTCACCTCAGAGGTCAAAGAGACTAAGCCATCGCCCAAAGTCGACAAACTCAAAACTGAAGAGTGGCTAACACAGGTAGTAACTCAGGAAGAGGTCAGATCAGAACCACCTCTACATGCAAACAGGCTGTCAGCAGATAAAATGCAATTTCTTCACAACCAAGATACACAGCCCGAGAAAAAGCTCGACAAATCCAGTCCTGGTAGACTTGTTATTCCCGAATTTAGCCAAAGCACTTTCACCACAGAGGGCAAAGAGACTAAGCCATCGCCCAAAGTCAACAAACTCAAAACTGAAGAGTGGGTAACACATGTAGTTACTCAGGAAGAGGTCAGATCGGAACCACCCCTTCTGGCAAACAGGCTGTCCGGAGATCAAATGCAATTTCTTCACAACCAAGATACACAAGCCGAGAAAAAGTTCAAGAAATCTACCCCTGGCAGACTTCTCATTCCCGACTTTAATCAAAGCACTTCCACCACGGAAGGCCAAGACACTAAGCCATCGCCCAAAGTCGACAAACTCAAAACTGAAGAGTGGCTAACACAGGTAGTAACTCAGGAAGAGGTCAGATCAGAACCACCTCTACAGGCAAACAGGCTGTCAGCAGATAAAATGCAATTTCTTCACAACCAAGATACACAGCCCGAGAAAAAGCTCGACAAATCCAGTCCTGGTAGACTTGTTATTCCCGAATTTAGCCAAAGCACTTTCACCACAGAGGGCAAAGAGACTAAGCCATCACCCAAAGTCAACAAACTCAAAACTGAAGAGTGGGTAACACAGGTAGTTACTCAGGAAGAAGTCAGATCAGAACCACCCCTTCTGGCAAACAGGCTGTCCGGAGATAAAATGCAATTTCTTCACAACCAAGATACACAAGCCGAGAAAAAGTTCAAGAAATCTAGCCCTGGCAGACTTGTCATTCCCGACTTTAATCAAAGCACTTCCACCACGGAAGCCCAAGACACTAAGCCATCGCTCAAAGTCGACGAACTAAAAAGTGAAGACTGGGTAACAGAGGTTGTTATTCAGGAAGAAGTCAGATCAGAACCACCTCTGCAGGCAAACAAGCTGTCAGCAGATAAAATGCAATTTCTTCACAACCAAGATACGCACCCCGAGAAAACGTTCGACAAATTGACCCCTGGGAAACTTGTCATTCCCGACTTTAATCAAAGCACTTTCACCTCAGAGGTCAAAGAGACTAAGCCATCGCCCAAAGTCGACAAACTCAAAACTGAAGAGTGGCTAACACAGGTAGTAACTCAGGAAGAGGTAAGATCAGAACCACCTCTAAAGGCAAACAGGCTGTCAGCAGATAAAATGCAATTTCTTCACAACCAAGATACACAGCCCGAGAAAAAGCTCGACAAATCCAGTCCTGGTAGACTTGTTATTCCCGAATTTAGCCAAAGCACTTTCACCACAGAGGGCAAAGAGACTAAGCCATCGCCCAAAGTCAACAAACTCAAAACTGAAGAGTGGGTAACACAGGTAGTTACTCAGGAAGAAGTCAGATCAGAACCACCCCTTCTGGCAAACAGGCTGTCCGGAGATCAAATGCAATTTTTTCACAACCAAGATACACAAGCCGAGAAAAAGTTCAAGAAATCTAGCCCTGGCAGACTTGTCATTCCCGACTTTAATCAAAGCACTTCAACCACAGAAGCCCAAGACACTAAGCCATCGCTCAAAGTTGACGAACTAAAAAGTGAAGACTCGGTAACAGAGGTTGTTATTCAGGAAGAAGTCAGATCAGAACCACCTCTGCAGTCCAACAAGCTGTCAGCAGATAAAATGCAATTTCTTCACAACCAAGATACGCACCCCGAGAAAACGTTCGACAAATCGACCCCTGGGAAACTTGTCATTCCAGACTTTAATCAAAGCACTTTCACCTCAGAGGTCAAAGAGACTAAGCCATCGCCCAAAGTCGACAAACTCAAAGCTGAAGAGTGGGTAACACAGGTAGTAACTCAGGAAGAGGTCAGATCAGAACCACCTCTACATGCAAACAGGCTGTCAGCAGATAAAATGCAATTTCTTCACAACCAAGATACACAGCCCGAGAAAAAGCTCGACAAATCCAGTCCTGGTAGACTTGTTATTCCCGAATTTAGCCAAAGCACTTTCACCACAGAGGGCAAAGAGACTAAGCCATCACCCAAAGTCAACAAACTCAAAACTGAAGAGTGGGTAACACAGGTAGTTACTCAGGAAGAAGTCAGATCAGAACCACCCCTTCTGGCAAACAGGCTGTCCGGAGATAAAATGCAATTTCTTCACAACCAAGATACACAAGCCGAGAAAAAGTTCAAGAAATCTAGCCCTGGCAGACTTGTCATTCCCGACTTTAATCAAAGCACTTCCACCACGGAAGCCCAAGACACTAAGCCATCGCTCAAAGTCGACGAACTAAAAAGTGAAGACTCGGTAACAGAGGTTGTTATTCAGGAAGAAGTCAGATCAGAACCACCTTTGCAGTCCAACAAGCTGTCAGCAGATAAAATGCAATTTCTTCACAACCAAGATACGCACCCCGAGAAAACGTTCGACAAATCGACCCCTGGGAAACTTGTCATTCCAGACTTTAATCAAAGCACTTTCACCTCAGAGGTCAAAGAGACTAAGCCATCGCCCAAAGTCGACAAACTCAAAGCTGAAGAGTGGGTAACACAGGTAGTAACTCAGGAAGAGGTAAGATCAGAACCACCTCTAAAGGCAAACAGGCTGTCAGCAGATAAAATGCAATATCTTCACAACCAAGATACACAGCCCGAGACAAAGCTCGACAAATCCAGTCCTGGTAGACTTGTTATTCCCGAGTTTAGCCAAAGCACTTTCACCGCAGAGGGCAAAGAGACTAAGCCATCACCCAAAGTCAACAAACTCAAAATTGAAGAGTGGGTAACACAGGTAGTTACTCAGGAAGAAGTCAGATCAGAACCACCCCCTCTGGCAAACAGGCTGTCCGGAGATAAAGTGCAATTTCTTCACAACCAAGATACACAAGCCGAGAAAAAGTTCAAGAAATCTAGCCCTGGCAGACTTGTCATTCCCGACTTTAATCAAAGCACTTCCACCACAGAAGCCAAAGACACTAAGCCATTGCTCAAAGTCGACGAACTAAAAAGTGAAGACTGGGTAACAGAGGTTGTTATTCAGGAAGAAGTCAGATCAGAACCACCTCTGCAGGCAAACAAGCTGTCAGCAGATAAAATGCAATTTCTTCACAACCAAGATACACAGCCCGAGACAAAGCTCGACAAATCCAGTCCTGGTAGACTTGTTATTCCCGAGTTTAGCCAAAGCACTTTCACCACAGAGGGCAAAGAGACTGAGCCATCACCCAAAGTCAACAAACTCAAAACTGAAGAGTGGGTAACACAGGAAGTTACTCAGGGAGAAATCAGATCAGAACCACCCCTTCTGGCAAACAGGCTGTCCGGAGATAAAATGCAATTTCTGCACAACCAAGATACACAAGCCGAGAAAAAGTTCAAGAAATGTATCCCTGGCAGACTTGTCATTCCCGACTTTAATCAAAGCACTTCCACCACACAAGCCAAAGACACTAAGCCATCGCTCAAAGTCGACGAACTAAAAAGTGAAGACTGGGTAACAGAGGTTGTAATTCAGGAAGAAGTCAGATCAGAACCACCTCTGAAGGCAAACAAGCTGTCAGGAGATAAAATGCAATTTCTTCACAACCAAGATGCACACCCCGAGAAAACGTCCGACAAATCGACCCCTGGGAAACTTGTCATTCCTGATTTTAATCAAAGCACTTTCATCTCAGAGATCAAAGAGACTAAGCCATCGCCCAAAGTCGACAAACTCAAAACTGAAGAGTGGTTAACACAGGTAGTAACTCAGGAAGAGGTCAGATCAGAACCACCTCTAAAGGCAAACAGGCTGTCAGCAGATAAAATGCAATTTCTTCACAACCAAGTTACACAGCCCAAGAAAATGCTCGATAAATCTAGTCCTGGCAGACTTGTCATTCCCGACTTTAATCAAAGTACTTTCACCGCACAGGTCAAAGAGACTGAGCCATCGCCTAAAGTCAACAAACTCAAAGCTGAAGAGTGGGTAACTCAGGTACTTACTCAAGAGGAGATCAGATCAGAGCAACCACTCCACGCAAACAGGCTGTTAGCAGATAAAATGCAATTTCTCCGCAACCAAGATACGCACCCCGAGAAAACGTTCGACAAATCGAGCCCTGGGAAACTTGTCATTCCCGACTTTAATCAAAGCACTTTCACCTCAGAGGTCAAAGAGACTAAGCCATCGCCCAAAGTCGACAAACTCAAAACTGAAGAGTGGCTAACACAGGTAGTAACTCAGGAAGATGTCAGATCAGAACCACCTCTTGAAGCAAACAAGCTATCAGCAGATAAAATAGAATTTCGTCACAACCACGTTACACAGCCCGAGAAAAAGGTCGACAAATCTAGTCCTGGCAGACTTGTTATTCCCGAATTTAGCCAAAGCACTTTTACCACAGAGGGCAAAGAGACTGAGCCATCGCCCAAAGTCAACAAACTCAAAACTGAAGAGTGGGTAACACAGTTAGTTACTAAGGAAAAGGTCAGATCAGAACCACCCCTTCTGGCAAACAGGCTGTCCGGAGATAAAGTGCAATCGCTTCACAACCAAGATATACAGCCCGAGAAAAAACTCGAAAAATCCAGCCCTGGCAGACTTGTCATTCCCGACTTTAACCAAAGCACTTTCACTACAGAAGTCAAAGACAATAAGACATCGCTCAAAGTCAAGAAATTAAAAACTGAAGAGTGGGTAACACAGGTTGTTACTCAGGAAGAAGTCAGATCAGAACCACCTCTCCAGGCAAACAGGCTGTCAGCAGATAAAACTCAGTTTCTTAACAACCAAGATACGCATCGCGATAAAAAGCTCGACAAATCTAGCCCTGGCAGACTTGTCATTCCCACCTTTAATCAAAGCACTTTCACCACAGAGGTCAAAGAGACTAAGCCATCGCCCAAAGTCGACAAACTCAAAACTGAAGAGTGGGTAACACAGGAAGTTACTCAAGAAGAGATCAGATCAGAACCACCTTTCCAGGCAAACAGGCTGTCAGCAGAAAAAATGCAGTTTCTTCACAACCAAGATACACAGCTCGAGAAAAAGCTCGACAAATCCAGCCTTGGGAGACTTGTCATTCCCGACTTTAATGGAAGCACTTTCACCACAGACGTCAAAGACATTAAGGTATCGCCCAAAGTCGACAAAATCAAAACTGAAGAGTGGATAACACAGGTACTTACTCAGGAAGAGGTCAGATCAGAACCACCTCTCCAGGCAAACAGGCTGTCAGCAGATAAAACTCAGTTTATTAACAACCAAGATACGCATCACGATAAAAAGCTCGACAAATCCAGCCCTGGCAGACTTGTCATTCCCACCTTTAATCAAAGCACTTTCACCACAGAGGTCAAAGAGACTAAGCCATCGTCCAAAGTCGACAAACTCAAAGCTGAAGAGTGGGTAACACAGGTAGTTACTCAGGAAGAAGTCATATCAGAACCACCACTTCAGGCAAACAGGCTGTCAGCAGATAAAATGCAATTTCTTCACAACCAAGATACACAGCCCGAGAAAAAGCTCGACAAATCCAGCCCTGGCAGACTTGTCATTCCCGACTTTAATCAATGCAATTTCACCACAGAAGTCAAAGACATCAAGCCATCGAAAAATTACTTCATAAAGGATACACATTCTACTAACGGTGGGAATGCCTTGTCATCTGAGATGGTTAGGCATATGAAGAGCCCTAAAAATGTCATTGAATTACAAAGTCGTGAATTACCACTTACCCAAAAGAGAGAGTTAACGGATGAATGGAAAGTGGAGGATAAAGGAAACGAAGATTGGCGATCACAAGCACCACAACCTTTAAAGGAGTCATTGGAAAAACTTAGATCACTTTCTAGAACCCAGGAAATGCATTCAATGACAGGATCTGATGTGTTACCGAAAAATTCAAATGTGCCTCTGAGGGGCACTGACAACACCTTCTTCATTCAGATTCAAGATGCAGCCTTCGCAACTGGAAATTACAAAGATGAGCAGGGGATAAGGCATTATCTGACTGAATTACCTGCGGGAAAAACAGGGTTTGTTCGATCAAGGGAAACAAACCAAGTTTTAAAGTCAGATAGAGCTCATTCCTCCGACAGCGTTGTAATTCCCGTTGAACCGAAACAAGTTTCTTCTTCTTCTGGAGTCGTCATACATAACGGTGAGAACTGGATAACTCGCGCAAATACAAGTATATCGCCTGCAGAGAAAGAAAGGATTTTTTTCCATGCCGGTGAGGCACGTCAGGCTGTAAAATTAGGAGGGGTCTCATCTAGTGGCAGCGCAGTCATTCCCATTGAAATAAAAGACATTTCTTCGTCACCAAAAGTCGAGATACATGATGGAAAGACGTGGACTACTCGGCAGACCTCAGTTAAGTTGTCAAGAGATGACAGATCCTTTGTAAGTACTGGCGAAACTAAAGAAGTCATAACGTTGGATGGCTCTTCATCCAGTGGTGTTGTGATTCCAGTGCAAATTTCAAGCGAATCTTTGACTACAAACGTCAAGATATATAGCGGCCAAGTCTACACACCCTGATACGTTCAAAAAGAAAGGCGTAAATCACAAACCGCTTCTCTCAAAATCGTTATATTCTGAGCTTGACTGGCGATGGAAAAGTCCAAAATTTCATCAAAAATGCAATAACACTTAAGACATATTATTGGCAGTACCCCTGGTTAAAATCGCAGTAAGTTGCCGCTGGTCTTCCAAGAATGTTCTTTTTTTTTAATTTAAGCGGTACCGTGGTTTGCGTCATTGACCAAGGCTAAGAGGAAGTACAAGTAACCTGCACATAATAGGTCAAACTTTTAAGTAAGAATTATCTGCTCAGTCTCATACTTTTCTAAAGCAAAGCCGTTTGAGCCCGAAAGCGAAAGGCTGCATAGGCAATCTACTGCTTTCGCCCTTGTCTTCTTTATCTGATAATTGTATGCATATAATGAAGTTTGGGGCTGTGCGGAAATTTTAGCAAAGTTTCTTCAGAGGCTCTTAAAGCTCCTGGTAATGCAAGCGGAATGTATAAAGTGTATCATTACTTTCACTGAATGAGTTATCTTGATCGGTTGGAATCACATGAAGATGACTGGCATGCAACAAGTAAAACCTAAATTATGAGAAAGATGTAGATAAGACAATTAGACATGAGCAAACATGGTCTAGTTTTTCACTTGCTTATGGTAATGATGGAATCAATTTCGTTTATTTATGAGCTTTTAAAAAGTACAGTGACCTGTTTGCTTATACTAAGTCAAATTCTCAGTTGAGAAATATGGTAGAGTCACGTGAATTTACAGTTAATTGTATTGTGAATTCATATATTTTCTGAAATTTGATCTTATGTTTTCTAAATTCGTTTTTTGTTTGATTTTAGCAAATGTTGCATCAGAGTTCCCAGATTTTTTTTGGACGACTCTACCACTTCAATGGCTATAAATAATCTTCAAAAAGCAGCTTGCATAATGACTTAAATTAGAAATTAGACAAGGTAAACAAATTTGTATAAAGTATATTATACAATGCATTAAATCAATAAGGACAAATAATTCTTGTTAAAAAAAACAATAAATAAATACTCCTTGGTCCATTTTACTTGTCTCACTTAATATGTTGAGATATTTATGAAAATTAAGTTTGAATTAATTAATAGTTTGAGATACACAAGCTGTGAGAAACAAATTGGATGACAACAATAATATCAAAACACTAAATCCTAAAATATGACTTGACATACCCTGCTATATTTTGTACAAATTAATCAGCAGGGGGGCTATAAGCTTAATCCAAAAATTGCCTTGTTAATGATTGAGAGCACTGATAAAAACATTAAGAACTTACCTCAAAAGCTACATAGATACTCCAAAATCAGCAGAAGGGAAATCAGCTTTATCCTTAGTCCGTACTGTTGAAAAAAATGTAACTACTCTGCTTTCATCAGAAACTAAAAAGTTTATGATTAATTGGTGGAATACGTCAAGCAATTTCATACTGAATTGACACAACTGAATTAGATATTAAGGAATCATTAGTGGGATGCCAATTTGTCTATAAAAAGTGTATCTACATGCCTTAACATTCTAGCATGCAGAAGTTTTGGCAAGGGCAGTGTTTTCAGAGAGCAATTATTAGTTGATCCCAAACAATGCAGAAAGGTGAAATTGAGTGCAAAAAAATTGAAACTGAGAACAGAAACTTGAAAAGTGTCCCCTTACAAAGTTTACCTATAGGTCCATGCATTGTGCTCAAAATCACTTTGATCAGCTAATCAAATGAGACTCCATTATGAATCAGTGTATGCAGCATGCTTGTAATTGGAAAGTGTAATAGGAGAGGTTACTGGTCACACATGTGTAATTGAACAGTATGTCTTTTGTGCACTATCTTGATTGAATACTTTTTTTTGGTTCTTACCTATGATCTATTGGAAGACAGAGGCATAGATGAGGTCAGCATTATAACAACAGTTAATAATCATAATAGGACCAGGTGGAGTGCAATTCAGTCTGTAACCATACAAGTCTGATTTGTTAATAATGAGTATGATTACAGACAGAATTGAATGACACAAAGTCCTGTAACCAATTAAACAAAACTATGACAACTTAGTTTGAGAAAGAAACTAGACATTGGTTATACATTTTCATAAAAAAACAACAACATTAACTCGGCAAAATGCGAGACAACAGTGCGCGCACATGACGCCTTCTGTCCACTTACACAGGCATGACGTGTTAACTGTCCCTTTAACTGTCCTATTACACTGTCCAATTACAAGCATGACACCTACACTTTCCTATTAGTGCTGAAATCCAACAATAAATATTCAGCTTTTGTTTGTATGCAGTTAAGAAATATTTCTTAATAAAGTGCAATGATCTATGCTTTTTTAGGTCGAAATTGGAGGCTTGTTTCCAAAACTCTGATTCCAAAAATCTGGAAAATTTTACAGATTCTCTAAATCTTCTCTGAAATTTCCCAGTGGAGACATACCAGCGTTCCTTACGAATAGCGAAACGACGCGATTTTCAGCTTGCTTGCGCTTCAAATTGAGTTGTTTTTGTAAAGATACTCTTAATCTTACCTTTGTGTTCCGCTCTTTATCCAGCTAGCGATAACCGTAAAAGCTTTCCGGTTTACGACGCCTTTGGACAAATATAGATCATAGAAACCGTTCTGAAACGAGGCTAAAGCAGCTACGTTTTTGGCGCGAAAACCTGAGCTTTCAGACAAGTGACGTCACACTTCTTGCAGCCAATGAGATTTGAATAATTGCGACATAGGTGATACCAAGTGGGAGAGAGAGACAGAGAGGAAAGGAAATCCATTTATTTCCTGAGTTCCTTTCTTTAATTTTTTAAGGCACGGAAAAAGTTGATGGCTAAAGATGGATATGTTGCGTAAGTGATAGTGGAGAGGAAATGTTCGCAATGAAATATTTATCCGGAATGGACTATCAGACTGCAAAAACATTCTAGGAATAGTTTCCTATTAAGATTAGCCTTGAACTGCTTACCGCTTACTTAAATGGCAAACAGTGAAAAAAAAAAAAAAAAAAAAAAGAAAAAAATTAGCATAAGATAATATACACTGTCTCGGAGACGTCTCATGCATCAATGAAATCTTTTGTCAACAATATACTGCTCTATATATCATGGCGCTCTGACGAAGAGCAAACGCTTGAAACGAGGATTCTTTACGGTAGCCAATTTACATATACCCCCACCGATGCAGAACTATAGTTTCTTTAGAAACGTTCCCCCTTTCGTCATATATTTTTAGAAAGATGAGCTCAAATATTTGTCGATATCGTTGTGCAAAGAAAGATAATTGGTCGCTATTGAGGATTCAAACTTCAAGCATATCAATTTTGTGGTGGAATGCTCTATCAACTTATCGTGTTTTTTTTTTGTTTTCTTTGTTTTTTTTAATAAAATTTGGCCATGTAAAAAAGATTTTCACTTACCTGTTTTGAGTCGATCAAAAGAAAAGGAAAATAGGCACAATTAAACCGCCATAGAAAGAGAAAAGGTCTTAATGAAAGTAAACGGTCTTTAATTACAAACAGGAAATATTGAACAAACAACGTGACGTTTAGCACGATGCGAAACCGGAATAATTCAATTTGAAAATTTTAATTTCAAATATGTTTGGCAAAGCTTAGGTCGATCGACGCCAATAGTTAATGTATTTCTGCGATTTGCGGATTGCCAGCTGTCGAGGACAGCGTACCTCGGCAAATTTTCTTTCTTAAGGTAATTTGGCTTTATGATGCAAATTAACCACCGTAAAGAGTTTCTAAAGCTAACATTTGACATTTGAAGCATTTAATAGCTCTTCGTTTGAGCGAATAACCGGAAGGGCTAATGCTTGAAATGTTAGCTTAAGAAACTCTTTACGGTGGCTAACTTGCATCATCGATTCAGTCGATAAAACCAGATTACCTTTCAAGAACCTCCACCGACGCGGCACCGCAATTCTTTTAAAGAATTTCACCACCTTTAAAGAAATTTCCGTTCACAATTTATTTCAATTTCGTGAGAATTAAATTTTATTCGAAATACCTAAAAATCGTGACTCATACCCTGTCTTCAAATTATTGTCAAATAACTCATAGTTAAAGACGTAATGATCACGAAAGTGAACTGTTGCATGTCATCAAATTACATCAAAGGCCAATTGACAGTCACGAACACTTTCATGTAAATACAGCCATTACGAGTATTTGGCTGTGGGTACTCACGTTCGTAATAGCATGTTACTTTTAAGAAGCAAAACGTTGTTTACTTTACTTCAGTTTCGCTGAGTTCGCCACGTGAAGTGAGAATGGCACCCACACGCACCTAAATTTGTAACAAAGAGCCTAAGCAACCGGATGGGTTAAACGGAATTGTTTTAAGATTAATCTGCAAGTTAATGATTCGTACTAATTTTAAAACTTTTGTCGCGTCATTGATCGAGGTCGACAGTAATGAACCATCAAGGTCTTCTCAGCTCTTTCTTCATTCTGTGTATTGGTGTATTTACCGGAATCACGGTTTCCATCCAAAGCCATGTTCAAGAGAGAATATTCAAAGACGGTGACATAAATTTAGGTGGAATGTTTCCTCTCCATTTATTCAAGAACGGTCAGGGATCGTCGTCATCATGTACGGATCTTCGCTCCCGAGTGTTGCTTCTATCAGAGGCCATGATATACGCCGTCGATGAAATAAATAGAAATGGCACAATTCTTCAAAATGTGACGTTGGGCTACGACATTCGCGATACGTGCGGCAACGAACAAGAAGGCATTTCTATAGCGTCGGATTTTGTTTACGAGAATGCACTTAAACTTGACCCACGCTTCTCTGTGACAAACTCTTGTCGTGCGGGAGTCGCGCCATCAAAGGAAGCAACTGTAATAGCAGTCATTGGAGGACTGGATTCTCGTGTTTCTGTCAACGTGGCAAATGTACTCCAAGTACAAGATGTACCGCAAATAAGCTACGGGGCGTCAAGCGCTGAATTAGCGGGAGCGGAGTTTACATCGTTTTTTCGCACTGTTCCAGTAGATACCTTCCAATCACAAGCTATGGCAGAACTGATTGCGCACTATGGGTGGACCTGTGTGGCAGTCATCGGGGTGGATGACTGGTACGGTCGTAGTGGCGTTGACGCTTTCGCTACCGCGGCCAACGAAACTGGAATCTGTATTGTGTTACAAGAACTGTTCCCTGTTCACGACTCGGAAACCCAAATACAGACCATGATCAGTCAACTGAAAAACATGGGTCAAGTTCAGATTATAATATTATACAGTTTATCACCTCAAGCGATAAAGGTCTTTGAAGAAGCAGTGAAGCAAGGTTTGACCGGGAGGACCTGGATCGCGAGTGACGGGTGGTCAGAATCTTCATTGATTCTTCAACCTCGCTTTAAGCCGATTATACAAGGCGCAATAGGATTTGGATTCCACACACATAGGTTTGAAGAATTTGAAAAACACGTCACAGAAATGACGCCTCTTTTGCGAAGAGGGGCTTGGTGGAATGAATTTTGGGAAATGGAGTTCAACTGTTCAATATCTAATTCGACGCATGCTCAGTTTAAACCCTGTTCAGGCCATGAAAGAGTCAGCCCGGAAAGATACAAACGAGATTACCACAACGCAGGCGCAGCCTATGTGAGAGATGCGGTATACTCAGTCGCGAATGGACTGGGTGAGATACTTAACTGTCACGCCCACGTCCGTCCCGATGATCTATTGACAAGCCTAAAAAAGGTTTCATTCACAGGGCTTACTGGCTATATTGACTTCCGAAATGGGCGGGTTCAGGCAGCTTACGATATTTATAATCTTCAGGAGACCGAGAAGGATGGGTTTAAGCTCGTTCAAATTGGAACGTGGGATGAAGGAAATGCGCATGCACAGGGACTAAGGCTACAAGATGATTTAGTGCAATGGCACAGAGGTATTAAACCGCGCACCACTTGCGGAGAGATCTGTCCTTCTGGAACTTACCGAAGTATCCCTAATCAGTGCTTCTGGGAGTGTGTCCCGTGCGATAAAGACACCGTAAGCGAACGATCAGGCAGCACCGAATGCAAGAGTTGTCCCAAAGGATACATATCCAATGAAAACAACACAAAGTGTGATGAGGTGCCCATTGAGTATATTGAATGGGATGAACCGTGGGGCGTGGCACTCTCTGCCCTTTCAGCCTTCTGCGTACTTCTTACATTAGTTATCCTGGCAATTGTCTTACAACATCGTAAAACTCCAATAATCCAAGAAACGGGTGGATTTCTTAACTATGCTTTCTTAGTGGTGATACTTTTGTCGTATATTTTCAATTTAGTCCACCTCACCAAGGTATCCGATCTGACTTGTCGCATGCTCCCTCCTTCGTTTTACGTGATATACACGGCTGCAGCCTTGGTGCAATTCCTTAAGGTTTATCGCATCCGCCTTCTCCTGAAGCCACCCACACCACCGGCTACCCACGACATGAAATTGGTGTACATAATCGTGGTATTCGTGTGGATTCTTCCCGTTTTTATCTCGATCATTTGGATAATTTCAGACCCTCCTATATTTGAAAAGTACATTATATCGAGGTTGATAATTTACGGTATTTGCACACCTTATCAAACCAACGTTGGAATGGCGTTACGTTATATGAGTGCAATTATTTTATCGCTAATTATTGTTGGCGCTATGGTGGTTGCCTACAGTACTAAAGGTCTCCCACATAAGCAGAAATTTGACGAAGCCAAACACTTAGCGTTCTCACTGACTGTGTTTACCGTCACTTTTGCCACATTTTATCCAGGATGGTCTCTTATAAAGGGCCCAAGTTTGACAGTGTTCGCATGTAAGACCAATTTAGTCGCCGCTACCGGTACAGTCCTTTGTATTTTTGTCCCCAAGCTGTGGCTCATTTATCGCTTTCCCCGTCACAACACCCTAACCTACGTTCGTCCTGCGCCCCAGATAAAGTCAGAAGACGTCAGATCCACAACTATGTTGTCAATCGGGCAGGTTGCTCTAAAGATAGGTGATAGCCCCTGTGCGAGCTAAGGATCACCGAAGGCGCAACGAGACTCACCGAATACGTAAAAAGGCTTGCCGAAGACGAGACAAGGCTCCGATATTGAAAACGAAACAAGGCTCACCGAAAACGCAAAGAGAATTGCCGAAGAATCATATAAAATTTAACCTCTAACTCCCATGAGTGACCAAGATAGAATTTCTCCATACAATATTGATACAATATCGAGTAGACAGTGATGAGAATAAAGAAAAATATCAGCTAGGGGATTATACGTTGATCCAATACAAAATTCTCTAAACTAACATCACAAGAACCGTATGGTAGACGATAAGGAGAATTACTAATGAGATCTTGGGAGTTAAAGGGTTAAGTGAACTTCACTTTACGGGAACGTTATAGTACTCTTATTCGATTATTCAATTTTTGTAACATTTTGGGGCACTTTTTAACCCTTTAACTCCCAGATCAAATTTGTTATTCTCCTTACTGTCAACCATACAATTCTTATGTTAGTTCAGAGAATTTAGTATTGGATCAACTAATTATCCCCAAATTGATAGTTCTCTTTATTCTCATCACTTATCTGGTTGATATTGTATTGATATTGTAAGGAGAAATTCTGTCTTGGTCACTCATGGGATTTAAAGGGTTAAAAATCATTTGGCATTAAGTAGGTCAAATTGGGGTATAAGGGTCAACCATTTGTCAAATGAAGTGATGGTTGAGATATTTATTGTATTAAATAATTCTTAATATTTGTTTGTCTGTAATAGTCTTGGAGTAGGATATCAAGAGGAGGGCTGACCCACTGACTGTGTCTTGAGCTCTCTTGTATTTTATTAAGAAATATTCTAAAGGACTTTGTAAAAGATTGCAGAACTGACAAGCTAAGACAGTTAGATAGTAGAAGAGGAGTTAACCAAACCACAGATGGCGGATTGGGCAGTCTACAGCCCCTCCTGGTGATAATTTAGAGGGGGGGGGGGGGGGGTGGGTTTACTCTCCTCACATTTCAGCATCAACAGCGCAGCACAGCAGTGAAGCTTAAAATTAGTTGACAAAAATTCAGACATGCAATCGTTTCAAATAGTTTCATCAGGATCGTCATAGTGTAATTATTTTATGTAATACTTTTTTTCATTTAAACAGCTCCAGCTTATGTTTGGAAAATTTGGGTAAGGGTATGTACTTGGGTTAGTATACGGGATGAGTCCCCCCTCCTACACATGCTGCCTCTGCAGACAGTCAGACAAACATATCAATTTCTAATCAAATATAAACAGAAAAAAAGAGTATTAACAATGCATGATAAAATCAAATTACTTTTTACTTGCAATTGTTATGTCATTTCAGCTAGTCAGATAGGTACTATGTACGGCTCTGGAAGAGGGGCTTACAGAGCATTAAAGCCTTTTTTTTTACAGTAGTCATTAGTGCTGGGCCTCGAGGAAGAGGGCCAATTCTCTCCACACTGAACAAGTTTTGTTCTTAAGTGCATGATACTGTGATCATGTGATTGCTGATAATCTCATTAACAATTCCCAGTTTTGCTGCATTTGAAAATGTCCCTGACAGGTCTTGTTGGAAAATGCTTCATTCACATTGTGAGGGCAGGGGAAAATGTAAGGCTAGGAAGGGGCAGAATTTCTGAATGCCAAAATTTTGCATTTCTTTTGACAAAGGTTGTAAGTCAATCATGCCGCATTAAACTCCTGAAACCTTGATGGTACATTATTGTTCTGATGATTGATCTATTGGTGTTGTATTTGACAGTGACAGTCCAATACTGTTGCAAAGAAAGGTAGCATCACACTGGATGCCATGACAGTCCAATACTGGTACACTATACATTATATGGGTATAACAATATCAGATCTCAAACATCATGGTCCTGTCCTGCTGGTTGTTCTGTTAGGCATAGAGTATGGGTGAACACTGGCAGCTGCCTTATTGTCTGTTTTAACAGAGCTTGGAGCTTTATTTGTAGATTTGTCACTCATCCAGCTACTTTGTGCTGTAGCAAAGAAAAAAAGAATATCACCTTAAAGAATTATTGTTTGTCTATGTATCAGATAATGTACTCTGTATGCATTCCTAATGAGCTATCATTGAAAAGATGAAGCCCTACATGTATTATAAATTTTAATCCACTTTCATCATATATACAGTTTAACATGTACTGTATTTTTCCAAGGAAGTGTTCACTGCTGAGAAAAGTTGTCGTCAAACTGACAAGAACATTTTACATTATCAAGATACAGCATGATGCCACTCAGATTAAATTTTATTCCATAGAGCACTTGGATCTCCCCTCTTTCTGAGGCCTTTGACTCCTAAGGGTGACTAGCATCTCATATATCCTTACAATATCACCCCTGAATCACAAATTAACCCTTTAACTCCCATGAGAGACCAAGGTAGACTTTCTCCTTACAATATCAATACAATATCAACCAGATAAGTGATGAGAATAAAGAAAAATATCAATTTGGGGATAATTAGTTGATCCATTACTAAATTCTCTGAACTAAAATCATAAGAATTGTATGATTAATAGTAAGGAGAATTAAAAATTTAATCAGGGAGTTAAAGGGTTAAGGACACAAATTAAAGAAAATGATCATTTTGATGAAAATTGATTTTAAACAAATTCTCCTCGACAACATGTCAGGAAATGTATAGAAAACAGTTGGGAGAATATGAATACTGATGTTAGAGTGAAAAGAGTTTATATTAAAATTTTATTTCCTGGTCCAGGATCCAGTTTAATTTCACTTAATATAACAAAATGTTAACTATGATTCTTGCCCCTGTTATCCAACAAGTCAAAATACTGCAAAAAGATCACTACAAATATACCTTTATCTGACTTAGAGCCTCGACCCTTGGTAACTTTTGCTGGTTTTAGACCTAAAACAAAAAACAACAACAAAATTAGACCTTTCAGAAAAAATTCACTGGATAGCTTTTGAGAACCTGTTTACAGTGTGTCTGAGGATGCATTGTGGCCTTTTGGCTGGATAGCATTTGGGAGTCTGCAGAGCTACTACAAGTAGAATTCCACTTTAATCTATCATTGCCAGAGTAGATGTGTCAATTGAAAGGTTAGTGTGCTGGATTCCAAGTCAAGAGGTCTGGGCGAGAGACCTGACTGGGTCAACGTTTTGTGATGTTGGGCAAGACACTTAACTCTCGTGCAATTTTACTATTTCACACCTTTTCAGTTTATAAATCTCAGTATGTATATTTAATAAAAATGGGTAGGGGTAAATTGTCAGGGAGGCCTGATGAAACGCTTGGGGGTAACCTTGCAATACACTTGCATCCCATCCAGAAGGACACTCTTTGTCATTTCAAGTTATGAAAACAGAGATAAGTTCCAGCTGGGTAGGCCACTTGGCTTCAAAACAGACTCATGCACATGTATCATCAAACATACCTCTTCCAAATGTAACTGCGGAAACAAGACTGTTGAGGTCAGGATTAACAACGGATGAGCTTCTTGATGCTAAAAAAAAAATCAATTATGAATCAAAGTTAAGAATTTGAGTCCATTTTGAGATGTAATTATTGCTAAATTTGCATGAAACACAATTAATGCAAATTTTAATACCTGCACTTTGCTCTCCTTCCCAGTCCTCTCTTGCACTTGATATAAGATTAAAAAGATTTTCAGCAAGTTCATTCAGTGTGTCTTTCTGCTTCTGTAATTGAACATGGTAAAAATTAAAAATGAACAAGATTACCTTAAGTTTTCAGTTTATAAATATACTGTATACCACAGAGTGTATGCTGTAATTGAAACAACATTACACCAAATGATATATGAACAATTTAAGGGGGGTTCTAAGGATTATTCACTTGCCTCAACCCTTTCGGATCAATATCAGTATCTGGCCAACTGCCCACCTACCCCTCCCCTGACCCAACATTAACCCTAGCTTGTTATCAATTGACTGTTGTTGAGTTAGGGGAGGGGTAGGTGGGCAGTTGCCCAAATACTGATATTGATCCACCCTTTCACTGAAACCCAAGTAATTTCCTTCCCTCCCTACCCCCCTCCCAAAAAAAAAAACTAACACAACAATTAAAAAACATAGATAAGTTTTCAAAGCTAACATTATTATAAGTAGGGAATGACAGACAAGAAGAGATCTTGGGAGAGAAAGGGATGAGTAGTATTCTCTGTTTTCTGTTAACCCTTTAACTCCCAGAAGTGATTAAAATGTTACTTCTCCCTATCACATCCATACATTTTCCAACAAACAGGTCATGAGAATATTCAAACATCAAGTAGAGGGCTGTTATCTTGACCAAATGCCAAATTCTCGTGATTAATTTACAAGGAAAGGTGTAACAGCTTGAAGGGAGAATTGACAATAGGATCTTTGGAGTTAAAGAGTTAAAATTAGTTTCAATATACCTGAGCTTCATCTGGTGGGATGTTTGTTGCCATGGTTTCCACCTTCTGTTCAGACTCCTCTATCTCAGGAGCATACTTTGTTCGTAGATAGTCTGGGACTGGAATGAAAAAAATTCAAAATTCATGAGTGGGAACTGTATAAATTGTGTAGTATAAACAAATTAATACTTACCAACTTCATGGTCAAATGCATGTATACGGCCTTCACTTGCTTTCTAATAAACCACAAAACAGAAAAACTTGTAAATGAATTGGAATTTGTACACCCCTTTGCTGCCATTACCCTGACCAGAAGTCCTGTGACAATGCAATTTGACTTTTATTCAGAATTCTGACTTGCTTTGAGTTTGAGAGTCCAGGTTATTTTACATCTCTAGTATCAGGGATTTGACTGTTACTCTAACTATCAAGGTACTGAGAATGTAACATGGGCACACAAACTGAAAATTACATGACACTCAGCATGTCACATTGTCACACATGTCACGCTGGCAGTGAAGGGGTTATGATGTCACACTGTGATAGCTATTATACAAAAATATTGATCATCATCAATGGTTAATCCTAAACATAAAGGTCTCTCCTTCTTATGGACATGGCATGTACCATCAACAGATCTTGTTGGCAAGTTTGTTTCACAATAGACTTAGGGAATATTTGGTAAACATATTATTTTATTCCATAAGCAAGAATATCATTATAGTATGATTTACATTTACTCTACACTGTATATCTGCCACAAATGTACCTGTATATCTGGGTCTGTTTCTTGTTGTACTAACACAGGCAGGAGCACCAGGTTTCGAAAGGGGGGAGTTTTGTCATTTTTCAGGAGTTTTGTCAATGTATTTACTTGACCTGTTCAACAGAGATGCATAACATATAGGCAAGTTCAATACTTTAAACAATGAAAATTAAACTAGGGGTTGTAGCCAAGAGATTACATAGAACCCTTTGACCCCTGAGAGTGACCAGCATCTAATTTCTCCTTACAATATCACCCCTAAATCACACATTAATGTCACAAGAATAAAGGAAATGATCACCAACTAAAGAAACACTTAATTTTCAAATTAACTCTCCTTATCAGCACCTTAACCCTTTCACTCCCACAAGTGACCAAGACAGAATTTCTCCTTACAATATCAATACAATATCAAGCAGGCAGGTGATGAGAATAGAGAAGAATATCAATCACGGGATTATTAGTTGATCCAATACCAAATTCTCTGAACTAACATCATAAGAACTGTATGGCAGATAGTAAGGAGAATTACTAATTAGATCTTGGGAGTGAAAGGGTTAAGAAACGTATGGAGAACAGTATGGAGAAAATGTATATTGATGTTAGGGTGTAAAGAGTTAAACAGGCAACAATAAACCTACCTGATAAGAGAGCATAGTTATCCAAAACCGAGGGCCTGCAACAAACAGTAAAGTGAGTTGGTAATGCTTCAGATGGTTACAAGAACTATTCTTCTAAACAGCGAGCTAGGAAATTTAAACGTGCAAAGAGCAGGTAATGATTCTCTTACCAGTTCATTTGCTCGTGCTCCAGTTTCATCAGGAAGGCTTGAATTGCTTCCTTTAATTCTTGGACTCTGCTGGATACTGCTTCCAGAGAAACTTCTAATAGCTTCTCGTCCTATTCGTTGAATGAAAAAAGTTCAAATCGAGATGGAATAAAAGTCGTATTATGTACAGACATGCAGAAAAGTTCTGATAGATAATGTAGGTTTTTGAAAAACAACAACTGCTTAATCAAAGTAATAATATACGGTATTAATTATGAAAGATTGCAAGAAGCTTATGAGAGGTACAAGAATCACGTAATAATTAAATCACACTCAAAAGAAAATAAAATTATTGCGATCAGACCTGCATTTTCACGAACTTTCGCACAGTCGTTTTCAGAAAAAGCCTCTACGACAAACTCTCCGATGATTTGATGTCTGCCATGACTGAGCCCACGAATAGGAAAGCAAAGACGAACTGCATTCACGCGTGCGCGCGCAATGGAACGTCTTGTAAACATGGCGGACGAGCTCATCAAATGCTGAAGAGTTTAAGATGCAAAATTTTAGCCCTTCTTGTGGCTTCTATTTACACGATCCTTACCATTTATGCACTTCAGGTGCTTCTAGTAAGCGAGAACCAGAAGAGACATCCCAAAGGACTTGTGATTACTTCTCAGTCGCCCGCGACTTTCTACCGTGTTCCTGGAAAAGCTCCTCAATATCGACAAAAGAATTTGGTTGAGGTTGAAATCTGGGGTAAAGCTGCGATCGGGCTTTATTTATGGGAGCATATTCTTGAGGGGCCCTTAGAGGAAAGACTTGGTGGAGCATGGCGCTACGGCGAAAAGCAAATTCAGAATATCAAGTTCATATTTCGGACTGGACCATGGGTGGTACCAAATAATGTTCCAAAACAAACCAAGAGTCTCGTGCTCGTTATCAACGGACGAGAATCGAAAAAAGTGGAATTTGCAAAGGCATGGCTTCACTCTCTTCAAGATTTTCCGCATCTTCAAAACATAGGGGTTGTTCTCTTGGGAAACGAACGCTGTGAGAATGACTGGTTATATTCCTACATGAAAAATAATGGAGGTCACGTGACATTTGCCTTCATTGTCTATGATATCACTTACGCAGATTCTGAAATCTACTTCCAGTGGCCTTTGGGAGTAGCCACTTATAGAAATTTCCCAAATGTTCCATTTCTTTCTATTGATGTTCAGAAACCTCGTAAATTTAAGTGTAACTTTTTAGGAACTGTTTATCCAAACTCTTCTCGAGTAGTGTTGCAGACAGTGATAAAGAAGTTTAACCTTGAGGATGAGTGTTTTATGAAGACTAGAGACACTTGGTCACCGGGTGAAAGTTTACAATCAGCCAATGACTATCACTATGCTCTAGCTAACAGCGACTTGACTCTTAATCCAGTGGGAATGAATACAGAATGTTATCGCATATATGAAGCTTGTTCCTATGGATCTGTTCCTGTCATTGAAGATGTTGTCACACCTGGACATTGTCGGGAAGGAAACGAATCTCCGTTACAACTGTTAAAAAAATTCAAGGCCCCATTCATATATGTAAAAGACTGGAATGAGTTACCAATGATCATTGAAAAGGAGAAGAATTTAACTCACAGTGATGTTGTTGAAAGGCGGAAAAAAGTGTTATTGTGGTACAAAATGTTTAAGGAAACCATGAGGGACAAATTTGTTGAGACTATACAACAAAACTTTGCTGCATAAAGTGTTAAATAATTTTTGTAATTTGACATGTGCAATGTATGTATACCTGTATTTCTTTTTTTCCTTTTTTTCATTTAACCTCATCACTCCCAAGATCTCTTTAGAAGTTTTCCTTACTGTCTGCCATACAATTCCTATGATGTCAGTTTTGAGAATTTGGTATCAGATCGGCTAATAATCCACTGAATCAGTAATTGATATTTTTCTCTATTCCCATAACTTTTCTGCTTGATATTGTATTGATATTGTGGGGAGAAATTCTGTCTTGGTCACTCATGGGAGTTTAAGTATTAAGGATGGAGTGCTGGGGTGTCATTTGTCAGAGGTTGGTGAATTTGACTACTAGGCACAATTCTCAAGCCAAGTTGCCTTGAGCTGTAGAGAATGTTTTCATTTTGATGGAGGGCTAACATTTGAAATGCCGGTGTTAGGAATTCTCTATGGTAGCAAGCTTATATTTATTTATCAACTCACCTAATTATCTCATGATAACTCTAGCGACTCAGCGCCACAGTTTTTAGAAACTTACCCCCTCTTACAACAAACATTTCAGAAGGGACATAATCAAGTGAACATGATACCACAATACCACATTTCTATGGATCAATAGGTAGAATAGCTAAAAACAAACCATTGTTTCCTCTGTTTTTTGCTTTATTTTTGCTAAATAAGGTAATAGAGAATATCACTATTCCACACAGAAAATGTATTTTAAAGACAGACCTTTCTTGTTTAAACCACTTTACATTGGATGTATTCAGTTACATGACACTGGTTGTAGTAGCTTGCATGTGTCATATCACTTGCCTTTCACCCTTTGGAGCAGTGTTCCCTTGAGTACTAAGAAAACTGCTTAGCCCTTAACACCCTAAAAGTGACTATAGTTTAATTTCTTATTTCTCAGTTTTACTGTGGAATCATTCATTGAGATCATGATATGAAATGAATGATCACCAGCCTAAGAAACATTGATTGTTGAATAGATTCTCCTTGTCAGTTTCAAAGAAAATGTATAGACAAGAGTATGGAGAATATGGATGCTGACCTTAGGGTTCAAAGAGTTAATGAGGACTGTTCCGTTTTTAACAAAAAGGGGACTGCTTGAAGACATTGATTCTCTACCTTGGTAGACAGTCTTCTTAGAGAATTATTTCTTTCTTTTTTATTGTTGGCCTATGTTGAGCCAGGAGCAAGATTCTGTGGGGAACTCTTAATACGGGTCTGGAATCAAGAAAAATAGGCCAGGTGAAATTTTTTTCTGAGATCATAAACATGGAAACTTTGCTATATGGAATTTCACTTTATTTTGGTCTAAATTTTCTCTCTCATTTTAGGAAAAAGGCAGAAACTTCTAATTTATTCTTGAAAAGTAGATCATAATCTAGGACTGAATTTGTTTCCCATTACATAATTCAGTTCATTCGCACATTTTCACCTTCTTCCCGTTTCCCACTCCCTCTTGACCAGCGGTGTCGCGCGTGAGTTGTTAGCGTGGCGGAAATGGCAGACGACTGTCATTTGGTTAAGAAACTTGTCGAAAAGGAAGCCTGCAAAGATTTTTCATGACATTTTGCAAATCGCTCATCATTTAAATGATTGTGTTAATATGGACCTTACCTGAAAGGTAAATCAGAAACGAAAATGGAGGAAGACGGTGCAGCGCAAGAGGTAAGTTCTCGAGTCGATCATAAGTTCTTCCCGATGTTTCCTCGTGCTTGACAGCGATTCCAAGTAAATCAGAGATGCAAGGCTCATCTTAAAGTGTTATTTATAGACAATTATTTTTTCTTAATTTTTATATCCTTTCTTTTAAGAAAAGGCCTCGTTTTGGCTCAGATAACGGTTACTATCAATAAATTTGAAAAAAATAATTAATTGAAATTTGAGTCCTTGCACAACTTTGTATCCACTTTGAAAGTGGATACACTGTCCCCCTCTCCCCTAGTCCATAGTAGTGCAACAGTTCTTTTTTCAGAACAACGATATTATTTTTGTGATTGGAAAGACTGTATAGCTGTTGCAAAGACTAAAAGTAGCTTTGAGTGACTGAATCCTAATTTCGTCTCACAGTATTAACCTTGAATCAAATGTAAAGGTCACGAGAGTAAAGAAAATGATCACCAATTCAAAAAGCTCTTGATTGTCAAACAAATTCTCCTTGTCAATACCGTAAGAAATGTAAAGAGAACAATGTAGAGAATATAAATACTAATGTTGAGGTGTAAAGGGTGAAGTATTTACATGGTATGATTTGTCTCTGTATGCCAAAGAAAACAAATACCTGCAAATAAAGTAAGGAAACAAACAATGCTCTGGTAATGAGGTTTTTCTCCTTAATTTTCCCTAAATTATCTGAATGAGCTCCTTCTCCAACAAAGTGTAGAAGAGATGGAAATCGTGGTTCAGTAGTTTTGTGGAAATTATCAGGTTTTATATTAAGTTACTGCACCTTTCAATAACAAAAAAATTCATGAATTTATATGGATTTACTTATTTCCTGCTTTGGATATCTGTTACAAAAATAGTTGATTTTTACATAAAAAAACAATTGTAAGATTTTCTTTGAACTTTAGAATTAATTTTGTTGGTTTGCTCTGTTTATTTTGATAGGAATATGCTCTTCATGTGTTTCTTCTCATGGGAAAGGAGTACAGAATCTCAAGGAGTATCAGAGCCCAGTGGTTCTTTGAACAGTTTAACAAAACTCTTTCTGATCCCAAGTCACATGATGAACTGGTAAGATGGCAGTCAATGGTGCTCCAAGTTGAAAAAGTTTTGGTTACCATGGCAATTATTGAAAAAAAGTTTGGTTACTGAAGTTGCCAATTTGGTGACATTTGTTTGGAGGTCCTGTAGCAAGCTGTGGCCATAGTCTCAATTTAATCCTTCACCTCCTAAGATCTGATTGTTAATTCTCTCCTCCAGCTGTTACACATTTCCTTGTAAATTAGTTATGAAGTAAGATCAAGATACATTTAACAACTTCTATACCTGATAAGTTTGAGTATTCTCATTACCTGTTTGCTTGATAATGTATGAATCTTATGAGGAGAAATTACATATATATAACTTATGTGAGTTAGATGGTGAAATTCCCTTTTTTTGCTTCTGTAATTTAAATATTATTTAGTTGAGTTTTGAGCTCTACACAGTCATCCAACTTAACAATGCACATGAAATTTACCATGCCTAATAATGCTTTGTGTACAAGATGTGCCCAGTGGGTTGATTTAATTTGCCCAGACTCTAATAATGTTCTTTTTTTTGTGGTCTAGATTGCTTCTAATGAAGAACTAGAAGTTTTGTCAGTCATTTCAAATAATCAAGACAAGCATGGACCCTACAAACTTGTTCCTTCAACTCAAATTACATTTATTGGCAGGCGATACAGATTTGTATTTTGTTTTGACATCAGCCCATCTCTTGCTACTGTGGTAAGAATGTAATGAAATTTTAAAGAATTGTTGGTCTTCATGGAATTTTTTTCCAAAAAAAGTAAATGACAGTTTAGCAGTGTGTTCAAGAAGTATTTCCACAATCAAAATGTTTTTTTTTCTTCCAGGATATCCAGTCAGGGACTGTAATAACTGATGAAGCATTTGAAAAATTTAAAAACTGTCTGAATGGCTTAGTTGCTCCAGTAAGTAAAATTATATATTAATTTATTAGTTTTTTGCAATTCTGTGTTAGCTCAACTTGTTATTTTCTGGGTGAGGGAATGGTGGCATATCTGTCAATGGGAACATATGTATTGCAAATTGAAGTCTTCAAAGTAATGTTAGGGACCTTCTTTAAGCTGCGAGGACAGCAACGCCAAGGAAGATGTCAATTAAAAAAGGAAAGAAATGTTTAGTTAGAATTTCACCAATGGTTGGGTTGAAACTTGAATAATTCAGGTCTTAAGACTAGGCAAATTTTGGTGGTTTCACATCTTTGTTTTGCAGAGGACAGCTAAGAAATATACAAAGTTTTAAAATGTCTATGCTGACTTGTTGTTCTACCTATTAGATCTTTTGTTTAGCGATGTCCTTACTGCCTTTGATTCATTACCATACCCACAATATAATCATGCATTGAGCACTTTGCTGAAGCAAAATATCTAAGTGTACTGTGTTCCAGCCATGATTCACAGCATGAGCACAGAAACTCCAGGTTATAAGCACTTCATTTATCCAAAAGATTAACAGTCACACTCACTTTCTCTGCAGTTCTCTGTTCCTGGTAACACCATTGTGTTACGTCCTGAGTTGTATATCACTGTCTTAGCATATACTTCCAACTTGGATCCTGAAGTTCCTCAGGTGAGTTTATTTATATTTTTCAATATGAGGATCATTTTAATTACTTCCTCACAGTAGTTTATAAGGTAGATGTGGAGGCCTACACTGTAGTGGCTAGTGTGCTTTACTCTTGGTCAAAATGTTGGGCTTAAGACCTGGCTGCATCATTGTATTGTGTTCTGGGCAATACACTGAACTCTTACAGAGCCTCACAATCTTCACCCAGGAGTATAAATGGGTACTGGTAATATCAGGGTAGCCTGGTAGGGGTGTAACCTTCTGGACAATGGAATGGTATCTCACCCACAGGGGAGTGGTAATACTCCAAAATGCTTCATGCCATAGAAACCAGGATAAGTTGCTGGTTCAAGTACAGACTTAAACTTTCTTTAATTGTTCACACTGGGTGACCTATTGCTTGAATAAATGAATTTATAAGTTACACTTTCAAATAGAGGAAAAAATCAAAACTTCTCCTTAGTTAGCTTGCAGCTTTCTTTCTCTTTAAATCTTTTCACTTTGCAGTTGTTTAAGCCAATGAAATGGAGACCACTTGTTTTTTTGGTTTGTTTTCCTTTTTCAAGATTCTTATCCAAGGCTGCCTTGTGACAGAAGAAAATATCAACTTTGTTCTGGAGTCAGTACACAGGCAGCTAATGGAGCTGGAGGACTTCTTGGCTAAGACTACATCTACACTGTACTGTGATATATGCTCTAGTGATGAGGTAAGGTTCATGGGTATTAGGGACAGTATTAAGAATTTACTAATTAAAAAGAGATATAAAATGAGAATTTAAATGAATGAATGAAAGGAAGAAAGTAATGAATGTGTTGATTAATGAATGAATGGACTGCAATTGTGCACAAATGCACAGATGTAAGAAAAATTAAGCACTGTTGGATTCTCCTTCCATCTTATCTTTTACTTCCTTGTGAAACGCAAGGAGAGGTTGATGTAGAGTTAATTAACCCTTTAACCCCTAAGAGTGACTGGTATCCAATTTCTCCTACTGTATCACCCCTGAATCAAACATTAAGGTCAGGAGAATTAAGGAACTGATCACCAACTAAGGAAGCTCTTGATTGTAAGACAAATTCTCCTTGTCAGCACCTTAGGAAATGTTTAGAGAACACTATGGAGAATATGCATACGCTTTGATGTTAGGGTATAAAGGGTTAAAAGTTACTTGTGGCTTAATTACTCAGTGGAAGACATGGTGGTCTTTACGGTTGGTGAGCTGGACTCCAGGTTGAGAGGTCTGGGCTCAAGACCAGGCTGATTCAATGTGTTGTGTTCTTGGGCAAAACACTCATTACCCTTACAGTGTCTCTCTCTATACCCAAGAGTAATACCCCGGGATAAGTCAGGCTGGATGGACTACTTGGCTTGAGTCTAGACTTTACCTTTGACATTGTTCTACACACTGCTTAAATTTTTTTTTTGAGAAATAGATAAGCCTTGACTGTGTTCTGTTCTGTTGTAAAGCATGCAGGTAGCAGCTAGGACAGGAAAGAAGTGTAGAAAGAAACACAAGACATAGTCAAGTGTTTCTCCCCTCTTCTTCTGTTACTACTTGCCAGCTTGCTTGTTTTGAAATTTCACCTTCAACTAATTAAAGAAAGCTAGAGAGAAGTTTGGGAAAAGATCGAACATAGTACAAATTGGTAGATGATGCAACAGCTTTAGCCCAGCACTATGCTTTATACATGTACTCCGATAGAGCAAGCTCTTTCAACCAACAGCAGCACATGTTATATCCAAACTTTATTATAAAAGAACTTAATAAAGTACATTATATGTTGAATATTGATGGAAGGAATTTGATACTTTAATGAAGGAGAACAAAACTGAGAGCAACCAGAGTGGACTGGCGCATGACTCTGTGACACTGATGTCACCCGAGGCTGGACCAATATCAATATTAAGGAACACTCTCCTTGCATTACAGCTGCTTCCAGGAAATGCAAGTGCTGGTATGTTAGATATAGAGCTGTGAGTAAATTAACCCTTTAACTCCCAGATCAAAGTTGTATTTCTCTTTACTATCAACCATACAATTCTTATGTTAGTTCAGAGAATTTAGTATTGGATCAACTAATTAACCCCAAATTGATATTTTTCTTTATTCTCGTCACTTATCAGGTTGATATTTTATTCATATTGTAAGGAGAAATTCTGTCTTGGTTACTCATGGGAGTTAAAGGGTTGAGTGCAATTTGACACAATATTATGACCATTATCACCCTCTTCTAAAACTGCAGTCAGCTAACAAGATCTTGCAGAAGAAGTTGCCTTCAGGCTAATCAAGTCTTCAGTTAAATTTGTCTTTCTTAGACATAGTTTGCACAGGGATAATGCTGATAGCACTTGGCAAATTTTCATTAATCATGAAATCCTGTCAGTTGATAGCGAGTCACTAGTAAGAGAAATATTGTTGAATACTGTTACTACTTTTTTTGTATGAATGTATAGGAGCAGTTGTGATCACAGATGGTGTTTTTGCCCTTCCTGATGCGATTACAGTTGATTCTCTCTTGGCACAGCTAAGAGCCAGTACTGTGTGTTGTTCTTTCATTAAAGTTGGAAGTGGATTTCATGCCCACTGCAGGTTAATCCTCTTAGATATTCAATTTAAAATCCTATACTATTGTTGACTTTGTTGTTGTTTGTTTAGATTCAGTGTGTTTCACAAAAGATTCCCAGTTTTTTGTAACAGTATTATTGACCAAACTGTATCTAAATGGCTATTTCCCATTTTATGTTTTTTTTGCAAGTTTTATTCAGTGGAGTTTATTGTTATCATGTGTTAATTAACTTTCAAGTTCTTCTTTATTAAACACTTAAACTCCCAAGATTTCATTTGTAATTCTCCTTGCTGTCTGTCAAACAATTAATGTGATTTTAGTTTGGAGAATTTGGAATTGGATCAACCAATAATCCCCTCATTGATATTTTTCTGTATTCTCTTTACTTGTCTGCTTGATATCATATTGATAGTGTAAGGAGAAATTCTTTCTAGGTCACTAGTGGGACTTAAAGGGTTAATAATCATTTCCTTTATTGGCATACAGCCTCAATGTTTGATTCAACAGTGATACTTTCAGGAGAAATTAGATGCTAGTCACTCTTAGAGGTTACAGGGTTAATGGCAATTCAAGCTGGCCCCCAATACAATTAAATTTTAGCTCATGTGCAACCAACTTTATTTTTTTCCTTTCAAGCCTTGGTTATGTGCCACATTGTGATATGATGCAGTTTATCGCCATGGCTAGCTCAGGTGCATACCTTGCAAAGGCACCCCCAGTGAGTAGAAGACACTGTGCATAATGTTGATTTCAATAGAAGATGGTACATTAAGTTATTAGGAGACCTTGGTGTCTTCTTTTTTCCTATTTTTTACTTTGGCGTAGAAAGCTTCCTGCCAAGCTACATGCAATGAAAAACTGTTGTTGAACCTTGCTGTCCATTGTTTAACACCAATTTGCACAGCATTAATCTGTTAGATACTTAACAAGGACTTCTTGCAGTTTCAGGGGTAAAACAACCTATATTTTCTATGAATTATGATTTCAGCTGTGTCTTTCAAAGATCATAATGATTTTCTTTAAGTTTAAGACATATGTCTTACAAACTGAGTTTGAGGCCCGCACAGTGAAATACAGCCTGCTAAATTGACCAATCATAATGCACACAATAACTGAAAAATGTAATAATTTTCCAATATTTCCAGGTTTCAAAAGATGGTAAAAGAGTGGATGAAGAAGGTAAAAAAAATCTTAATTTTAAAATCTGAAAGCAAATTTTCCTGGATGATGACGAGAGAGTGTCAAGTTCCTTAGATGTGTTGTGTCAATCGATAAGTTCTGGTTAAAATAATTAAATTTCATACCATTTTGATCTATGAATTCCTTTGTGTGACCCTTTTACCATTAGAAGTGATTAAGATGTAACTTCATCCTATAATATCTGAGATATTTGTCCTTTTTTGTAGAGGATTTCAGCATGAACCTTTATCACAAAGCTCTACTTTGCTGGAACTTTCAGAGAGATTTTGACCTGAGCAAGATTGACTCCTGGATGGGTAATGTTGTGGCAATTGCATAACTGGCTAATTCTTTTGAGCATATGTAATTAAATCATAATTTTGTTTCCTAGACTTTGGAAAATCTGATTAATGAAGAAACAAGGGAAAAAGAAAAGAAACCAAAGAAACAAAGAAACTTAATTCAGTCAATAAATATTTTATCATTATTTTACCACTAATTGTTGAAAATGTTTAAAATCTTGTTTCACCTAAATAGGACACAATTGAGAGGCATGTGTTGTGCAACCACAAAAAGACTCAACAATGAAAACTCAGAACAAGAAACTCACAATTCATAGAAAAATACAACTTATTTTCTCATTTCTGCTTTGCTTTAAGTTCATATCCACAATGAGAACTCATCTTTTTGGAAAGAGTTTGAAGAAATTAACAAAGCCGTACAATTGTGGGGCCAGAAAGTTTTTTCTGACCCTTCTTATTTCAATCCATTTGGTCCAACACACATCAGCCTTCATTATGGTTTTCTATAGGATCATGTGAGTGGGTTACTCTATAATTATAACGTCATAAATTTAATTCTTCATTGCTAATTATTTCAACATTCTCTATTGTTGAATGAATACTGACCATAGGTGACTGTTTGGAGTTGAGTGAGGAAGACTTGGCGTGGGCATTGCAAGGCAAAAAGTAACCACAACATTGTTGTACATGCTTAGTTAAAATAACTATTAAGTTAGTGTTCAATTTTAAGTGGAATCCCCTAGAAAGCAAATGAACCAGCTCTTACGTTCAACTCAGTCTTTAATTCCCAATATCTGATTGTTAACCCTGTTACTCCCAAGATCTCATTAGTAATTCTCCTTACTGTCTGTCATATAGTTCTTGTGATGTTAGTTTGAAGAATTTGGTAATGGATCAACTAATCATCCCCTAATCAAGATTTTTCTTTATTCTCATCACTTGTCTGCTAGATATTGTATTAATATTGTAAGGAGAAGTTCTCTTTTGGTCACTCATGGGAGTTAAAGGGTTAATTCTCCCCTCCAGCTGCTACACATTTCCTTGTAAATTAGTTATGCAAATTTGGTGTTAGATCAGGATAAAAACTTCTCCCTGATACATTCAAGTATTCTCATTACCTGTTTGCAGGATTATGTATGAATAGTAAAGGAGGAAGTTACATGTTAATCACCTCTGGGATTTCAAGAGTTAATTAAAGGGAGGGAAGGTACCTGGGGTATATAAGAACCTCTATTGTGTCCAACTAGCCCTTCAGATAGAATTCTCCCTCCATGGTTGGCAAATCCCAGTTATCAAGCCACAAGTCCTTGCGTCAGTCTCCCATGAGTGTTAATTTGATCAGTTCAAGGAAAACGAAGGGAAGGTGGATTGGGAAAAAAAACACAATTAGAAACTGTTCAGGCCTGTACAGTGATTTTAATTTTTTTTTTTAAACTTAAATATTGTTAATATTTTCATTGTAGATCAATATCTTATGCACTGAGTGAGTGGGAGAAAAATGCCATGCAACGATCAATGCGAATAAGACATCTGGAGACAAAGTTATATACTAGCATCACAAGGTGAGGATGTGAGTCCCGCACTTATGACCAGTCATGGTAGAGTTCTCCAAATGGAAAAGGGGCAATCATTGGTAAAGCACATCATCTGGTAAAACAAAATGGCACATCTGAAGTTTGGCACTTACGGTTGTTCAGTATTGAAGGTTATCACTTGAAATTTTAGCTGGCAGCCCAAGTTCTTAGCCACAACAAGGAAAATAATTAGATGCAATGCATGGGGTAGATAAAACTTGAACATTTCTTTTTTTTTCTCGTGTCTAGTGTTCTCAGTGTGCGTCTCAGAGAAGGGTATTTAATTCAGGACGTTTCCATAGCAAAAGGTATTCACATTTTATATGAAGATGTGTCAATTAATCATTTACACCCTAGCATCAGTATGCATATTCTCGATACATTTTCTAAGGTGCTGACAAGAAGAGCTAATTAACAATCGGGAGCTTCGTTAGTTGATGATCATTTCACTTATTCTTGCAACCTTAATGTGTGATTTAGGGGTGATGTTGTGAAGAGAATTTAGATTTTAATCACTCTTGGGGGTCAAAGGGTGGAGGTCTGTCATTTTTTACTGATTAATAATTCTCAAACAAATGACATGAAAACAGGGAAGACATGTCTTCTGTGTTCTGTCTACATGTATATTTACTGGGGTACCCATGCTATTGCCATTGGGTCTTCACATATGTTATGTAATTCAATAAAACTCTCCTTTAACAAGGTGGAAAGCAGCTTCAAGTCAAGCTAACAATTCCTTGGAAGCATAATGTCCAGATTGAGTATTTAGCTCTCTCAGTAAGTAAACAGATTTTTTTCTTTGATGTATTTAACTGTAAGTTAATGATATTGTTTTCTCTTTAATGGCAGTATGGTAGCTCCATGTTCATGCATGTTTGTTATTTCAATTCTCCAGTGCATATTAAAGTGCAGCGATGCTCTTGCCTCTTTTAATTTTTTTTTTTTTTTGCTATTTCAACAGGTTTGGCCCCTATCCACTAGCAGGTTAGTAAATGCAGTGTACAGCATAATAAATCATATATATGTTGTAGTTCAATTTTATCCTTGGTTCAAATTTTATTTTCCTTTGTTTCAAACTCATTAACATACTTTACAATACCCAAAAACAAACGAAAAGAAACTTTGAACCAAGGATAAAATTGAACCACAACATATACACAACACTATAATTACTTACACCATACAGGCTATTTATGAACATACAATTGGCAACAAAATTATTGACACATTGACCTTTTAACCCCCTATTACTTCAATTTTATATCCGTTGCTCTTGTTTAGTTAACCTATCCACCCCTTTTTCCCCAAAACAATGTTGTATCATGATTCTAGGAACCTTCAGCTACATACAGGCAACAATGAATAGGGGAGGGGGTTTTGTCAATGATTTAGGGTGTGGTAAAAACAGGAGTGTTATTCAATGCATAAATAGAGTTCTTCAAACATGATGTGTCAACTAATTGGGATGCTGATCGTAGCTCTTGATAAATTTGTATGCATATGTATAAGCATATGTGAAGGGGTTAGGTTTATAATGAAAAGAAACTGTGATACTGTGTTGAAGGGGGTATTACATTTAATAATTTGGTTTTATCAATTTAATTAGCTCGTCATCGGAGAAAATACTGAAGGGCTAATGCTCAAATTGTAAGCTTTAAAAACTCTTTACAATGGCCAATGAAAACTACATTATCAACACAGATGATCAAACCAAATTATCTTTTATGTATAGTTGGTAGAGATGTGACGATTTCGTGGAATTTATACTGCCAAAAATTATAGAAAATAAAGTGTATTTGACCTAGGGATGGTAAAGCCAGTACAAAATAAGTCAAGTTGGGCAGAACTATCTGTAATTCCCTGAATTTCACTATGACACTATTTCTATAGGGTTTAGGCTCTTTGCTCAGCCATCATGAAAAGAAGTCACAGCTAATGCTTTTTCTTTCAGTTGTGTGACACATGTAGAAGTGACAATAGAAGCACCTTATGATTTTCTTCATGATGTGATGCATTCTACAAAGCCCTTTCCAAGTCCTTACAGGTAACTTTTGTATGAATTGATCCCTTTCCTTACTATCTATGACACAATGCTTATAATGTTAGAGTGGAAATTTTTAATTTTATTCATCCAAAACCCTCCTTGTTCCTTTTTCTTCCCTGTTCCTACGTCTTTATAATGATATTACCTTCTTCGCTGAAAGTTAATTGCCTAGTGTTTTCTTGTCCTGCTCTATTGACCAGGAAAGATGGGAACAACTACATACATGTACATACCATCCATGGCTTTAACTAACTTACACTGTAGCTGTTAGCCTTCAGAACCAAGAAGAGAGTAGTTAACTTAAATTTACAGGTATGTATGCATACTTGGCTAAACAAAATTAATACATGATTTTAATAAATTCAACCTTTTCAGAACACTTGTTGTCAAAAGATTCAGGCAATCCATGAAAAGGTAAATCATCATCCAAGTATAATGCATTTTCTTGAAATTATTTTTTTGTGGCTTTTAAACATGATACATTGTATTGTAATGCAATGTTTTCCTTTTTTCAGTTTAAAGAGCACAGATAAGATGCTTGTTCATCTCCAGTCCTTTTCATCCAATTCCATTTATTACACCATACCAGAGAGTGCAAAAAAGGGAGTTCCACTATTCTACCTACCACCAAGCTCTAACAACCCTGTAAGTATCAAATAATAAACTTTAAACATGAAGGCTCACTATAAGTTGGTTGACTCCGCCCCTTGATTTTGGATCAAACGCAAATTACACCCAATATGATGCAAAGGCGAAGTGAATCATTTTGAATTTCAAATTACCACCACAAATTATATGAAGAGAGTTTCGATTGAAGGAAGGAGATACAAACCTCAGCAATTTCTTCAATTGTGATGAGAATGTTGAAACTAATAAGAGCTTTTGAGAAATCCACGTGCTATTCACTTGCTTTGGATTGGCTGCAGCTCAGGCTGTTTTGAATTTAGAGGTCTGTATGCCACAACAGTTGATTGACAACTAAGTGCCTAAGGCACCTCTTCTTTTATAGCACGCCTTTGTGTTTAAAAAGCAACTTCCCAATTGTGTTTATATGTTCAATGTTTGACAAATAGACTCCATGTTACCTTGTGTGTGTTCAGTAAAAGACCACAGGTGACGTCAAAATGCAGTAACAACCAAAAAGTGGCACACAAGGCACAACCAAAGGTGTCTCTGATGTTCTTGTATAATTCAACGACTGGTATCATGTAATTGTACAGTTGCATTATGAAAGATATCAGGGTTTTTTTACATGTGTGTAATTCTTACTGTTAACCTGGTTTCATTTTAGGTTTTGTCCCTACAACTTGAAAGGTAATTTAAAAGTGCTTCCTATATTTCATTTCCTCTTGTTTCAATCTTTTACTTAAAGTTCCTGAGTTAGCTGTCTATGAAACTAGTGAAGTAATTTGATTCATTTGGATTAATCATAGCTAATTTATAACTAAGAGTATGGCTATCTAGTAATATATCTTATTTATTATGATTATTATTATTAATACCACTTTATTTGCAACTGCCCTTTTTGTTCTGTGCTGCGGTACTGGTAAAGTAGTTTTGTGTAAGAACAAGGAAAAGCTATGAAGAAACCTTTTTAATCAAAAAAGGCTTTCCTAAGTTTTCACAATTACATGATTTCAGAGAGAATTCCAAATCACAAGAGTCCCAATTTGCTGTCTTCTGGAAGCCAGTGTTATCTCTTGATACGACTGGATGGTAGGTATATTTATATACAGACTGTAGTCACCTCTTTTGTAGAGGGTGTGCTTACTTTACTTTTGGTTACAACACCAGGTTATGGATAGAATTTTGGGTTGAAGCACAGGCCCAGTCTTTTTGTTGCGTTCTTGATTGGCAAATCACCGAACTCGCAATGGACTCTTTCTAACCAGGCGCGTTTCGAGTGTTAGCTCTTCGCCCGTTGCTCTGACAAAGGGCTAACGATCGAAATATCTGCTTTAGAAACTCTTTACGGTGGCCAATTTACATCAACTCAGTCGATTAAACCAAATTACGTGTATCTTTTAATAAAGATGAATTTTTCTTCTAGGCAAAAATGGATGCATAGTCACAGAATTGGACTTGTACTGGAACATGATGTGTGAGTGTGATGGATATTTTTGATCTATGTCAGTATCTGAGCAGCCGAGCACCTACCCCTCCCCTAACTCAGGAACAATCAACTGATAATAACTTATGGTTAATGTTCGGTTAGGGGAGGGGTGGGTGTGCAGTTTCTCAATCTACCCCTCCCTAACCCAGGAACAGTCAACTAGTAATAAGTTAGGGTTTGAATTTACGACACTTGATCGAGAAAGGAAGGTCGTCATTCTGGGAAAACACAGCAAATGAAAACTTACCTTTATTTGCAGCCCTTTGCCAAAGAATCTTCATCTTCCGAAGGAAAATGACAGATCCAGTGCAATCCAATGTCGGGTGGCACTGAGTTCGCTTAACTCTCTTCTCAGAAAATGGAGCTCGTTTGTGTTATTGGAAAACCTCTCTTATATCAAGTTTATTGCCAGGTAAATATTATTCTTTTGCCTTTTTAACTCGTGAATTGCGCGCATGCGCAAGAGCGAGTTGTAGATACGATGTGGGGAATGGCACTCGCTCGCTCGATTGGTCGATTCCTGCAAACTTTTTTTCGATTTTAGGCTTTTGAGTGCATTTTATAGTTTTTGGCGAGCAATAAACAAACGAAATGGCGACCTTTGTTGCTAAGAATAGTGGTGGGGTGACAAAGAAGCCAATGATAATCTTAAAATAATTTTTTTTTTCGTTTTAGTTTCAACAAGCGGCGCCAGCGACTGGCAAGCATGCAAGGATTCACACTGAAATAACAGAAAAACCTTCGTTTTTCATAAAATTGCAATTTACAATCCTTGAACTTAAAATCAATCCGAAGATTCATTGAAAATATCACTTACTGCGAAGCGCTCGGAGTTTACAGATGTTCAAAAGCTTTTTCTGTTACGGCGTGAGATTGAGGACAAAATCGATCATTACGTTTTGTATCGTGTGTTTTTCCTGTGAGAAACAACAGAAGATGCCGGCGACTAACGAAATTACAAGTTATCACGAAAATCAAATAACACCTAAACAAACAATTTTAGCTACCGATTTTCAGTGAATTTTTAAAGAACAATTTTCTTTTAAGTTTCAAGACAATTTGAAGATTCAAAATACATATTACGTACTAAAATGCGAAAGTTATACACCACAGAATTGATAAATATATGGGCGAATAGGCCTGAAATTAAATTCTATCTTGTTATTGATTATACGTTGCCTAGCACGTGACTAAAATCTACCCAGGCGGAGATCTAAAATGACGGTAGCAGTCTTGGCTTAGGTATATCACTCAGAACTCGTTCCTGTTTATCTCATTTGATAAAGAGGGAATCGTTAATATTTTCATTAAGAAAGTATTGCCTTGATTTTCTAATATTTACAATGATAGACAGTAAATTTCACTTTTCACCCACATTTACTTCCAACCTTTTCTTTTGAACCAGAAACAGAAATGATATAAGTTTAAAACACGACATCATCCACCATTGTCAAATGCAATAGCATGATCATTTCAATTGTAATGCCTTCTTATCCCAACGTTACTTTGTTTCTTTGCTACATTAGCGAACACTGAACTACTGCTCGTACTCCAGATATGACAATCAACCACAAAGTTCCCTAAACCAGATAAAATTAAACATAATCCAAAAAATCATGTGTCAATTCACGAGTTTGCTCACAGAGCACTTTGATTTATTGCATGTTAGCATGTTATGTTTTTCAATCAATCCTACCACGTGGTGTTTGTACACAAGATTTGGGATTTAAGTCTTTGACCCCCTAAAAGTGACCAGCATCTAATTTCTATTTACAATATCACCCCTGAATCACACCTAAGGGTCACGAGAGTTACGGAAATGATCTCCATTTAAAGAAGCTCTTGATTGTTAAACGAATTCTCCTTGTTAGCAACTTGGGAAATGTATAGAGAACAGTGTGCAGAATATGCATACTGATGTTAGGGTGCTGATATAGAGTTAAAGAAACTTTCATACACATAAAATTTTTCTTAATCACTTTCTTTGTTTAATGCCTGTATATGGTTTTGATCCCAACAGCGAGAATCCTGACGGAGCCCCTTCTTCTTTCTGTATCGTGCGAGTAACAGCAAGAGGACCGTGTATTGTCATCAAGGTAGCTTTCCTTGGAGGAACTGCAGGTCACATAAGACATCAGGTAAGTGATATACTACAGTCCTAATACAATGATATTGTACTGTTCCTATAAACGTACAGTTACCTCTTGCCTTGTAGAGACAGGCAAGGCTGGGGATGATTAATTTTTCATACCTACAGCGTGGGCGCTCATTCGAGGTTTGGCGCTTAATCGAATAAATACGGTACATCTCCCCTTTAGTTAATGGCTTAACCCTTTAACTCTTAAGAGTGATTGGTATCTAATTTCTCCTCACAATATCAACCTTGAATTATACATTACGTTTATGGGAATAAAGGATACGATCACCCACTAAAGAAGGTCTTGTTTGTTAACTGTCTCCTTGAATCACACTTAAGGGTCACGGGAGTAACGGAAATGATCACCACTTAAAGAAGCTCTTGATTGATAAACAAATTCTCCTTGTCAGCACCTTAGGAAACGTATGGAGTATAGTGTGGAGAATATGCATACTGATGTTAGGGTGCAAATGATTAAGGATAAATAGATGAGCGAGTTGACTTGTAAAAACAAACATGAAAGCATTGAGAACAGTTTGAAAAGATGTAAACGAAAAGGGTGATTGAATAGAATTGAATTAAAAGATCTACAGGAGGAAATGAGTTTAGTTTGAGGCCAAACAACTTGATGACTTTGTTGACCGTGCGTGTTTGCAATTTATCTTCTCTAGATTGTATCAGACCTAAAGATAAAACTCGCTGATATCACAGCTCCACTAGGTGTGATTAACAAACCTCAAAAAGCCCAAGCCAAGGGTAAAAGTCTTCAACGCGACGTGCAGTTATCGAAACAGCGGACTGTAGTTGAAAAGCCGTGCGCGATTATGTATGAGAAATCTCTGGATGGGATCTTGATTCGGTACGATCGAGTTCCAGAGGACCTCTTTTCGGCATACCCAGAAAGGCCCAGTTATTCTATGTACTCAAGTTTGACGGGAAATTATGCGTACAAAACCAATGATAATCACATGAAGGTCCTATGTCAGTATCTGCATCACCATCGTTGGATTTGGACGATGCAAGATGAACGATCACCAGCTTTAAGTGCTGAGAAAGTTGCAAGAGTGCTCTCCACTCTAACAAAGTAAGGAAGGAAAGATGTTGTCTTTAGCACTGAGTACTAATACTGTTCCGTAACTAGTAATGACGACTCATTCCCAGACTCTTGATGAAGTCTACTTGTCCTCCTCTTAGAGGAGAGAAATATATAAACAAGCAAACAAAGAAATTGTAAGCAAGCAAAAAGGGTGAAATTTTAGTATTAGTTGCGTTTAGCGGCCCAACATCCCTCGCTTCCAGTCCCTCATAGTAGATATAGATTGTATACAGTAAATGTGGCTCAGTCTGAGTTGTGTTGTCTTACACTTCTGATTCGTAGGCTACGACTGCAAGAGGGATACAACTTTGTGAACAACAGTGCAGGGATTATCACCATGGCAAAAGAACTCAAGATGAAGGTGATTGAACGTCCATGTCCTTTTCAAATGTGAAATAAGTAATGGATACAAGTCTGAGTAGAGTCGAATTCAGTCTTTAATCATACTGACTTATCGTAGTGATTGACAACATCAGATGACCGCGAAGCGACGCGCAGTTCTGTTACCAATAAGTCAAAACTATAACAAAATTTGAGGAAAAAAAAAACTATCGATCTGATATTCGTTTTCATAATAAAAAAACAACCGTTAACTCGGCGAAATGCGCCAGGACATCCTGCGCACTTGATGCGTACTGTCCAATTACACTTGCATGACGTGCACACTGTCCAATTACAAGCATAACGCATACTCTGTCCTCTTAGTGCTCAAATCGGGCTGGTGATAACCAAATGCGTTCGAGAATTTTGCTATACTGTTGATTACAAATTTAACATTAACGTACATGGACTTATTCTGAGGTCGCAAAAACTAAAACTGAATACTTGGATGTTAATGTTCTCTTTAAGGATCACACACAAGACAGTGACCAACCGTATTCCTGTGTCATTCAATATGTGCTGTTCCCTCCATATCTTCAGTCATGTGAGCCAGAACGGTCTGAAGAGTCCGTTCTTGACTGGGCGTCCCTAGGAAAGGCTGGACGCAAGTTTAACATGGTCACAGAGGTGTGGGCTGAACCACAGTTTGGCTGCTTGACTGATTTGAAAACGGAGCTGAAGTATCTGGAAGGACTTCAATACGATCAAGTTCCAGATGCAGTAAGTTCAAAAGCAAACATAAGGAAATATCTTAAGGAGCTAAAGAATACGCAGAGAAAATACGAGCAAGCTGACTGACGTATGGGAATACGAGCGTGACCAAATCGCGATTGGTTTTAGTTTCGAATTTGATTGGTTGAGACATCTTTTCTCGACCAATCGCGTAGCGAAGTAAAGTAAAACGAAAGATTCTCAGATTGCTTTCGACACGAAACTGAAAATTGTCCAGGAAAATACGGTGACAGACAATGTGTTACACTTAACACGTCGCATAGTTCTTCAACTTGAACTCCGGGCTATGTTTATTTTACCGGTTAATGTGGTTTGTATTATTTGTCTTTTATTATCAGATTTATCAAGCTGATGTAAAGCACGTGTCGGCTCTGCTCACTTACGATCATCTGTTGAGTATGTGCGATGACAAGACTGTTACCACCCCCCACAGACCTTGTAAAGCGCCGCATGAGAACTCTTTACTGTTCAAAAGTAATTGGATAGTAGAGCAGTCGCCGTTTCCATTTGACATCATTGATTTGTTGTCCAAAACTCGACAAGTGGAGATGGTTTTTTCTTCCCTGATCGAGACCTCCTCTCCAGGTATCATTCTTTCGTGATTAACAGTGATTTTATAAATTGGCCAGTTTAGAGAGTTTCAAAAGCTGACGTTTCGAGCTCTGACAAAAGGCAAACGCTCGAAACGTCAGCTTTCCAAACTCTCTTAGTTGGCCAATTGAACACGCAGTTGGGAATTGAACTCGCAGGATTATTGTCACATTTGAACCCGGTGAATGTGATATACATGCAGGCCAACAACTGACTCGTCCCCAGGCTTCTCTTTATTTTGAAATGTAAACGCGGGAAGCGCGCGAGAGATGTGCAGTTGGGAAGATGGGAAGAAGGAAAAGGGAGATAATCCCCTCTCAGTCCTCTTCCTTCCCATGGTTCCTGTCGCCGTAGTAGTGCGACCACCTACTCTTGGACGATAGAGGATCAAAATTTTTTTTTTTATCTTTTTTTTTTTTCCTTTTTTTTTAGCCTCAGATGACCTCGACGATTTGCCAAACGAAAATCTTTTCAAGCTTTTAATAGAGAACATGGAGCGTTTGAACGATCGTGAAGTCGTACTAAGTGACGATGACTGGAATCGGTTCACACAGCACATCCTCATTCGGCCGAGGAATGGCGTGCCTCTTCCATTTCCTGAGGAACTGTGTCAACGGAAAGATTCTAGCGATTCCACACAGAATGACAAAGAGAAAAAGTCCAAAAACAGAAGCACTTCTTCAATGAAATGGAAATGTTTCATTCGTGCAGTGACTGCTTTTGGCGGCGGTCGCCTCATTCTCACATTTCTACCAGCAAGCTTTAAGTATGTTAGGCTCATAGGAAGACACCGGCGGAGCAAGAGCCCTAGTGTTGGGAGCAGCCCAAGAAGCCCGCACGGCACGTCAGAAGTGGAGCCTGAAGGAGCCACCGATGAAATAAGTCCTCACGGCGCATTTGGACTGCAGAAACTAGATAATTTACTCGTATCACAAGGCTCTCTTGAAGGTTTGTTTAATATTTTAGTTGGGTTGATTACAATAAGAAACTAAAATTTGTTCGTCGAACTAGCCTTTCCTCTCCCTGGAGTGAACGAAAGAGAATTTTTCCTGACAAGATCAATAGATTTTTACGAAAAAGGAAAACGAGAACAAAGAAAATATCGGTTGGGTATAATGCTTGATTTTATACCAAATTATTAGACAGGAAATTATGACAAAAAGTATGGCAGACAAAGCGGGGAATAGATTATAGATTTTGGCAATGAAAGGGTTAATATAAGCTATCATAATTAGATTCTATGGGTGGTATGAAGAAAGACCATTGCAAATATTTCTGTTTGTGTGAAGGCTTTAAGTTTTCTTGAGTAATTATGGGGTTCTCATCGCTATTACGTTATTACTGTAGAGGTGATGTACTTTTCCTGAAATAAGAAATGAAAATCTGTCAAAATGTCAGAATTCAAAATGTTAATAAATAGCAGTATACTTTTTTGTTTGTTGTTTGTAGACCAAAGCCTGACACCTACACCGACCGCAGAGAAAGACGAAAGTCCATTTTTCTACTCTCAGAAAACAAGCAATTCACTCGTCTCTAATGAAGAGTCAAAACTGTCAATCAACAGTGCTGATGAAAAGAAAAGCGTAACATTTCAAGAAAACTCCACACCTATCAAAGAGCGCAAAGAGCTTGTCTTTCACGACAGAGGCTTTGGTAAAGATAGTGACTCTTTTAGTTGGGACATCCCGATATATTGTTATGACTGCCCGATGTCAGCCCTCGTAACAATACCTGCTGCCGAGTCCGATACAGAGGGGACGTCAGAGGAGAAGCGCGAAGATATATTTCAAGATTTTACGCAGTTTGCTGCTCATGTATTTGTGGATCCATTCAGTTTAGACGAGGTTCCGAGATCCTTAGAGGGGCGAACGAAAGGAAGGTTTGGCCCCTCGAAAGACCTTCTGCTTCACTGCAGTGCGGTACATGATTTGTTTTTCCGAAGTTTTGTGACGTCAACGTTTTCAAGTTTGCAACACGGTCAGCAGGTGAGCATGCTAGATGTCCATTCAGCAGTTGAAGCCTGCGAAGAGAACTTCCTTGAAGTAGACATCACAGAGTTTATCCATACTCTTTGTGGACACTATATCAAGAGCAACAAGTCCAAGGAGGCTTTTTTTGAGACAACAATCAATGAGGATCTTCTGTCTGTCCCAATTTGGTTACCGTCAGAATCATCCGAAAAAAGAGTGAGGGATCTCAAGGAATCTCTGGTTGGACAGTGTGAATCTGTAGATGGTCTGCATAAGTCGATCACTGCAAAGTTTTTTTCAATAATGGGAAGATACTTCAAAGCAGTTCCTCCAAGCCGAGAATACTTCTTCTACTGTCCACAGCAGTCTGAGGGCCCGAGAAAGGTACAATGTGACCACTTTCCCCCTTGCACATTTGTAACAAGACGAATAACGTGTTTCCCTCTTTTTTTTCAACCTTTCAGTCTGCTCTTGAGTCGTTCTCCGACTTCGAAGCAGACCAAGCTGCCGAGGACGATGCTATGGACAGAGACAGCGACGTGGACTCGGATGCCTCTGATGATGCTGACATCTTTTTGGACGATGGAACAGTTCAACAGGATGAGATACAGGATATGTCTGACTCTGAAAGTCAAGCGAGTGATATCGAATTTGAGGGAGATGCTGATGTTGGACAGGAGGTGAAGTCACCGCTCTTCCTACAGCTGACATGTTCACTGAAAGATACGAGAAGTCATGGACAGCCAATGACGCCTGTTTCTATTGACACATTACCTGTGTGTCTCGGTAGGAAGCCACTTTGCACTACTAACTTTAATGAGAATTTGCGCATGAAAGACTACTGGAAGATGAGAAATACATTGCAGCACCATGTCATCGAAATTTTAAACGAGCAGTTATCTTACGATAACTCTCTTTGGAGGAGTTGGTGGGAAAAGGGGGAGGGGGGGGGGCGTGGGATAACTTTCTTTGGTAACGGGCACCTCATTGCAGTGCCTCGTATTTTTTATTTGAGTGAATTGGTGCAAACTATTTATAAAAAGTTGAAGTTCTTCCGGGAGCTCGCCTCGTAATCCTTTTTATTCTAATTTAGATTCATCAAGTGAGTTGATGATGTAAATTGGCCACCGTAAAGAGTTTCTAAATCTGACGTTTTGTCGCTCTGACAAAGGGCTAACGCTCGAAACGTCAGTTTTAGAGCCTCTTTCCGGTGATCAATTTATGCCATCAGTTAACATTATCAAACGAAATAATCTTATAACGCTCCCCAGCTTCGTAGAAACATACCCCTTTCTACGTTTATCATTTAAAATGTTTCTCTCTCGGTAGGAGAAATTATCCGCAAGTTTGAAGATGATGATGAATGTCTGGATCCCTTCAGTCCATCCGTACGCATCACTCTCGATCTTATCTGTCTGACCCTACCAGCTGAACATGATTACTCTGTTCTTAAGTCTTCGGCGCGTCGTAGCTTTGCACGCTCTAATTCCTTCTCCAGTACCAGTTCGCCCATTTCTGCTTCTCCTTCGGATAAAAGATCAGGACTTTTTGACTTCAGACGGCAAGATTCTAAAGCCACTTCTCATGATATGGAGAGGTGAGGACGAAGCCTTGTTTGAATTGGCAGGATATCAACAAAGTTTAATTAAAGCCATGTTTACGCAGACGGCTACGTTCTCCGCTGACTTTGCTTACTTTACTCCCAGTGCGTGATAGCAATTGCAAATATTTTTTTTTTAGTAACCAAATTGCTGTATTGGTTGCTAAAGATGCATTTGGTCAGTGAGCTCATAATCATAAATGAACTTTTAGTCATTTGTCCCACGATGTGGGGTGTCCATCAGTTGTAGGGACCAGTTGTCGATTTTAGACTGTAACCTTTCAACTGCCCTGTGTCTAATTTCTATCTTGTCGGGATGATATACAGTATATGGCTTGAATCTACAATTTAAAATGACTCTTCATGGTGAGACACAATAAAACGTTCACTTTTCATACTTTATTCAATGATTCATAATGTCTCATGGGAACTGGAAGAATAGAGTGATTTAAAAATAACCTCAGAGTTTACCTTAGGAATAAGGTTAATGTGAGGATCAGTCTCCTAACTTATCGTCTCTTGAGTTGTATTATATAAATAGAATTATTCCTTTTTTTCAGAATTGAAAGCTTGGATCCTCTTCATGGTCTCATAAATTCTCAGCGTCAGGCAGTGAACAACACATGTGAGGCCATTCGTTGGCTTTTGCAGGATGAAATAGTCTCAGAACTCCGCCATATTGGACCAGTCGATAACTCGATGCTGGAACAGGTCGAGCAACATGTTCAGCAATCTGAAGACCATCCCTCCTGCATTTCCCGCCGTGTTCACCTGCAATTTGTCTATGGGGCTGAACAAAGCTTAGAAGTCTTCGTAAAAGAATTTGAGAGAATCAGCTTGCCAGAATACGTCCTGAAAAACGTGGACAAATACTACTACTTGACAAGCTTTTCGGAGAAACAGATTGCAGCTTTGTCGCCGTTGACTCAAGGAGAGAATGGAGGTTATTTGGATAAACAGCAGGAAGAAGAGGCGACAACACCAAATCCTGACACGGATGGTGAAAATTACGACCAAAAATCTTTACCACGTCTTGAGGTCCAAGCCACTCCTGAATCCCATACTTCAGCTAATGATCGTCTGTCAACGGTTTACATTGAAAAACAGGCAACAACCACTCAGCATGAAGAAAGCACGGAAGATAATCTCAGGGAGAACGGAATGATTACCCCTCCCTCCAGACCACCGCATCTTGGCCAGCTAGGCAAGCAGCGCTCCGAAGAAGAGGAAGAACCAGGAAACACTGCTGCATCTACCCCACTCAGGAATGATGCTTCATTTGCTTCTTCCGCTGGTAGCACGCCTATAGGGAAGCTGATCATACCAGGTGAAGATGTTGGTGCGGCTGACTCAAGTAACGCAGAGGCAGAAGAGGACGAGAGCTGCCCGCCCGGTCCTTGTACGCCACGCCATGATGAACTGAGTGTTTCATCATCGGAATCGTGCTTGAAATTCTGGCTTGTCATGAAAATACTGGACAGTGAAGTGAATATCGTCTTTCATCAAAGGTGAGAGGTCGTCATTTTCTATGTGTTCGCCTTTTTACGCCTAAATTGTTCTACGATACAATAAAGGGAAAGCGCGCCGCTGCACTTACAATAGTTTCGAATTACCCTGCATTGGTGGATTCCTAAAATGCAGATGGATGCCCACACAATATCACAACGCATAAGCTAACCAACAACAGGTTTTGCAACACTAACCTATTTTATTGCGAAAAACAGAGTCAGTGGGTTTGTTATTGTGACACAGCTTTAAAGCGAAATTTTTTTTTGCCTTTATTTTGCTAAAATGAAGTCATTATTTTTCATTTTGGTCCGCCACATCGCAAACATAAGAACAATTTTGGGTGTGAGCCATTGTTGTTAGCCAACACAATGTGATGGGTCTCAAATTTTCAAACACAGGGAGTCACATGATCCGAAGTCTTTTTGTGCAACGAGAGCCAATGGTCTGGTTGAGATGGTCATAAATGCTTTACATGAAAAATGCCGCATCGTCAATCAGGTGGGAAAAAGTTACGTTAAAGGGTACTTTAAAATGATGAATTTAATCAGAATGGCTAACGATCGAAAAGTCATCTTTGAAACTCTTTACGGTGGCTAATTTAGGTTATCAACGTAGTTGATCATACCAAATTACACTTCTGACGATTGGTTGATCAGTAGTTATTGGCGAACATTGTGACATTTGAATGTAATAACTGTGGAACACCACACTTGTTTTTGGTAAAATAGTTCCTCATCAGGGGCCCCTTCAATTGATACATAAAGCTTCCAAAAATTTATTTTGAAGACGTTCAGTTCCATGTAGCTCCAAAAAGCGCCTTCGTAAAAATATTATTTCAAATAGGCCCATCATGGGTTTCATTGAAAGCCGGTGTACCGCTGCTTACAAAACCTCTTGCCAGGAGGCTCTCGTAGTTTGGTTTCCCCTCACAGCCTCCCTACACCATGGGCGGCCAGTTCTACAAAAAAAAGTTTTTGAAAACCCTTGGGCCACGATGAATCAGAAATGCTCACTTATTTCGAAACGCAACGTCAACAGAATGGAAATTTTCGTTCCCATCACCGACTTTTATAAAGAGTCATGCAACTTTTGGGTTTTGAAAAGAGATGCACAATATTGTCACAATATTGTGAAAGATGTGAATCTTCAGAGTCTTCAAGAGTCAGATCAGATCCTCTTCTAAATGAGATACAGAGAATTCGTTAGCGTGCTAACCCGTATGCACTGTTTACGGTTGATGTATGTTTGTGTTCATGCTAAAAAAATCCTACAGAGCAGAGAAACAAGCGCTGACTTAACTAATGAACATGCATTCCCTTCATCCATAGCGAATGTTGCTACATGAACTATTTGAGACCAAGCTGTGCAATTCAATGTTATTCCCTGAGTCAGACGAGGACATTTGGAAACATGAAGATATGCAAATCTCAGTTTCCCCCCTAGGTGTTCACATGACCAAAGGAGACAGTAAAGGTAAGAAAAGGCCAAAATTTGCAAGACATTTCTGCGGCGATCACTTTATATCTGAATTTAGATGAAGGTCTCAGTTACGAATATTACATTTGCCTCAAGGTCATCCAAAGGACTGCAGCTTAGACACGTTCAACCCTTTACACCCTAGCATAAGAATCCTTGTTCTCCTTTTCATCCTCAATACATTTCCCTGGATACTGACAAGGAGAATTCCTTTAACAATCAAAACTTTTTAGGTTGGCGATCATTTCTTTTATTCTCATAATCTTAACGAATGACTAGGGATATTATTGTAGGGAGAAATGAGTTGCTGATCGCTCTTAGAGTTGAAAGGGGTAAAAAATTTACTGATGTGGCATTAAGTGAGTGAAACCTAGACAACTTTGTGCGTAGGTTATAAGAACCCTTGAGGTAGAAATGCTACGTAAACAACAACCACTTTGCTCGCACCCTTCTACCTGGCTTCCTTGATGCTGAAGCCTGAAGTTTTTCAGGCATGCTTCAATTTGTTGTTCTTTCTCTTCAACTTCTGTCAACCTTAGAAGACCAATTCGCCATCTGTTATCACATTCACAGTTCAAAGTATGTTTTATCTCATACACATTAGTTGCAATTATATTTTTTCGAAAGGGAGAAAAGAATTCGATAACCTTTGCTCCGCCGTTAGCACTTGACTTTGTAATATATTCGTGGGATTGGAAGGTTATAAGGAGGCGAATTCACAGTAGAGTATCACATTACAAAGAATGCTGATCTATTTCTCTAGGTCGTGTCTCCAGTAAGTTTGTTCCAGTCCAGTTTCTTTTCCAACCTGGACACTTTGGCTGCGACAGTAAGTGGTACACCCATTTACCTGTGCATCAGCGACTTTTGGAAACCTCGGGTCGAACAGGGGTATCCCGTGGGCTGAAGGTCATTAAGAGTGCATTGGAAACGTTTGACGTGAGGAATAGGAAAGACATGTTTGTGTACAAAGATAGCGCTGGTTCTATCTTCTACTTCAGGTAATGTAAATTGTTTTGTCTCCCTTTTGAAGTATGAATCAAACTTTTCGAGTAAAGTTTTGTTTATTTGAATTCTCTTCCATGATGAAAAAAACTGGTGTCCTAACTTGACAAACTATGATTATAAATTACCCAGAAACCAACTTCAATGTAATCGCAACAATAAATCTGAACAAACGAAAGTACCAGCAACAGCCAATTAGAACGTAAAGAAAACAACAGCCGACTTGAAGCATTGAAAACACAAATGACCGAGTCGCAATTGTTGTTGTTTTTGCAATTTATTGGTTGCGAGGGTAACGCAATTTTTTATCCACTAGTCACAGTACAGTAAATGAAGACCAAGTTAATCTTGAATTACTCTGATAAAAATTTCTTTTGGTATTTAGTCGTGTAATCCTTATAAGGGCATTTGTGAGTGACTATTGTTTAGTAAAACGTAGCAAAAATATCTTCAGAGATACGCTAGTCAATTAGCCATTTTTCTGCTTAAGTTGTTGAAATAGAGATGTCACATCTAATAAAACTCCTTTAAAGGAAAACACTCACTCAATTAACATCTCATAAAGGACTGACATTCGGGAACGAAATAACTCACAGTGATGTTCCCATTGGCTCATGTCATTCTCTCTTTTACGTTTCAGGTTGTTTGAGTCTCTATGTTCGTCAAATCAATTTCGTTCTGACCTTTGTAGTTCAGGAGATGATGATGACGATTATCTTTCTATGGTATCGGTGACATCACTGGCTGGTTCAAGAACGTCATCACAGTTGTCCCTGTTGTCATTCGTATACAGAGGGCCAGGAGATGTAGATGAAGACGTCGCTGTAAGTTGTAACAGGGCGGCATTGAACTATTATTGAGGAGAACCCGGCTGGCTTGGGATGTAACATTGCCTCTTCCATCCTTGATTGAGACCACCGCATAGACACTCTCCGGGGGAAGGGAGCGGGGTACTTCCTTGTAATAGGCTAATAGGGATGTGCCGCCGGATGGGTCGCATTCAATTGACTATAATGGGGTTGCATTTTCAATAGTGTTTCTAGGATGGGGTCGCACATTTCGGGATTTTAAAGTTAAGTCAATTGCGGGAGTTAGGGTTGCGATCGACGGCGTCTATAATTGGTCGCTGAAAAGATTATTATGGAACAGGGGATCTGAGAGGCCAGCGGCACATACTTCCCACGGAAGTTTTACCTACGAAGATTGTCATTTAACCATTTGAATAAAAGCTATTGACTAGAGCCTTCAGCTTGTGTGTTTACTAAGTTGTATTTTCATCGTTTTTAACAGGAAGCGAAGTCAAAGAAGCTTCCAACGGCCCAAGAGCAAGACACAACCAGTATTCATTCAGCTCAGCCCATCATAGACAAAAGCATTGCACTTCATGTATACGGCGTGGACGATCCAGGTCCGGAGATCACTGTAGAACTTGTTGACCTTTTGCAGAACAGAATTAATGATGCTATGCTCGAGGTTTTGTCAGTTCTACTTGCCAGAAATCCAAACTGTAAACTGACTTATGCTGATGTCCGGGTAAGCTTTGGTAGGAAAGAAAAGTTTAATACGATAAAGATAGACCGAATAAAAATGGTAAAGGAGGCAGGTGATTCACGTGGATTACAAACTGACAAACATCAAAAGTTCAATCTGATTGCTGTAAGGCACATAATCCATTATCCGTTTGTCACTGGGCTCCTTCAAGAATTAGGAAATGCATGGGATAGTATCTTTAGGGAGCTAGCAGTACTCCTAGTCACTTCATAGCCAAAAGCTGGGACAAGCTCCGACAACATGGCTCACTTGTTTCAAGTACACCAACACTATGTATCGTTATCATTAACTCTTTACACCCTATCAACAATATGCATAATCTCCACACTGTTCTTCATACATTTCCTAAGGTGCTGACAAAGAGAATTTGTCAGCCAATCAAAAGGTTTCTTCCCCGTTGACCATTACATTTATTCTCATGATCTTAATTTGTGATACAGGAGTGATTTTGTATGGAGAAAGTAGATGACAATCACTCTTAAGATTTAAAGGGTTAAATAAAAAAAATGGAGGTAAAGTAAAACTCATCTAAAAGGATGGAACCTAGAGTTTACACCCTTTTTCAGCTTTCATTACTTTGAGTGTAATTATGCACGTTGCCACGAGCTTTGTTCGAAACATTCAGTTGCGGAGGCTCCTCTAACCTTCCACTTATTTAATTTCTACAGTTTATACAGCCTCAAAATAAACCACCAAAAACAACCCTCACTTTCCTAATCCCAAAAATGGACGTCAATTTCCTCTGTCCGTTGGTATTCTATTTGCGACAAAACCTTTTGCAGCTCCTACACTTTCCAAGATACATGGACTCGGATCCTAGCCATCATTTCAAGGCCCTAAGCGGAAGTAAGCTGGACGCTACTGGAAGTGCTAGTGGCGAAAGCCGTAAATTGGAGCCAGAGATTTACTTGTACAACAGGCCGCATTCATCTGGAGGAAAAGGTTTGAGATAAAAACACGTGGATATTGTCATATCAGTAGCTAGGTTGATATGTGTTAGTTCAATTAATTAAATGTTATGTCGATTTGCACTGCTGATTATTTGCTTGCTGTTTTTTATATTTTCAGGTGTGGCCTGTATATCTGTGTCCGTTCTCAACTGGCGTGGTGGATATATTTACATTCCATGTGGAAAGAGAGTTTGTGTGTATGCTGGGGAGATCGACTTATTCGAATACTTAACTGAGGTGTCCTTATGTCCAGACGAGCTTCACCTAGGTAATTATTAAAGGCAGTTTTCACTTGAGTTTCAAAAGTACTTAATTTAGTTTGGTTTATTTCGTGCCCAAGCCTATTTTTACTTGAAGTTCTTATTGGTTAATTATAGGGTCAACCTTCACTTCGATTGGTTGTTATGATTAGCTTGGTTTCACTTTTTCAAAACATAGAAACGTTCGTTGTTTATTTATTTATTTATTCATATATTTGTGTGTGTGTATTCCAATGATGTCCTTGTTGAACCCAAGGATTGTTAACGTTTCGATCAAAAGGAAAACGTCTTTTATTTTAGTATTTTGAGTTTATTGGAAATTGATATGATCAGGTTTTTCTGTTCCTTTTCAGCCGATGATGATATCAAGGTGCAATTTGCAATTTGGGAACGTGGTGATATCGGCCTTGACCAGCTCTCTGAACAGCTGAAGCTCACTTTAAGGCATGCTCTTTGCGACCTGCTAACAGAGTACTACCTTTTGGCTGCGCCTTTATCCAAAGTGCCAAAGTTGTACCGGAATTCGTCGAATACACGTCTTCGGTCTTCCTCGGCGCCTACCTCCCCCTTACCCATACCACCCAAGGTGCCTACTCATTTAGAGTCCCCTCCTGAGAAACCTGCCACGCCTTCCAAACGGCAACTGGATTTTGGCAGCCAGTCCAGCTTTCGAAACAAGAGGCCCTCAGTTTCGGGTCATCGCCAAACTCCATCTGATGGGAGCACTCCGTCTTCTGGTTCCACAGGGGCAACAAGGAGGTCCCCGCAGAATCCGTTTCTCTCCCAGCGGCAGAGTGTTTCTTCTTCTAATGCTGTTTCAAGGCAGAGCACAGTAGAGGATGAGGTTTTCCAGTCGAACTCAACCTCACCTGCTGCAGACGTTATAGAAGTATCAGCCAAGGAAAACAAGGCAAATAGCCATGGCGTTACCGAGTCAACAGATGATTTACCTGCAGAAGGTAGGGTATTACATTGCTTGAGGTTAATGGCGAGTATTACTTTGGGTTATCGCCGGCTCGTTGCGGTTTTAACCTATTCTGATCAGCCGTTGTGATTACTTTGGGTTGTATGACAGACACCTTTCAAATTAACTCTGTAGGTTCAGTGTATTCAGTAGGCTCGTTTTGCGCTTGCAGAGGTTGCAGGAAGAGGTCAAGCAACATTGGAGGGCAAGGACAAACTAGGGATGAAAAACGCGCCGGAAAAATCAGACAACTCGTCTGATATAGAACCAACATTTGAAAGTTTCACCGCAGCTGAAATCCAAGAGTCTCAAGAATTTACTTCGCAACCCGGTACCCCAGTCACAGAAAATGTAGCGTTTCTCTCAAAAAAGGAGGAGCAGCTCTCTGAGAAACTTAATAAACCATCAAGCCTTTCCTCTGCGAGTTCCATCAGTGGCTCCAAGAGCTTAAACTTCAGCGGGATGGAGTCATCAAGTGTAGGAGGACAATTGAGTGATGTCCAAGGCACCTGGCAGGATGTTGAGGCCGTGAGAAGGAAAGAAAGAGAAAAGAAGAAAAGGCGAATTCAGTATGAGAATGGAGAACGCGGTGAACTTCATCCAAGGTTGTTAAACTGTCTTTAATTTCTTTTCATATTTAACCCCGTTAACTTTCAGGATGTACGAATTCATTCTCCCCTCTTTTTGTCATATACTGACTTGTAGAAATTGGTGCCATCTTAAAATAACCTCCCCGTTTCTCATCATCTGTTTAAAGTTTATTAATAATACAAATTTGAGGAGAGGTTATATGTTTTTCTCGTCTACGAGGCCTTATTGGTCTTTTTTTTTTTATCTTTTTAGTCTCCAGGGCCTTTGTCAAGACATGTTCTTTTTCTTTCGTGAGCTTGAAGTCCCATCAGTGTACTGTATTGAAGGAAAATTGCTGAACAACTTTGCTTCCGACGCCTTTCTAGCTGAACTGTGCAACTTAATATCGTCTGTGTGTCCTGATATGAAACCTAGAGTCTACCGTGAAGCTCCTGTGTAAGTATGATCATACTCGTGTTCAATATTTAACTGTGCACATTATCCACAGTACATACAGCTATTCACAATAGCCACAGTAAAGACAGCGATCTAAACTGTCTCTAATAGATACAACTATATACAAAAACTACAGCAGAAACATTATTTAAGGTAAATATAGCGGTCAACGCCATGTACAGAAAATACATATACCTAAACTGTCCACAACAGATTAATAAAGGGGTGAGTTTCTAAGGAAACTATGGTGCTGCGTCGGTGGGAAAGTAGAACAAGATAATTTGGTGTTATCAACTGAGTTGATAATGGAAATTGGCCACCTTAAAGAGTTTCTAAACGTTTTGAGCGTTAGGGCTAAGTCAGAGCGAAACGTTGGGCTAACGCTCAAAATTTCAGCTTTAGTAACTCATTACGGTGACCAATTTACGTTATTAACCCAGGTGATTTTATATTTTTTTATTTTTACTTTAAAAAATATTGGTTTTCGTTGCCCAATAGAGATTCTGCTGATGGCAACGAAGCCGATCATTGTCAAGAATTTCGCTACCTGCACTATTATCCAGCCAGACAGCCTTTGAAGGTGAGTTATTTATTGAATTCTGAAATTGTTATAGAATATCTACTGTAATGTATGGGTGGATACTGGCGTAGATCTGCACTTTGCCGACTGATTCTGTCAGTCTCCCCGTTCTTCAGTCAGTCAGTCATTCAGTCGGACGGTCGATCATTTAGTTTTTCAGTTTGTCAGTTTGTCAGTTAATAAGTCAGTTTGTCAGTCATTCCGTCAGTCACTTTGTTTGTTAGTCGGTCAATCAGTCATTCGGTCTGTCAGTTAAACAGTCAGTCAGTCAGTCTGTCTGCCTGTACGTCAGTCACTTAGTCAGTTAGACAGTCAGCATTTATTGCAGTATTTCTCAAAGCCAGTAGATCAGTCCTTTACATGAAATATACTCTCTACGTTTATGCGGTGCTTCTAGGTGCAAGACATGGAAGAGTCCACCACAGACAAATCAGGAAAGCCGTTCACAACTCTTCCAAATTCGTCACAGGTCTTTGTCGTCGTTGGTCGAAATGTGGACCAATGGCGAGCTAGTCTGGGACTTGAAGAAGGTGAGGACGTATGGCCGCTTTTGTGGGACGGCAGAAACAGAAAAAAAGAAAAAGAGAAGAACAAATCAAAACAAAAAAGTTTAAAGTTCCACATTTTAAGACGCTGCAAAACAAGTTAAATACAAAGCAGTATCAGCTAAAAATTTAAAAGAGGTTGATTAGCAACAAGTGTGTTTGATTAAGTTGGAGACTTTTAACCATTTATCTCTGATACTGTTACTTTCAGATTTATCTCAAGATGACGCCTTGGGCCGTCCGCGAAGTACGTAGTTTCATCAAGATATCGTACCATTTCAAAATCTTTTAATTGCCCTCTTTTTACGTCTGCATGACTGTCTGTTTGTCTGTCATTCTCGATACTCAATTTATGTTCCTGTCTGTTACTACGATTAGTTTGCCTTCCTATTTGCTTGTTGTGTGGACTGTTTATCCACCTGTATCTCTCGGAATGTATATATATATTTTTATTTTTTCTTTCAGTTCGCACAGGTCTTCAGCGTTTTAAGCCACTGGACCCAAATGCACTCGTTCCCGGCCGAAATCTCGCTGAAAGCGTATCTCTTTCTAGCTTGTTTTTGGGTGGGGTCCCTCGACAGAAATTCCTATTGGTAACGGTCAAGGATAAAGAGGTGCGAAAAATGATAGGATAATTAAGTATTATCAAGTGAGTCGATAAGGCCACTGTAAAGTTATCGTTTCGAGTCTTAGCCCTTCGTCAGAGCGAATAGAGGACTTGTGGGTTGTGTCTGTGGTTATATGCAGAAAATAGAGCTACGGCAATGCTGGAGACATGGTGACGAGACAACAAGGGTAAATTATGAAATTAAGAGATCCTCGCAGCTAAGAACACTACTGAAAAAAATTCAGGCCCGTACGGGATTTGAACGCATGACCTCTGCGACACCGATGCAGCACTGTATCATGGGTTCAAATCCCGTACGGGCCTGAATTTTTTTTTTCCAGTTCCTATTTTCAACTACTCGTTTCAGTAGTGTTCTTAGCTGCGAGGATCTCTTAATTTCATCTCTTCACCGCAGTGCAAATATATGAATTTCATATATCTAAAATCATTAAGGGTAAATTAGTTGAATAAAAAGCGCTCGTTGATACCGTGGGGATTTGAAAGAGTTTTGCGGCTTTCCGAACTGCCTTGATGTAGGGAAAGGCCGCAAACTGCCATATGCTGCTTTGAATGATTAGGGAGATTAAGGTGTCTGGCGACTGGTTTGGATGCGTCCTTGTCATTTAAAATGGTAGTAAAATGATAGCTAGGCCGAATAGAATGGTCAATTTTATGCGGACAGAAACGAGGGAAGCGTTGGACATGAGTTGGTAATCGTGCAATTTTGTTTGCAAAGAAACACTCATTGATTGTATTTTTACACTGTTTAACTTTGATATAGAATGGAGTCACTTCGTTTAGTCCTGAGCTGTCTTTGATCGTAACTTATAAGAGGTGGTGGTTCGAAAGTGCGTATAAGCGCAAATCTTCGTGAAGTTTAGTGGTTGCAAAAATATAAACAGCACCTCACCTTAATAAACAACTTACGCTTCTTTGTTCTCTTAAAAGGTGACAGCCTATACGTATAACTGGGCTTCAGATATAAATACTACCTTCGACAAACAACTGCACCGGCTGATAAACTGGAGTAATGTTCGTTGCCACCTTACCTATTGTCTTCTTAGTCAAAAAATGGGACTTTACCATCACACATTATTTACAGACATCAACAAGGGCAAGGAATCGAAGGTAGATCAAAGCTTCCATGAGTCTTCCATTGAGACATTTGCTATTTTTTCGGCGTCTCACGTCCACCCATCAAAACTAAGGAATTGTCATAAGCTATTGTTAGTTTTTCATGATACAACATAATCGAATTGTATTTGAGATGCAAAATTTTGCAGCATTCAGAACGTTGACTGAATTTGTGAAGATGTCTTTGGTAGTAACTAACATGTTGGTGACTGAGTAAGCAAAATAACCCGATTTACTCAGTGCTTTGTTTATCGCAAGTTCACAAGATAAAGTATAGAGGGGGTAAGTTTCTAAAGAAACTGCTGTGCTGCGTCGGTGGGAGAGTATAACAGGGTTATTTAGTGTTATCAACTGAGTCGATAACGTAAATTGGCCACCGTGAAGAGTTTTAAAGCTGACGTTTCGAGCGTTAGTCCTTCTTCAGACAAAGTATTTCGAAGTCTTTGTCTTTTTTTGCCTCTAATATTGGTCTGCGATTTTGAATGAACTGAATGTATGTCAATTTTCATTTATCCGAAGTCTTGCATAGCAAGTTTTTTGGTTTTGTTTGTTTGTTTTTTCCCTGACTTCTAAATGAAAAAAGTATGCTTTTTTTAATTTTCAGGACATGAATCCTTTCTGTTTATCAGCCAATGATAAGGACATGTCACTCCTGATAAGTCATCCAGGGCCACCTGCGCCTGATGTAAGTAGATAATAGTCGTTTTTTATGAAATATTCTACGACCTAACAATAGAACTGATTCCTGATTCATGCAAATATGTGCTTGTCAAACAAAACTATGTAATATCCCAATATCGTTGAGGGAGATAGACTAAGCTTTCAAGAGCCAGGGCGGTCTTCATCATTTGCAGCTAGAGAAATTGGCCTACTCCGAAGAGAATTTTTATTGTTCTGCTCTGAAACAATGTTTGTCGTTGTGTCAGTATCTAAGCAACTACGCACCCACCCCTCCCCTAACCCCAAAACAGTCAACTGATTATAAGTTCCACTGATTTGTTGTTGTTTGATGTTATCGATACTTCAAACTTTTATTTTACCCTTTTTGAGGTTTCGTAATGTGTAACAACGTGTTCGAAAGAAAGCTTAAATTTCTTTGTTCAAATCAGAAGTGTTTGATAGGCATACTGATTTTTTTCAGCGTGCTGTGCCGAGATCAATGCCGCCGTCTCCGAGTATTCTGGTCTTTGATAAAGTTCTACGTGATGTCACGCCTCCCAGACCTCTTTACCGCACCCCTTACTCCCACAACCGAGATCTTGTGAAAAGGCATGGGTACCAGTTTCAGGTGAGACTGAGTCGCGGCTTCGTTATTCTTTATTCTTCGTTATTTATGATTAATCCTCTCGACTTCGTCACGAGGATTAATCAACGCTATTTACTTGGCCTTCGGCGAATAATTGTTCCCCATCTTTAGTGGAAGACATTTCTTTAAGCCTGGATCAGGAGTCTCCTTCTCTTTCACATCATTTTCGCTTGAATGTTTCCCGTGTGTATTTTTGGAAGGTCCACTCATCATATAGCACGACACTAAATAACACCACGATATGATCTATATGGGAAGGAATCGTGACTTCTTTTCTTCTTTCTTTTGTTTTCCAGGAGATTCGGTCAGTCCAGATCAAAAGTAAGCAATAATCACTTCAACGTGTTTTAATGTCATTACTTCATGCGGCCTCCCGTAGCGACCTCAGTGCTTATTTTCTTCACTCCTGCTTTGATAAAATTGGTTTGACTCTTTCCTTGTTCTCTTATTGTTGATTGCAGAGGCGATTTTGGAGAAGAATTTAGACGAGCTGTATGTCATGTGGCAGCGTAGGCCTCCTCATGTTCAGATCAGTGTAAGTTGGTAGAAGTTACTTAGCTGCCCAAAAATTAACGCCCAATCTCTTAATAAACAAGGGATGACTGGGGAATTTCCAGGAATAAACACTACCCCTCGAAACTCCTGCCCAGCAGCCAAGAACAAATTCAGTGGTTATTGACGTATCTGTAGGTCACACCGTTTAGATTATGAGGATCAATGTAAGTATCTTAGCAACCGCGCACCTACTCCTCTCCTAACCCAATATTAACCCTAACTTTTATGACTGTCGTTAGTGTAGGGAAGGGGTAGGTGCGTAGTTGTTCAGATACTGACATTAATCCGTTTATGACATGACTTACAAACTTTCACATCTTTCTGTTGTTTTCTCCAAGTGAATGTTTCCTTTTTTTCTCGTTGATGACTTTGCGTTCTGTACCAGATTTTTTATGTATTATTCTGGAACTGTTTCACAGGAGGATAAAATCGAAACACTCAAGCGCTCTTCCAGGTTAATCCACTATTGTGCAGCTCCTCTCTTGTTCCACCCAGACTGGAGAAAGCTGCGTTCTTCTTACGCCCCTGAGAATAGCACCGTGACCCCAGAGGAAACATCCAGCGAAGATAAAAAACAGGAAACTAAGGAAAGAAAAACAAGTAAAGCACAGAAAACGATTGACGGTGAGTGCCAAAGGATTGTAATACGAATCTGTGAATCTAGTTATTGAGTAAGTTTCTTATTTTTTGGAGTAACCCCCCCCCCCCCCACCCTACAAAAGGTAAGCAAACAAGACTGACTTGCGTTGCAACAGAAAATTGTCCATTTAGGCTTAGCTACCTCGTTCCCTCATCAGCTCTTCGTTAGATCTCACTAGTTCTCCTATAGTTTGCTGGTACCCATATCTACTCCAAGGGGCGGGTGGGGGTGAAGATCTTTTTGAGAGTACCTTCCCATGTTTGTTCTCTAACACATCGTTAGGCATCACTGAGAGATACTGAGACTGCCTAGTATAAGAGAAATCGTCAGATTTGTTAGAACTGTGATGTCTCCTAATATGAAATTATGGAAATTTTGCTTTGTAGAAACAAAGAAGGAAGAAACAGCGGAAGCTGAAAAGAAACCACGCACTGAAGAAGCCTGGCACAAAGAGTTACGGTCTGCTTATTTGCAGCAATACGTGCAGTACATGCAGTCTCTGCAATTTATTGTGGTGCAAAGCAGGCCGCAATCACCAAAGCAGTCCAGGAGGTAACACAGAGATGCACAAATCTTAACTCACAAACCAGTACTGTCTCATGCAAAACTGCAACAGGAAATATTTTTCTTTGAATGGATTCGCTATAGATTTTCATCCACAGACCTTAAAAATGTACCTTTTTTATGCAACTTAATAAACAGTACCACATGACCTTTCGCTTACACTGGATTGGTCGCACCCCTTGGGGTCCTCCACAAACTTAAACGTAGCACCACCTTGTAGAATGTTGTGAACGACAGAACTGTTCCATAACGTTCTTTGGAAGAGCCATACTAAGTAACTTCATACACTGAGTTGGCACCAAGAATATCAACAGAGTTTTATCTATTTTGCCTCATAACATGAAAAAAATGACAGAGATTACAGTTATTTACATAATTCACAATAAAAGTTCAATAATGTTGGGAATTTAGAGGGATGTGGGGAGAAAGCCCAATATAGGCTGGCATTTTTTTTCGATATTAATACGAAACATCACGGTTCCATTTAATACCACATGAACATACCGCTAACGAATGTTTACCAACGGATGTGAAGAGCATAAATCTTCACCTTTCAGGCATCTTGGTCGCGGAGCTGTTAACACTAAACCGAAAAGAGAAAGTAGCCCAGCCGACGTTAAGAAGCAATCCTCAACTAAAGACAGGAAAGACAGTTCACCAAAAACTCTGCAGCGTTACCTACAGAAAACTTCTCCTGGAGGAATAATGCTGATGGAATTAGTGTTTCAGGTTGGTTTGCATACAGGGTAAATTTACAATCTGTGTGGAAGACTGGCTGCTGTAGTTCATCTTGATATTGTAGTAGGAGGTTACAAGGAGTATTGTTACATCTCCTGAATGGGATGCTTATCTATCACAGGTTACCCTTGGAATAACCCCCTGTCGGTGCTTATCTTGCATTTCATAACATGAAGAAACAAGGGGAATTGTTGCAACTTCCAGATGGGATGTTACTCCATCAGGGGGAAAAACCCTGAGATAACCCTGGTCGTTACTTATCTGGTATTTTATATCTTGAAAAGACAAGGATTATTGTTGCAACTTCCGATTGGGATGTTACTCCATCAGAGGAAAAAACCCCATGGAATAACCCCGGTCGTTACTTATCTTGCATTTTATACCTTGAAAATAATAGGATTATTATTGCAACTTCCGGATGGGATGTTTACACCATTGGGGAATAATCCCTTGGATAACCCGTATCGTTGCTTATCTTGCATTTCATATCTTGAAAAGACTAGGAGTATTGTTACATCTCTTGCATTGGATGCTACTGTATCCTGCGGGTAAATCCTTGGGATAACCCCTGTGGTTGTTACCCCAAATTTTATAAGGTGAAGTGACTAAGAGTATTGTTATTCTTCCTTGATGGGATTTGACTCCATTGCTACACTAAACATGGCAAAATCTAATCAAAACTGAAGGTATTGTATCAGAGGGAAGCCATGCATTTCATTCTTAAATTGTTTTGCTTTACTAGGGCTGCTTCTTTATCGTTCGACTTTATGCGTTGGGATGTTCTCAGATTCCTTCAGGAAAATCAGCTTCTGTGCAGGTGAGTACGTTTACGGGACTATTGAGTCGTTATACCCTGAAAATGTTAAGGTCAAATCTGCTGCCTAACTAAGGTCCTCAACGCCGGACCTTACCACAGCTTCTGTACCATGAGGTAAATAGGCATTTTCCCCCCTCCCCTTCACTGTGTGGATAGATGCAATGCTAATCCATCGAAAATTAGAGCAGAACAAAAGTAATTCTTAAAACAATTTAACTTGTTCAACATCTTCATATCGATTTTTTCCCCGCATTTTCTTTTTGCACAGATCTGTCGTATGTTTGTGGAAGACTGCAATCGTTACAGAGAATATATTCATCTTCTCTCGTTCAACTATGACTTTCACTTGTGCAAAGCACAATTTTACTTGAATGGAAGCCAGATAATTTTTAACAAAGGCTATGGAGTCACACACATGCTAAAGGGATTGTTGCAAGAGTACGTGAACAGCCCTGTGTTCGCAAGGAACCGCCTTGGTTATGGTAAAGCATTAATTTCTTTTTCATTTTAACTGGTAACACCCCAAAGCCTTGTTGGTTGGTTTCGTCACGCAACACGTTGCCTGTTGCGTGACAAGACCAATCAAGCAGTTGCTCTTTTGAACCCTTTCACTTTAGAGAGTGACCAGTACTGAAGCGTTTTGCTTCTAGGGGTGACCAATATGTAATTTCTCCTTAGCGATCCATTGCCGAGCAGAGAGGTGATAAGAAAAAAGAGAAATAACAGCCAGAGGGGATATTGCTTGATGTAATTGAATTTATGTTGAAAGCTTGAAAGTAGAGGAGTCGAAGTTAATATGACTTCCAACACTCTGGCAATGAGAATATTAAAAACACGACAATTTAACAAGTGGATAGTGTTTGGATAGAACACCAGTTCTTTAGGATAATACAAAACATAAATTTATCGCAGTTAGAAGTTATCCGAAACTCTTATGAGAGAAGCCTCACCCTCAAGTTTGGCAATAGCGACGAATAGATTCCTTCCTAGAAGAAAGAGTTTGAAGCCATCATGTTTTACTTGAGTGTCGAATTTAAGCTGAAGAAGAAATTGCTGTATATCTAGTGCATGAATTATAAGAGTTTCGAATACAACGTAGCCGAAAGAGAGATCACATTTCACGATTGAATTACGATTGAAGGAAAATTACGTCTCCAGATACGGTTCACATGATCCCACTTAGTAGCAAAATGCGCTCAATCGATTGACAAACTGGATATGTGTCATACTTACAAATCTTTTTTAGGTGAAATTTCAGTGCCGTTGCACCCAGGAATCACACCCCAAATTGTGTTTAACTACCTGGTGAAAAAGGCTTCGTTTTACGAGTTTCACACGCTACCTGAGCAATCAACGAATGCCTCAAGCTCCGAAACCAACCGAGTTCTTACGCACATTCTCCGAGAGTATGGGGATTATGACGTTAGCTTCGTTTTGTCGCTGAAGGAGACGAAAGAAGAAGGCGTGGTCACCATGGAATACATTGTCTTAATGACGAGTCGCAGAGAGCTTTTTCCGAAGTTGACTTTGGATTTAAGACTTTCAAAGAAGTCACCATCGTCAGGTTCGCTTTCAACCATGAGCAGTGCAAATAGAACCGTGGATTTGCCAGAGAACGGAGAGACAGAGCAAGAAATAGGTATTGGCGAGGAAGTGTTAAAAAGGACCATACTATTTTAAAACGATATTGATTAACCTGAGTGAGAAATAGGGCGAGTTTGAACGTGATCTTTGGATGAAAAATGTGTCAAAAAGTGGTGTAGAGCACAATGAGTGGCAAAAGAAGTTGGTACGCCATCCGTCAGAAGGCGGTCGCCAACCTAAAACCAACTCAAAATTTCATGCAGAAATCTTGTAATTTTTCTCTAATAAGTTACTTTAAAAAAAAACTCTTTCCTCCAAAACAATGTTGCAAGAAAGTCTTGAACGTTATCCTAGTATTAGGTGTGCGCGCAACAAACAAAAAACTATTTTAAGTGGCAACACAACTAAAACTCGCGTCTTATCATTTTTTTTCTAGCATCACGTGTACGATTCAATCTACCCATGGGGAGTTCCCAAGGAATCCCAAACCTCCCCTCCCCTGGTGAGTTCCACAGGTCAGCCTCCTCACCCCACTCCCTGTACGCATTGGGTCACGAGGGTGGGTCGCAGATCTTCAACGTACCTTCGTCGCGCTCGGACGAAAAGATTGGTGACCACCACCGGGATGTGCTTCCGCCGTTTGCGCCAATTCCAGAGCATTATGAAGAAGAGTTACCCGAGAATGTTGCCCTGCGCGAATCCAAGCTCCTTAAGGAAGCTTCCCTGCGTGGCCGTGACCATTTGGTGCATATAATCTGTCGGGCCCTGACCCACTGCAACCGAGACTTGTTATGGCATCGTTTGCTGGTTGGAGAGACTGAGGATGAAGAGAGAGACGGAGGGAAAAAGAGCAGGCGTAAGAGCGTCATGCGAAAATCCAGCTCAGAAACGAGTCTTAAACAGAGCTGGGCAAAGACTCTTGACTCGCTTAACCCCGGAGCAGATCAGGTACAGTCCATTCTGTTCATTAAGAATAGTTTCTATGAGTCCCCTTATACAGTTGGTAAGGGTTGGTGGAACAATGTTAGTATCTAATCAACTGCGCACCCACCCCTCCCCTAACCCAACAACAGTCAACTGATAACAAGGTACGGTTAATGTGGGGTTAGTGGAGGCGTAGTAGCGCAGTTTCTTAGATACTAACAATGATTCGGGTTTGTAAAGCGCAACTGGAAAACATTTTACGTAAAAAGTAATTTTGATGGTTATGCGGGACAGTACGTAAGTCTTGGTCGGCCCTACTCCCATTGCAGTGTCAATGCCTCATCAAATAGGCATGTGACGAGAACAAAGGAAGTCGTTAGATGTGTGACGGGTGCGTGACAGCCTTGCGTGACAAATTAGCTAGTCAAAGTGACGTGAATAACAAAGGATTCATTTTTAAGCCCTTGACATATTTTTTTTTTAACATTTCATTGTACAATTCTTTGTTGCAGGTGTCACCGTCGCGCTTGACCTTTGAAGATTTTCAACAACTTCTATCTGTGGTTGGAGTCAAATCTTTGAGAGAAGAAGATCCACAACTTATTTCACTCTTGTCGATGAGAGCAACGTGGTTTCTAAGCCTTTTCCCGTGAGTGAGCGTTATAATTTTTTTACCCGTCTTTGATTTTGGGTGATACGTTATCGAATTAGGAAACGAAACAGTTTGGCGTTTAGGGCACTTAAAAACGTGATGAGTGATCGAGATGAAAAGAAAAAACAAAACAAAACAGAACAAGAAACCGAGAGCAAGAAATTATCAACGAAAAAATATGGCACTGTTTGATGCAAAAAAAAAAAAAATGATTTCGGAGAGATTTGAAGGCAGAGCCATTCTCGCAACAAGGATCACCAGTGAATTCAAAATGGCTGTAATGCTTAGTTCCAATACACTTTTAACCTGCAGTGTAATCGTCTTACTAAGGCAAATTGACTTTACAAGCTCGCGATTGTTTATTTGACCGGCCATGTTTGGACGTGGACGGTGGGGGGAAGGGGCGGGAAAGAAAATACTGAGCGCTCGTTCGCCAAAATTACGCCAGTTCTGGAGGCTAATGCGCTTTGGACTATTCTTGATTATTTAAATTTTTTTCTTTTCTACAGAGTTATTCGTGCAAAATTTCCAGAGGAGCATCGTTTATTCACGGACGAGAACAGTTCAGTTCACTGCCTGGCTGTTTTGAATCGTGATTGTCCGGATATGTTTGTTCTGTTGTATGTGGATAAAAACAATGATAGTGCTGTGAGTATCGTTATATATAGTTTTAGCCAAGCCTAACAGTGGAGCTCGCATTTTTTTCCCCCGCACGTCTCAAGGGCACAACGCCTTGCCCCGGCCAGGACTAGAACTCGGGTTGTCCGACTCGGAGCCCAGTGCACTGACCACTGGACTACTGAACAAAGCCGTGGCGTTGGCGCGCCCGCGGTACACTTGACCACGCATGTTAAAAGTAGCACCTTGTACGGTCGTACGGTCGTACATCCAAATTTTTTCGGCTTGATGGGTTACTACTATTTTGTATAATTATGGGGCTACGCTCTGCGAGCTCCGCTATTAGTGGCTCCCCATGTTGTTATTTGTTTTGCGCACGAGTTTAACACATTTCAACTAACTGTTAGTTAGAATTTTGTTTCTTTGTTCATGGTAATGTTGATGTACGTGGTAATATCTGTTTATGGGAGAAAATCGCATACTACTATGAATGGCAAAAGTCTTGGCACGCCCTTCTAATTTTTGAATCGTTCTATAACTCTCCTCTATCTCTCCCTCCCCCTCCCCATTTCAATGTTGCCTGGTGCCAGTTTCGGTGTTAGAAAATGGTCACCACGAGCCAACATTGATTGGGAGGAAAGAAAGGACCTTCAAGAAAATTATTAGACATGAATAACAAGATTTATGTTTATCGTGTTGATTGGAAGGTTGTCGGCCACTTACTAAGGGAAGGCGTGCTATCTACTTTTGACAATCATTGTAGGTAAGACAACGGGAATTTCAAGGGATGGGTGGGTGTGAAGAGCAGTGTTTGACACCCATGTGGCCGAAACAGTGTATAACTACTTCGGATATCTTACATTTAAACTACGCCGATTAAGCTTTAATTTTCCACGCAGGATATTTATGTTGTCTTCCGCGAGGATTTGTCAGATGATAAGGAGATCTCATACAGATCACGTTTGCTCAGAAAGGAAGTCAGAAGTCACGTGTACGGTGTGATAAACGCTATGTGCTTCCACATGTGGACAGGCTTACTTCCGGTGTGACAATGGTGCAAGTGACCAGACGTTCTGTAACAATTGCGAAGATGACAGCAATGGTGGTGCACATTTTAGCAGTCATGTAATTTTCACTTTATTTTTTGTATGGTTTTGGTCTGTCAATGGATAGTCAACGAAAAGATGCTCGCTTGTAAATTATGTTTAATTTATTTTTTGAAGTCTTCACTTGCGAGTTCATGTCGCTCAAAGAGATGCCTCAATAGCTTTTCAGTCCATCACAATTACGAAAAGGAGGTCTTAATGCGTCTAGTAGATCAGTAATGCTGGTGACTGTATGGAGAGACACAAAAGGGGAGGACGAAAGGTTGTTTTTCTTTTTGTATGTTCTTGGCTCTGGTATGACGTAGAAGAGACCCCTGCCTTCCCCTCCCACCCCGCCCCCCCCCCCCCCCTCTTCTTGTTAAATTATTGTTTACCCCTTAGGAGTAATTTGTAATGGTCTTCTTCAAACCACAAAGGTGAAAATTTAAAAGATAGTATCAATTATCAAACTTAATTTTATAAAATAAAATTAGAGTTACATTATGAGGGAAGAAATAAATTTCAGACATTATGCCACCCATAACATCTTTTCACTTTCCAATTTAAGGTTACTTTATCTGGAATTAAACATATTAAAGAGATAGCCCACACACGCCTGCGCTAGGTTTTATTTCAATATGTTGTTAAATTGTAGATTCCCATTTAATGTGTAGGAATAATGATAAATTATGGGTGCAGTAATTTTGTAAATGAAGTGAACAAGAAGGTAGATATTTTGTAGATATCTTCACAAAATAAATTTATTATAGATATTTTGGGGTTTGACCTCTCTCTTTTCGCCGATAAATTATTTTAAAAATGAAACACTATGTACCTCCGCTCTATCGACGGTTTAACGCTGGAAACGTCAGCTTTAGAAATCCTTTACGATGGCCAATAGGCCATTTTACAGTTGTATACTCAGTTGCCAAGCCTTTGTTTTGGAGTGAGGCTGAAGGTGACCTTGTTGTGATAGAGACCAGTATCTAGTTAGCATGATAACAAAGTAATTTGCATTTGAAAAGCAGCAAGGTTTGTAGCATAACAAGGTCACCCTTAGCCTCATTCCTGTTCAAAGGCTTGGCAACCAAGCACACAACTGTAAAATGGATAATTCACATCATCATCAGTTGACAAAAACAAATTATCTTGCAATACCACCACCGACGCAGCACCGCAATTTCTCAAGAAGTCTACCCACCTTAAATACGTCCTTAAAGACTAAGTGGGAACCGAAGTCTTGAACTACGAACTGGGCGCGGCAGGGTGATTTTTATCTTGAGTATTCCGATAAAAGCGCGCGTAGAGCCACTTGGGTCATACAATAAAATGATCGGCACTTCCCTGAAAACAACCTGACAACGCCATCAACTTTGATTCAACCCGTGCATGGCCATTACTTAAGTGAGATCTTTAAAGTAAGGGTTTTCCCAACCTCTCTTATTTGGTCAATGCAGTGAAGATGAATTGTACACATTTCTTAACCTCGCAAAGCCTATAACATTTGGTTACTACTATTGGGTTTGATATAATTCTTTTGCACTTGATATACGTGAACCAGTACATAACGATGAAATACAGTGCGCTATTTAATTAGCACTTCCCTGTTAACCCATTACGCCCCAAAATTTATATTCTCCAATTAACTCTTCTCATCACATTTCCTTTGGTACTGACGAGGAGAATTTGTTTGACAATCAGGAGTCTCTTACACTTGTGACTATTTCTTTTAATTTCATGAACTTTACATTTAATTCCAGGGTAATAATGTAGGGGGGGAGTTAGAACACAGTCGAGCTAAAGGGTCAGACATTTATTTTGATTTTAATCTTATTTAGTGATTACATGATTGAAATCTTCCGTTACTTTCCTCCTTTCCGTTCCCTTATCTGGAGTTACGGGGCTGAAAAAACCCTACGAACTGTGGAAACGAAGTAGCTACCGTGAAAGAACTTGCTCATGACATCTTAACGCATTTACATAACATAAGTAAGATTTAAGAATAAAAGGGTTTTGATTGTATTTACACGACGAAGGTAAGGGCTTCGGAGAATGTTTCAGATAATGTCACACAGCTGTTTTGCAGTGTCACCTCCAAAGATGTGGAACTCACTGTCCAGGGGCTTGGATGTTTGTTACGGACTGCGACAGAGTGGCATTGTGCTCCTTGCTTGTACACCTTGCAAACGAATTTCTGATCTCTGCACTCAGAAAGATGTAGAAGAATGGATGGAATAGGCTCCGGCTCTGATACAGGAAGGTTAAGACAATCACCACCCTGTAATCCACATTACGCCAATCTACGATGAAGAGAGATTCCACGGCGGTAATGGCACTCCAAAGGATCAGGTACAACAGAAACAAGGCGCACGAGATGTGCAGCACTTCCAAGTTGAGGAGGTGAGTTCCTCCCCTGAAAGACCCAGCCATTGCAGGTGTCGGGGTTGGCAGTCTTGGCTGGGTGCTCACCGGCATGGAGGATACCTTCGGCGTAGGGTGGATGGAGTTCTTTTTCAGGATAGTTACGGTGATCGCCAGAATAGTGAAGAAAATTGCAGGGCCGAGAGTGATCAGAGTATGAAAAGTAGAGTAGGAAAGAGTGGCGAGGTTGCCCTTCTCCCAAGACAACCAGCATGTTCCTTCAAACTTGTCATAGGCTCCCCATGTGTTTGGATTCAAGGGTGGAGACGCCAGGAAACCTGCACCGAACCAGATCGTGAACATCAGTAGACGGACAACGGGCTTGTTGATGAAAAACATACAGTAGGCACTTGGGGACTTGACATACAGGAATCGGCTTATTGCAATGAGAGCGACTGTTGCTAGGAACACTGTTGCCAGAGTGTTGTGGAAGAATCCCTGGATGCGACATAAGAACGGTATCATTCCCAGCCCGAAAGAATCGACCCAAACACCTGTAGCCCAAGGTCCGGCTGTTACCAAGGCACTGACAATGTCGATAACCATGAAATTTTGGATGAACATGTATGGTACAGTTCTGAGTCTTATTGACGTTACTATGATAAAGACTAGGTTGAGGAGAAAAGCCAGAGAACTGATACAGGCAAGAGCTTTTAATTGAGCCCAGACGCTGCTCGCCTCCTGAGGCTGCCTGAACAGAGGTACAGGATCTGTAGGAGTGTAGCCGCTGGTAGTGTTGGTAGTGTTGGATTCATTTCTTGGGGTAAAGGTTGAATTAACCTGCAAATCGTTCCCCATTGTCAAACTTGCTATGGGAACTGAAATAAGGCGAGAGAATACAATGATAAGATTTCGATGGCCTTAAATGAAACCGTTCAGAACATTCTATATTCGTTATAACATTTTACTAGCAAGAAGTTTTCCATCCCCCACTGTATTCTAATCCTTGTTGAAAATCATTCCTCGTGGCTTTCACACCTGTTAATAGAACTGAATGGCTAGGAATCGTTTTGTTAAATTTCTTTAGCTTGAAAAAAAAACTAATTAGATATTTCGTTTCCATGATTGCGATTTTGCTCCCGTAATGTTTTTTCACCCCTTGTCTCTAAACGCTGTCTGGTTTGCAATGTTAGCGTGGCCGAGAGGGGAACCAAAGGTGTCTGTGTTTCACTTTGTCAAGCGAGAAGTGACACCTTCATCATAATGAAACAAGCTCTTCTACTCCCATTATCTAGAAGGCATTTGATTTAAAACTCCTCCCTCACTTTGGCAGTGACAAAGTATCTTACTTACGCCGCCATCTGGTCTAAGAAAAACAAAATCAATCTTCCCATCCTGTGAGAAACAATTTGTAAGTGTAGTTATGATTACGCATGAACTCCTAAAGTTACATTTCTATGTGTGCCAATTGTTCTATTGGCAATAAGAACCTAGGATTTTAATTAAACTTTCACCGCTTGGTAAACAAATTAGTCTTTCCTCGGCTTGGGCTTTGTCTTTCTTACTAATAAGCCGCAAAAAGGCTAAGTGGAAATGCACACCAGGTATTAAAAAGCATCGTCGGTTTTTCTTTGTTCCAATTTTGTTAGCTTTTTGAGAAAGAGAACCTTAATACTTTACAGCCAATACGCTTGGGTACCGAAGGGTTGCCTCCTCTAACAATTTCTAAAATTTGACACAAAGTTTTTGCTAGCTTGCCCACTAAACAAAAGGACAGGAGTGGATTGCCCTTGTGATTGATTTTGACATTTTTGTTAAATTTCGTCCCATTTTTTTACACGTAGAAAGAGAAGGAAAGCTGTGGTCTAAAGAGGAACATGAGAGGTTCTCAATGTCTTGTAAAGAAGAATTAACATGTTTACTCATCAAATTTGATTTCTGGTTATCAATGCACTTGCTGGAAGTATCACAAATAACAAGCTATATGATAAACTAAACGAGTACCCTTCGACATCATAGAAATTTCTCTCTCTTTGAAATAGATCGATTTGTGAACAAATAAGAGCAAATATTTCAAGACTTTCGAAATTATATTTCATATTCGCCTGATAAAATCGTTGATGCACGCCCGATAGTTTGCAGGAATATTTTCAAAATAATTTTATTATAAAATAAGAATAAAATAGTAATTTTGCCGGTGGTTTGTGCTTATCGTTAATTCTGCAGTAATCTATGACAAATCTTCTGTTAAAATATGGAACCACGGAGAAATAAAGACTCCGCCATTCTGCCATTCAGTAACCCTTATTAACCGTGAGGTTTTCGAGTGAGATTTTGAGAGACCATTTTAACTGGATAGAGCAACACCCTTACCTTGTTTGCTGATTTCTTCGATCTTCTTCCAGGTGTGTTGGGACTTTGAAATTGAAAAAAGGAGCAATTTAATGGGAAAAACTCTCTCCGCTAACCTTTCATCTAAGCCTGTTGAACCGCCCTTCAAGTTTCGTGACCAGAGGCGTTCACCAGCTAAACTGAAGTTTTTGGTAAAAACTCACTTTTTTCATGATGCGGGGAATATATTTGCTTTCTATTAACGATGGTGTTCCCATATCCCACACACCGGGCCATTGTTGCACAATAATCAAAGTAAAATTGATTAATCTCCCTTCTCTTTGGAGGTACACTAGCTTTTGAAAGTCATTGACGTAAATGGCTCATTTAAGTCCTCAAAGTGCAAGCCGATTTTTTCAATTAGTTTTAAACAATTATGAGCGTGCATCTTCAAAGAATCATCAATGACAAAAATTTTCTAGTTTCAATTTCAAACTCAGCTGCTTTTCTATGAAAGATGAACATTGTGCATCCTGGGAGGCGGTTGACTCTTATTTCTACCACTACGTTTGAGGTAAAAAAATAAATTATTTTCTCTTTTGTTGGGATCCTTACTCGGCTGTTGCAGGATCGTGCGGTTACAAGCGATACTGATACCATTTTCTGGCTCTCTACTGACGGAGAGCATCGTACAATGTTGTCTCATATTGAGCTATATCGTTATATGAACCTCGACGAACGATGAAATTTTAGGGAGACAGGAAATTTAGTGTCTAGATTTGAATGGTTGAGATGGTTAGACGTTAGGAAATCCTCTGAATGAGACCCCCCCGGCGTATTCAGATTGACTTTAATTAGCAACTGACTTTGGTAGGATACAGCTGGCACCTGCAGGAAAAGTGATTCATAAAAACTGGGAGAGTGATCAGTCGATGCCTCGCTGTTACCAAATTGAAGGTCAGCCGCTGGAGCTCGACACCTTTTTTACAAGTAGTTCACTCCTTTGTCATTATTCATCAGTCCTATACAAACAACTTATATCCTCAGACAAATTGAAAAGTCTCCTTCCAAGTTAACGATCTGAATGCTCATCTCTTCATCTGAGATGCGCTAAACAACCCCCAGTGACGTGCCTCACATAGTCTTTTATCAGATATTACATAGACATCTCACGCATTGTTTTTATTTCGTCCTCTTTGGTCGCAGTTTACACACACAGAGATTACAATTACTATCCTACATTACCTAAAATTCAAGCATATATATAGAATATCGTTGTTAAATATTAACAGTACTTACAACCGATCTAACTTACAATGCTCTTACTTATGGAACGACAGTCGAGCCAGTAAGTGGTACTGTATCAAGCGGTCACCCTCGGTCAAACTCCTAAAATTTTTATACCTTTAATTAATATAATTTTCACCTCTATTGAGCGGTCGTGAACACCCTTTACTAAGTTCCAACAGCTGCAAGTAATATCCTTCACCTATACTGAACGGTCACTGACAGCAGAACGACTCAAATAAAACTAAGAATAGTCTTTCCAGTAAAATTAAATCCATTTTTATCTCCCGAAAACAACGTAAGCAGTATTTTCGAGCGAGTGATGTGTGCACCTTTAGTATAAAATCGGTTTTTTAACATACCCCTATTCTGCTGAACCTGTCCTAAGCGGTGACCCCGCCATTCCCCTGTTCGACTGTAATTTAAGTTACATCAGTTTTCAATGCAAGGAAATTTTTCAGGATAATTTCAGAGTCGTCTGAAAGATCATATCGAGGTTCAAATATATGAATTTCATATATTCTTAACCGCCTTTCAGAGTAGTATTTGCAATTACAAACAGAAACTGATACAAGTTTAGATAATCAACAGAATAACAGATAAAATACGTATTAGGGTGAGGGAAAATCGTCCGAAGCAAAACCAGCAGCACGCTTTTCTGTCGTCTTCACAAATGGGAAGCTGCGAAAAAGTTCTACTCCAGGACACTGCCTAACATCGTAGCATCTTTGTGCTCTGAAACGCTTTGTTCAGTCGTCAGTGTTTTACTAAACGCAGAATTTTGCGTGGAGACCGCTAGTCGACCTTCATCATTCGTCGTGCGTTTGCTTGCTCCATTTCCTGTACAGTTCTGGTTTACATTATCGTTGCCATACCGACCACAGCTTAGGGCTTTTTTGAAGGCCAGCTGAAACTGTGGATTCATTATTCCATAGATAATCGGATTTACATAACTACTCGAGAACATCAGGTAGATAACTGTTGCGAAGATTTCTCTCGGGATTTTACACCCGGCAGTCTCAATAACAACCACAATGGAAACTGGACCCCAGGTCATCACAAAAACACAAACCACAGTAAAACTTGCCTTCAACAATTTTATGTCCGTACGGCGAGCATTGACACTCTGATTCCCTACGTTGTGCGCGTTTAAATTTAGCGAGCTTTGTTTCACTGTTTGGTATATTTTATAGTAGCAATAAAATATTGCAACTGTACAACCGTTTACAACCCCACCAACAACTAATATGAGGTACGAAATTTGTTCTATCTTCCAACTGAAAGTACAGACAGAGAATTTCGCGTGAAATTCAAACTTTCCCCATCCGTACAACGGAGGTGTGGCGCATAGGAGAGCAACCAACCAGACAAGAACACAGTAAAACCAAGCAGTTCTCTTGCTGGGAAATATTCTGCTATAAAGGGCTGGTTTTACAACTCTTATATATCGATTTAGTGCAATTACGCCCATATTTAGAATGGAAGCGATACCCAGCGTAAATTGTATCATTGCAGATATCTCGCACCACCGTTGGGAGAAATTCCAAGTTCCAGTATAGAGGCTCACGATCCAAAATGGCATGTGAAGCGTCGCCATGGAGATGTCAGTTAGTGCCAGATTGCGGATGAAAGTGTTGGTGATACTCTTGAGCCTGGAGTCTTTATTAATCACATAAATAACAAGCAGATTTCCAGGTATACAGGCAAGGCAAACGAGAATGGCCAGGCTCACCTCGAAACCAATTTCAGTGCGCGAACGACCAAGAGGATCTGTAGCAATTGAGTCAGAATTGTTCACCATTTTGTGGTGAAGCAGGCTGGAAGATAAAAGGGCCTAAACATCAAGAGATAAACATCAATCAACACAAAGCATCAAATAAAGAGTGCTGACAATAGAGGACCGGAATTCACTTTTTGTTTGAAAGAATAAAACTTACTACTGATTATGTTCTTGCGACCTGTTAGCTGCATACACCTTGAGAAATCATTAGCATTTATGATTAAGAAAAGCAACGAGTGTTTTAATAGACACTTCTAATTTTCATCAACGCGTCTGGTGGTGCGATTATTCTGTGGAGAGTGAGACCGAGGACTGAGATTAACATGAAATCTGTTTCGGAGAATGAACAGTTTACTGATCACTTCCGATCAAATTTGCTTTTATCTCCCATATATTTAAGCATGATATTGAAAAACGTTGCCGAAAATTGGGGGAAAAAAGATGGGTAAAATTTCCGCATAGCCCCATCCTACATTATGCATTCAGTTCTTGAATAGAGAAAACAATGACAAAAACAATACATTTCCATTGGGAAAACAGATTTGTTTTGCAATAGTATGGGGCTGTACGGAAACTTTACCAAAAGATGTAAAATGTCCCTTTGTGTCCAGGCTTGCCAACGTTATCCAAGGTTGTTTCACATTTTTTCCTCACCCTTTAGTCGTCAATTCATGCATTAATGAAGACATTTGGAGTTTTCTAGTTGATTGAATCATCTTTTCAATGTATTAAGAGAGTTAAGTTTATCTGTTCCAGTTTTTTGCGAATCTTACTTTGAAGTGGAAGCACAAAATAATTATTTACAAGCGAAATACTCAAATTTGAAATTCAGAATTACATGCTTTCAACTCCCGAGGAAATTTGTTTTGATTTTTTAATTCTCGCATTTGTGTTAATCAACTTGGGGCGAGAAGCAAATTCAAATTTGCTTGATTGAACTGTTATTGCTTATCCCAAGAAAGAAAAATAAAGGGCTTAATTAGTAATCGAGGCCCGTTGAGCACTTACCGGTACTGCGGTGAATCACTACTATAACTTACCAACTAGCTTGAAGGAAGATCTTCTAACAAGGGTGATTTTCAATCACGGAGCACTTTGTCAAACTTTATAGTGCCTGGTTAAAATAAACATCAATCTAGATATTGAAATTTCTAAAGTCTGCTCTTCTTCGGTTCTTTGGCGATGTATTTAACCAAAAAACGTGGCCAGCCTCTTTAACCTTCGACAATTTTCAACCAGTTTACATGAAAATGCATATAATGTTTCTTTTGTAATCCACGGTTACTCATTTACTGTGTTATTATTTGCTGGTCTATAGGTACAGCTTGCACAACAAAGCCACAAATAGATTTTACATTATTCTGTATAATGGTGCCTTGCATCTGCTCTTGGACAGATCCCACGCGGGACAATTTTTGGAGAATTCATGGGCATGCCACAATTATCAGGCAAAAATTTCCTTTCCCCTTTGACAGCAAATTTCTTTGCATGCAATGTGAAGCCAGAGGCTTTGGCTCTTCTCGATGGAAATTCAAAAGAAAATCAAGAATGCTTCTCATGTGTGATTAATAATAAGGCAAAGGTCTTCCATTTATTAAGAAGAAGCGGTTTCAAGCGAAAAAGAAAATTTTTTTCGAAAGTTACCTTTGGAACTTTTTCAATCTTTACTACTCAACCAGGACCACTATTCAACTCACCTTTTCCTGCAATGATATTGATATTTGAAACCCTTGCTTCGTACTGATTCAAACTGAGACAGCGTAATCAAAAGTCTTCTTCTATCTCACTAGTATCTAATCGCAAGTCACTGACCAAGGGACGTTGAAAAAGAGAAAAAATCCTTTTTACGACATTTTATCCATGAGAACATTCAAATGGATGCAGCTGCAAAGCGAGTGACCCTTCAGGGAGAACATTAATTATTACTCGCTTCTCTGAAAATAAACTATCGCAAATAACGCACGTATCATACAAGGCAAATATTAATGGAGCTTCCGCGAGGTGCGAATTGACTATTTTGTTTTATGAGTGATTTGTTAGTTTCTGTCAAGTTTCCGCATTTCTCACCGCTATTGATTTATGGTTCATAATGTATTTTTTATTCACTACTTTGGCTCTTAAAGTGATTAAAACACTAGTGGCCGATTTTGGATTTTGGACCCTAGTGGCCGATTTTGGATTTTGGACACTAGTGGCCGATTTTGGATTTTGGATTTTGGACCCTAGTGGCCGATTTTGGATTTTGGACCCTAGTGGCCGATTTGGATTTTGGACCCTAGTGGCCGATTTGGATTTTGGACCCTAGTGCCCTAGTGGCAGTTGACTCTTTATTTCTACCACCAAATTTGAAGAAAACTAATTACAGTCTGTATTTCTTTTTTCGTATGGACCGGAAAACAACTTTTTCGAGGTAATTTGAATAGTGTACCTTATGAGGCTCTTTACCACGTTCAAGTTAACTAAGATTTAATGACAGAGAGAATAAGAGATCGAGCAATAACATATATTGGTAAAGATTTAGTGCCTTAAAATTTTCCATAAAATAGCTTCTATCAGCAAAATGCATAGTTGTGCGCCACCTTTACCCGTTTAATTCCAGATCTAATGAGTAAGTCTCCCTTTTGGTTACTTTGAATTTCCTCTTTGATTAGTTATAAGAATTTAGTTTTGCATCGAGACAAAACCCTCCGGCTAAAAAGCCTATCTACTCTCCTCCAACGAATGCAGATTCTTTATTACCTGGCTGAAAATACAAGCAAAAAATTTCTTGTTATAAGACGGTTATCCTTCCCCCACCCCACCGTGAAAGGAGGGTGTTGCCAAGGTAAGGGAACATAGCCATGGGGTACACAATACAATCCAGCTTTTCGTATTCTGAGGAAAATTTCAGAATTATGTTGAAACATCAAACTAAGTTTAAAAAAACCTTGAAATGTTTTCTTTTAACTTCTCTTTTTTCGTGAATTAGGGCCTGTTTGCATGGTGGTGGGGGGACCCCAGGTAGGTGAGGTAACCTGCCTAGCCGTGGTCGAAAAATAAACGTGTTTACATGCAATCTTAAAACCCCGGGGTGCTGTGGTGAGGTTCCTGGAGGTTTTTGTTGCGCTTGCAATTAAGGAGTTTGAACAGAGGCGTCCCAAGTTCATATCTCGAAAAAGACGAAAGATTAATTCTCGGACACAAATGTATTAATTCATGAAGTGTCACACATTGTGTTACGCGGTGTTTGGCTTCGCAAGGAACCGTTGACTTAATACGGAATAGTTTGGGAAACCAAATGTGGTCGATTTACATCGCTAAATATTCTGAAATGTGAACATTTTAAACTCCTTGTGTATCCGTTGCGGTTTCTGGTGATTTTTGCCATGAGACGGCTAGGAAATGAACGAAGATTTAAAACATACATGTTTCGCTTTTGAGCTTTTTGCCATGAACGCAACCCCGGCTAGGCGGGTTACCCCACCTTGACACGTTTACATGGCAAATTGTCACCCCGGCTGACAGGGTTACCCTACCTGGCAGACCGGGCAACCCCCCAAGGCGGGTCACCCCACCTA